AGTGGAATGCAACAATTTACTGGTTTGGGACATTACAATTGTGTTTCTCAATGCCCCTGCAAAGGGCCTCACTGTCAGTGCTGTCAGAACTCATGCTGATGATACCAGTATTAGCAGTTGAAAGAAAGTGAAGAAAGCACAATGTGACAATAGTTCATGATGTGTCCAACCAATACCAGTAATGTTTTTGCCTCACCCTTGAGAGAATTTTGAGATGGAAATACGGCCCTGTACTTTTAGGGTTCAATTCTTATGAATGTGTAGTTCTTTTGCAATTTGAAAAAAAATGGATAATAGAGAAAATCACATTTGTTTAAATCATTCCAGTTTAGGTTGAAAACCAGGTTTTGGCAATGGTCACTTTTAGTGCTATGAGACTTGGGGAAAGAAATTGATGTTTGATTGTGGATTTTATCACCGTGATGTTGTTGAAGTAATCCTGTTCTTGATGATCAGCACATTTCCTTGAGTAGGTGGTGTTTGAGGCATGTTGCATAGAGGTGCTTGGGTATGATGAACACTGACAACCCAAGAATTTGGGTCAGTTGGGTGTCCCTGGCATTTTTTAATGCAAATACACTCCTTTGAAGACTTCTCAATCTGGTAGTGCACTTTGGGGTTGGCAATTTCCCCGTGGCATTTGCAGAAAATGTGGGGAGAAAAACAACCCACTTTTTGGAGAAAGGCTTGGTTGTGTGGTATCCCCCTTGCTGAAAAAGCCTTCTTTGCAATTCCAAAAAAAAGCCTTCTTTATGATGCACTCCCTTGCCAAAAAATCATCTTCCACAAGGTCCCTTTAAGAGGTCTGTACCTCCAGGGGGCACCTGGTGGAAAAAGCTTTTTCTGCAAAGGAAGAACCTCCAAAAGAGGCTTTCTGCACAAGGTGTCCAACCCCCCCCCCCCCCCCCCCACCGGTGTGGTGAGCCAAATCAAAACATCAATGCCTCAATGTGCCGTACAATCAGGACAGGAAGAACCCAAAAACCTTGGTCCTCAAGATAGAAATCTCAAGGCACCCAGACCACACGTGGGGGGAAGAAAGTCACCCCTCAGACAGAGACAGGGTATTAGGAACCCTCCTTGTTTTCTCTTGTTTCATTCTTTCTCTTTCTGGAGCTGCTGCATATGCACCCCTCTTTCTCTTATCTTTCTGTTTCACACTAATGCACCCACTTGGGGATTAGTCTCTTACCTCTATGCATGCGCCTGCATGTGGCTATGCGTGTCTCAGACTTATGCACCCTTTTGGGGAAGCAGGCTATGTCATTGTGTCCTCTTTGGTCTTAGCAGCCACCTTCCGGGCCGTAGTGTTTCAGTTTGATATTTTTCACTTGATCCTTTTCTCAAACCACAAGCTGGCCACTCCCCAGATTTTGTATATAAGGAGCCATGTTTTCCCCTCATCATTTGTTCCCTCATCAGTTCCCAGACGTGCTCAGCCTGGTCAACATAGTTAGCTTATAGTCCTTAGTTTATAGTCCTTAGAAAAAGTCCTCAGAAATATTATCACGCCTTTTAGTCAGAAATAGTCCGCCACAACTTCAGAGAGTATTTGAACTCTCCTTGTCTACTACCTTATCACCTTTTTACCGGAGGGCAGCCTTATTCACGGCGCATTTACCCTTCCACACTCTATCTGATCCCACCGGGTAGTTCCACACCGGAAAAAGGAGGTCTCCACGTCTCCACAAGGGGGGAGGGGGGTTGTGAAAGAGATTTGTGGTGCAAGGGAGGACCTCCAAAAGTAATTTTTTTCTTCAAGGGGGACACCACACAAAAAAGGCTTTCTCTGTGAGGTACCTGCAAAAAAAGGCTTGTTTTACAAGGGGGGCACCTCACTAAATAGTTTTTCTCTTCAAGGCCCACTTTTCTCAAAAATGAGACCTTGCAGAAGATTCTTGTTTGGCTGGGCAGAGGGGAGACCTTGCAAAAGAGGCCTTTTCTGTTCTCCCCCAAGGTGAGACCTCACAGTTGATCATTTTCTCTTTAGGTAAAGGGAACTTGCAGAGGATTTTTTTTAACAAGGGAGAGAATATCACAAAGAAGTTTTTTTGGAGGGGGGGGGGGGGGTTGGACACCTTGTGCAGAAAGCCTCTTTTGGAGGTTCTTCCTTTGCAGAAAAAAAAGCTTTTTCCACCAGGTGCCCCCTGGAGGTACAGACCTCTTTTGCAAGGTGTCTTCTCTTGGAGAAAGCCTCTCCAAAAGCTTGCCCACTCTCAAAGAATACCTTTTTGCAAGGGGGCCACCTCACAAAAGAGGTTTGTTACACAAGAGACACCTTGCAGAAAAAGCCTCATTTACAGGTGCCCCCCCCCCCCCTTACAAAAATGGTTTCACACAGGTCTTGAGGTTTGTTGAGTTTGTCATCTCATATTTTTCTCATGTTCTGTGCTACACACCTGTCACACACATCTCACATATATCAGTGGGATTTCAAGTTCATTTTAAACAGAATTGGTGGACTTCCCATCCAAATTTGGAAAAATCTTTAGACCTCTCTCAGTCCTCAATGAACAACACAATTAATATTTCAACCAGCTCACATGGGAGCTTGTCAGCCTTAGAGATCCTCAAGAGTATCCAAAAGACTGCTTGATAATAAATTAATTGTAATAATACCTTTTAATAATAAGAAAACCTAGAATATTATTTCATAATTGAACTTTTCATAATATTTTAGATGGGGTAAGGGTTGCTCACTGGAACCACACCCAAAATCCTACTCCTTCTAGGACTTTATCATAACTCAAGAGCCTTAGAGGTAAATAGGAATAGAAATATATAAAATACTCCAAAAAGAATATAAAATAAAGATAAAAATAAATGATAAATATATAGTTACAACTACAAATGAATACTATAAATCAAATTGTAGAAATTACCACCTTTGTTAAGTGTGTGGTAATTTCCATCAGTATTATTCTATTGCAGGTAGGCACATGATGTAATTGGCTATAACAAGGCATCATGATGTCATGGGGACAGAGAAAATACTGTATCTAATCTACTACAAAATTGACATTACATCATGGGAGAAATACTATTGTAGTACATTAAATAAACATTCTAGAATATTCTAAGAATTCCCCCAAGGGGGACTCTAAAATATAAAAGGAGGCCATTCCTGGCCTAAGATTGGTTCCTTGGCATATTCACCCACAACTAACTTATAACTAGCTAATAGTAAGTACAGTGATTATTCTCCTCCTACTTTTAGAGTAATTATCCCAATACCAATCAACCTTTTACTACTGGAATTATTAGTGTGTAACTTTGAAATTTCCCTTTCATCCCTCACTAAAATTCCTTATAAAGCAGTTGCTGCAAGACTACCACCTCTGAAAAGTAGCCAATCAGCTCAAGTGCTTGCCAGCTGCTTTGTAACAATTTTCATTGCTTCAAATTTCCAAACTATAACAATTTATTAATTTTTATAATCTCCTGTTATTTGTTTCATTAGAAAAAAATCAGCTTGAAGGAGTGCGGACTTCAACTTTGTGGAATTTGGACCACATATAAAAGGTTAAAAATAGTAATCATTTTCTTTGAGTGCTTCAGCACAGTGATAGCACCTGATTTCTATATTATTTAAACCAATGTAGCATACACATAGCTGACAGAGGTATTGCTAGAAGGCTTTAGAAAATCAAATTGATGAAAAAAATCAGATCTAAGGGGTGTAGATTGACTTCTGGGAGTACAGTGTTTCCCTTGGTATAGTGGAGAGTGCACCATAACAGTGGATGAATTCCCTCCAAAATCTGTGGGTCCCCCAGAGCAACTTAGAGATTCAAAAGAAAAATTTCCCTGCAAAATTCAAGCATTCTCTGACTTGCATTCCAGGTTTGTCCAAAGGACAAGCTGGCAAACAGGAATCACAGGAGGTCGGGGCCTCAAGGGGTGAGTAGCCTTATATATTTGGACACATCCTTTTTACTGGACAATCATCCAAAATTGAGGGTTCCTGATAATTCATGGATCTGAAGCCCATTATGGACATACAATCAAGGGAACCTGTTGCACCAAGGAGGGACTTATTTGACAGAAAATTGACACCAAGATTGAGTTTTTTTTTGGCAAAAACTGAAGATGTTTCCGCCAGCCCAATGTTATAAGCAGCCTCCACTGAATAAGAAGAGCATTTTGGCTCAAGATCTAATGCCTACTTCAAACAATTCTGATGGCCAAGGACAGATCAGACAAAAGCCCAATCATCTAATCAGTATCACTATCACTATCAGACATAGATCAGAAACTGTCAAGAGGAACCACTCTTTGTCCTACAAAATAACAGATATTATTATTATTATAGAAAATTTCAACAGATTTACAATCAACAATCTAATGAATTAATGTCCAACAATGTTTTCAAAGAACACCACACAAATCCACTCACCGGACAAGCCAGTCTGACGAGTGCTTGGACTGATGTTGCGCAATGAGTCCCGTTGTGCGCCACCACCGGGCTGCTGAACTCGTTCTGTCCAAAGACTCATCAGACTGGCTTGTCCAACAAGTTAGTTTATGCAGTGAAGTTCCAAATGAAATTTTAGGTAGACAAAGAGATCTCAATGGAACTGCAAATAAGTGGACTTATATGGGGATTTCAGAATTACATCAAGACATCAATATGCTGCAACCAGTCAAGAAGGTGATGGATGAATCAAGAAATCCTAACGCTAAGAAGGAAGATTGAAGCATTTGAGGAATCAAACCCTCAGCAGTTTGTGGTTCACCATTGGAAACTTGGATCTACATAAACTTGATGACTATTTCTTTTCTTTTCTTTATTTTTTGAATTTCAGTTTGGTTATTATAAACACATAGTCAAAAGAAGTGTATTGGAACACAAACGAATAAATATAAAAAAAGATATAAAAAGCTGAAGACATAGATATATTAACATACATTATACATAAAAAAAAAATATGAAACACAAATTAGCAATAAGTTGTACAGACAGATATGTATTTATAGATATATATATATAGAGAGAGAGAGAGAAAGAGAAAGAGAAGGAAGCTAGAAATGAAGGAAATCAGAAAAATGTGCTGGTTTTCAGGGGAGAGGACAAGATAAGGAAAGAGAGTTAAATTTAGAGGAAACAATTAAACTGTACTTTTTTTCAAAAAAAAAAAAGAAAAACTGATGATCAGGGATGATCACTTTCTTCAATAAAATATAAGAAAATGGAAAGTGGCAATACAGCAATGTATATATATGTAGGGGGAAATTTGAGCAAGTGTTTTTAAGCTGAAGAAAAAAAAAATGGCAAGGGATAGGGTGTTTGGAGAGGATGACAACCAAAGAGAGAGGGAGTGTGTGTGGTTTTAGGAATTCCTTCGAGTACTGTGAAAAGAAAGATGAAAGTAAGTTTTGAGTTTCTTATTGTAGTCTTTGGGAAGAAAGGGAAGCAAGAGGAGCAAGGAGAGAGTAAGCAAAAGTTTACCTAAGATCACCACTTCCGGCAGTATCCCGCTTATTGATTTGCAGGGGTTGCACAGTGGATGAATTGGCGGTAGTCAAAGCTTCGTCTGTGGCGATGAAAGCCTGAGTCGAGCCGATCGAGCGGGCTTGGCTTGATGGGGGACTAGAGAGCTGGTTACCAGCGGCGCGTCTGAAGGCACCGGCGTTAGTAGTCCGGCCGTCGCTGGTGGGCACACCGGAGACGCCCGAGGAGATCGAGTGGTCACGCGGCCGAGGGGAGTATCGAGACTTGGTGACCGGCTCATCGGTCTCACTTCGCCCGACTACCGATGAAGTCTTCGGCGGCACATCGGCCGACGCTAGGCTGGATGTGTATTGGTATGGACTGTTTTGTACACTCGGCTGGCTGTACCGGCTCAAGCGAGCTTGGCCTTCGGATGGCGGATTCGCACTCGGAGGGGGCGAGTAGATCGAGCTCGGTGAGTTTACAGCCTCGGTCGGGTTCCCTGGGCCGGTCGACTGCGGCACCCCATTTAAGCCACGGACATAAAATACATTCTCGATGTATGATGGACGCTCGTGAGACTCTCCAGCCGTATCAGCTGGACCGCGTGAGGCCAGACGCGAGGCCATGGTAGCGGGACTTTGGGATGATGAGGGCAACGGGGGACTTGAAGTAGAGTCAGTGTTGTGGGAGTAATGTGGGTTGCTTGTTGGATGAGCCGAGGGCTCAGATGATTCCTGGGTGTAGGGCAAGGAAGAGTAGTTATCGAGCGGTGCATGTGTTGCTTGGTTATAACTCGAGCCGTTGGGGTTGGCATCAGCTTGGGAGGATGACTTGGCGGGATCGTTGGTTGCGGCTTGACTAAAGTATAAGGGTGGTAGTTCCATGGGCAGGCTGTTTGAGGCGTCGGAATGATGTGGGGCTTGGTGAGGGGGGATAGGATGTTCGGACTCGGAAGTAGGTGATTGAGAGGGAGGGACTTCAGATGTGTTTTCGATGCTCAAAGGACCCGCAGAATGGGAGGGGTTGAAGACGACCTGAGTCAAGCATCGCTGGGCCTCCTCGACGACGGCTTGGGTCTTGTTTGCTGCACAATATGGTGCCCGAGCAGCGCCGGGTGGCGTACGTTCGATTGGGACTTCGTTTGTCAGCATCTTGCCAAACTCGCAGACGATCGTCATCTTCTCGGCTAGTTCGAGCATTGCACCCAGTCTCAGTCCCAGGCCTTCTCGCACCGTCTCCCGCTTGAAATCAGATAATCTTGCATCCTCAATCGCCACCGAGTTCTCCAGACTGATCAGTTCCGAGCGGGCTTCTTGTAGTCGAGTTGTTAGAGCCGGCAGGTCTTTGTTCTCGCTACTCATCTTGGTGATCTGAAGAGAGAGGGAGGGGGGGGGGGGCTTCTTCAGTCTACAAAACACGCGTGAAAACCATTCTATCAATGACCACATAGGCTTACCTTCTTTTCTAATCCTGTGATTTTGGCGTGAATGGTCTCCTTGCTCTTCTTCAAGGCTGCCAAACTCTCTTCGCGCATCCGAATGCTTTTGAAGTGAATCCGATAAGTGCCGTCATGATCAGAGAAACGCGATTGGGCATCGGCGAGATGGCCAAGTAGGATCGATAGTTTCGGTAGAATGTCGGCGAGATCGTCACCTTCATTCAATCCCCATTCTTTCAATGCCTCTGCCGCTTTACGATAATCAACCGATAGTTTTGAGGATCTATAGGGACGCCAAGTTTCATCAATTTTGATTATTCTTACACTGTCATTCTTCAAAGCCTTTTCTGAGCTTGCTTACGTAGACAGTACACTCTTTTCGGTTGAGATGATCTCGGCCAGGTTCTTGATATCCTTGGGGGCCAGTGAGAGTTTGTTGGTGTGCTGGATCCGGGCCTTCGCGTCGCTGAGGAATGAGGACATCTTGTTTTGTGGTTGCAGGTCACGGGGAGAGGTGGGTGAGCTTGAGGTGGTTTTTTTATGTATTTATGGTTTTCTTGAGGATGTATGTAAGCCAGTTCGGTTGAAATTCGATGGAATGCTTGATGATGATCAGGCGGTGATGGTGGTATTTAATTTAATCGGCTTAAGTAAGATCCAAACAGAATCGGAGGAGTGGAGATCCAAGTGTGATCAGTTCGGATTGCGAATTCCGGAGAGTTTGGCTTACAACCTGAAACTGGCTGACTTTTTATTGCTGTGTTGATCAACCGGCTTTCTCTGTTTCCGGCTGTGTGACACCTGACGTTGTTGGGATGGGACGGGGCCACCCTGAAAAACCCAACTTGGCACAGCCCAACCCCCCCTGTCCAAAACTCAGCTGCCTAATGCTGTCTTAGGTGAGGGTAAACTACCATCTCCATTATTCTGATGACGTCCAGGGCCGGCCTCACAGCTATCCAGTAACCTCTGGACCCCTGGGACTAAAAGAATGAGGCGAGGCATCCCACACTCAGGGAGTCCATGATCAAGCGCCGGGCTCGTGTGTTGTGTCAATCTGTGAAGCATAGCCCGAGCCGAGCCAAGGGCTATGATGTACCGACCTCGACCTGCTCTCACCTTCCGGCCGTCGACTGGCGGGCATATGACTCACGGGCATGGTGACGACTGACAGTCGAGTTGAAGCGTTACCTGATCCCGGCTATGTAGGATCTTCTTTTTCTTTCATCAGGCTCACTTTGTCCAGCCTTATTTTGACTTTTGATCCCACATTAACCTAGAAATTGGAGTCGTCCAATGCGTGTGAAAAAAAAAATCCTGAAGCAAAGCAACTTACTACAACCTCACAATTTGCATTAACGAGCAACGTCCCTCGCTCCTCGCACGCAGTGGCAAGACAAGTGCTGCCTGGGGCTGAAGAAAATTGGATGGAACCATGCAAACGCGCCAGCCGGTTCCGCGACACTTCTAGTCGGTTTCTTCTTCTCCTCTAATAATTCAGTCCAGTATCACCGGTGCGCCGGTATTGAAGAGGCATGTACATGGCTTCCGTGAAGGAAATGAAAGTTAGGATGTGATCACAAGCGATCGGAAGACTTTCACAAAATAGTGTCCATCTCTTTTCGCTAGAAGGACTTCTATCGCAGCTTTGCTGGACAATCAAGAAACTCCCAAACAGCACAACCAAATGAGCACAAAATCGACTTGACGTCACAAAAGCTGAAGAACAGTTTTAACAGAATCTCGCGAGATTTGAGTTCAACCAACAAGCATTGCGTACCATCAGTGACACGGGTCCTAGTTGGATTTTCTATGACTGGAAAACTTCTTGGCGCGACGAGTCGATTTCGGGTCTTTGGAGCGCGAGAATCTCTCATCTGAACAATTTTGCTGGGTCCCTATTCACCTGCTCCAAACAAGTGACACCAAGATTGGAGACAGAGGACTCGTTAGGATCAACTCATCACCGTCTTTTCATCCATTTTGAAGTTTGTTCGTTTGTCTCACTTTCTCACGGGGCGATGCCCCAGTCGAATCCCTCAAGTGGAATCAGAAGAGAGCGTCAACACAGCCCGTCTGTAGCTAGGGGTGTACCTCATGTGCGTCTCATTGGGAGCCTGGCCCTCACTGAAAGCCAGCTAGTGGCAAAATACGGCACGAGTCAGAAGAGATGTGTGTAAGAAGCATGTTGCTGAAGAATAGGAAAACATGCGTGGCAAGCTCTAACTACAACGAATTAAAAGCGAAGGATGTGGCTAAAAAGGGGATAATGAAACATGATGTTGGAAGGAACCGAAACGAGCGTGATGAAGGAATGATCAACGAGGATGGTGGGATTGAAAGATCCAGGCAACGAGATCCGACTCGAAGTGACGAGTTTGAGCTGAGGACGTTGGGGACGGGAAAAGATTAGTGACAGCTTGGATTGTCTCCGGACTTGAGAACCAGTAAACGTACCTGGGAAGGCAGACTTCGTCCCGGTGCGCAGAGGCGCCTCTAATTGGTGCAGTCAACGGATGTGAGGGCTTGGACGTTGGCGAGGGAGGGTAAGGTGACCGGGCCAAATTTGCCGCCGTTTTGACCGTTGCAGCTCATTGAGCCGGCACCGCCACCGCCGGAGCACCGGGTGTGACCGAGCACATTGGCGTTGAGAAGGAGCCCAGATTGGTCGGCGCAAGAGGTTTCGCTTGGTTGACCACCGAATCCCAGGCCATTGAACAAGTCGCCGCCCGGTAGGTTGCCGCCGCCGAGCAAGTTGTCGGTCGGGAGGCCTCCTAAAATGTCGCTGAATCCTCGGGGCGAGACTGACTCGGCGAAGACCGAGTGGAGAAAAGCGAAAGACAAGGCAATGACGGTGTTGCAGAGCATGATTAAGGATTGACTGGGTGGCTGGGACTGTGGGTGTAGTGTGTGAGTGAGATGGATGTACTGCAGTTGGGTGGGAAGAGGTGATTGATGGGCGTTGCTTGGTAGATCAGTGGCCATTTATATCCTAGCAGGCTCTGCCAACTTGAACGCCTGCTCTGCATGCTCAACCAAGGATCGATGACCACCCGTCCTGATGTCCATTTGTCAAAGCTCATCTGGACATCGGCAGCATGTTTTCCTTGACGGATAGGAAGTCCGAGCCGGAGAGTGAGCTGCGAATGGCGACTCATTCGTTCAGGTATTGGAAAGTCACTCAGAAGAGACCAATCTAGAGTCGTTGAGCTGAAGAATCTCCCATCCTTGACAACCCAACAACCCAATGGAACTACCTCATGTTCTCAAATGAGATTGATGTGTCAATCCTAGTGGAAAACCAACCAGCATGCAGAAACTACAAGCCTATTTTGAGTGTTACTGAGCACTTGCCACGTTTGCGGAGTGCCAAGTTCCACCTGAGTCGAACAGGACTGAGACATCATGCTCTTTTTTGTTCATAAAATCCATGCACTCTCCCTCCCAAAATCAGCAGTGAAACGAAAAAAAAAGGCAGGGCAGAATCCAAAGACAAAAAAAAGAACCCGATTAATGAATCGATCCAGGCAAATTTTGGGTACTGTTTGGCTCAGCATCAGCTGGGCAAGGATCTGCAGGCATGCCGATGTCGGCGCCGGTAGAAGTCTGGACGCTTTTTTAGAAAAACAAGTAGTGGAACATAAATACGAAAAAGAAGGTTCCTCCACCCGGTGAATAATTGTCTTACATCGAGTCAAACAATGCTCCCAAGTACTGCGGCTTCTGTTCTCAGGCAGAGCGCCGACTTGTGAGTGCCGAAAACATGCGATGAAAAAACATGTTTTTCTGTGGCTCTAGTCTCACCCTTGTGCATACCTTTTGCTTGACTCTTGTCTTTTCTCTCAAGGCATGGAGCCGAGAAACAATTGATCGCTCCAAGGCCAACCAGGATTCCGCGTCAATATCCCCGCCGGAATGATAGCAACTGATAGGAGAGCTTCACATCAGACATCAATAGGACAAGTCCTTTTGATCATCACAACACTCTCAAAACCTGTGCGGTAGCTCAGTAAGGGACGGCGTAGTCTCAGAATGTGGCGCGAATTTCACAGAATGTGTGTGAACAGCGTGTTGCTTTGCTAAAAAGGGATGGATAAACTCATGGAACACATCCAGAGCAAGCGCTAACTAGGACAAATTAAAGGCGAATGATGTTGGTAGAAAAGGGGATTGAACCAAAGAACATCTGTATGGCATGCAAAACGACGAGAGAATCTTGGATAAAGATGAGAAATAAAAGCTCTGCGTCCGTCTCGGTGTGAAAAGGTCCATGTAGCGGGAGCCCATCGGCGCATGAGATCCAGACCAAGAACATCCAACTCGAAGAGAAAAGGGTAGGACTGAGGCAACGAGGGATGTATGGGGGTCAGTATTGGAAACTATTGAATTTGGACTATAGCTAGAGCCAATGAGCGTACCCAAAGTGAAGTCGTCTTCGTCGCGGGGCGATGAAACACCTCTAATTGGTGCAGTCAACGGTGGAGAGGGCTTGAACGTTGGCGAGAGAGGGCAGGGTGACGGGGCCGAATTTTCCGCCGTTTTGGCCGTTGCAGCTCATCAAGCCACCCCCGCCACCGCCGGAGCATCGGGTGTGACCGAGCACATTGGCGTTGAGAAGGAGTGCAGATTGGTCGGCACAAGAGGTTTCGCTGGGCTGGCCGCCGAATCCCAAGCCGCTGAAAGCACCAGCGCCTGGCAGGCTGCCGAGCGTATTGTCGGTTGGGACCCCAAGCTGAAGCAGGTTGCCGAGACCTCTCGGCGAGACAGACTCGGCAAAGACCGAGTGGAGAAAAGCGAACGACAAAGCGATGACGGTGTTGCAGCGCATGGTTAAGGATCGACTGTGTGGCTGGGGCTGTGGGGTGATGTGTGTGATTTGGGTGTAGTCGAGCTAGGAGACGAGTTGAAGCTGGGGGTGAGGGGCGGGGCTCAATGAGCAGTGACTATTTATATCCTATCAGTCTGCCTAATTGCATACCTACTCCGTACGTTCAACCTGAAGGCTGAAGCGATGGCCACCTGTCTTGATGGCCACTTGTCAAAGCTCATCAGGACATCGGCAGAAGACAGACAGCAAGCCAGAGCCGGAGAGTGAGCTACGAACGGCAACCCATTGGTTCAGGTATCGGAAAGTCACTCAGAATAGACGAATATGGGGTCGCTGAGGGCAAGAATCTCCAATCCTTGACACCACAATGTCCCGATGGACCTACTTCATGTTCCCAAATGAGATTGATCTACTGATCCTTGTGGAATACTTCTGGAAAACCATCCAGTATGAAGAAAGTAAACCTATTCTGAACGTTACTGGTACATGGCCACTTTTGCAGAATGCCAAGTTCCAACTTCCAACTGAGTTGAGCAGGACTGACACATCAATGTTGCACTTGCAAGAGCTCTTGCAGGTGAATTCTTTGCTCCCAGGTAGCCATCCTTCCCATGTCATATGTCAGGTGGTATTCTGATCTTCCCTTGTTGAGCACTCTAAGTCCCTTTTCATCTGAATTTTTATTGAGCTGCATCTTTAAAATGAATCTATTGCATCTTTTTTCTGCATGTCTGTGATCCCATGAGTGGGTATTGTTTGCCTTGCAGCTCAACCACTGGTAGGAAGAACTCAAATGTTGCATCTTGAAGCAAGGTTGGCTGCCATTCCTTATCAGCTGTTATGTACATTGTTTGACAGTTGCTCCCTAAAAGGATTCCAAGTTTTGATTGCTTAACTACTTGCTCACAGTCATTTGTGGGACTGCAAAGTTGGCCCCAAAAAGCAAATACACCAATTCTGAAATGGGAAAAGAAATACAGTCAAATTCACTTTTTAGAAAAATTTGACAACCATGTGCCTAAAAGATCACTTGGTTCAAATCAAGGCTCAGTGGGTGGGCAGCATCAATTAACATGGATTGCTGCTCTGCCCAGACTTCGGCAGCTCCATTTCTACTGCAAACCAACTGCAATGGCTCCTTTGTGCTGCAGGGGGCTGAAACATATTTTGATTGGATAAATAATGGGTAGCACACTGAGATTGGCCTCATGAGTGATGTTCATGATTCCGCTATTCATCTAGTGATCTTTTTTTTAGTGGCTTCTCATTGTGGAAAGATCTACCAGTTTTTTTTTTCATTTGCAAAAGTCCTGAGTGTGGATTTTCAATGTCAAATTGTTCCTTGGGCCCATTTAATCTTGCAAGTGTCACTTTCCCCAAGGCAACTGAGAAAGTTTTGGAAAAAAATCCAATTTGCTAAGAAAAGATTCAACATATAAGTAGAATGTGGGAGATTGAAATAGGAGGAACACTGGACAAGCCATTCTGCAAATATCAAGCCCCAGAATGGGTTTCTTGTTCAAACATGTCCAGGAATCTGCAAGTCCACTAAGTAAATTGTTTCAAGTTATGTACCTCAACAGACTGACTTGAGGCAAAGCACTGACCACAACCATGTCATTGGTTCTTCATTTGATATAAGGCCCCAGGTGCCATTATAGCATGGATTTTAACTAAGTTAACATGGGATGAAGTTTAAAAATCCATGAAACACAGAAGTTTTGAACACCTAATGATGCCAATCTTATGGAAAAATCTTCTTCCAACAATTTGGTGAAAAATAGGTAAATGTTTGAATGTAAAACACATAAACAGCATAACTTAAGTGACTATGTTATTCAAATTGTTTGAATTGAATCCAATGTGGTATAAAAGCCCAAAATACCTTCCTTGTCAGATGGAATGAGGAAAGCAGACACTTGCAAATTAGCCAGTATCCACAATGTTTTCCCTATAGATTAGTGGTCAGATTGAATTAGCAAATCAGACACTTGAAAATTGAAAGTGGCAAAGCTTTATTATAGCCAGTGTCCACAAGGTTTCCCATATAGATGATTTTTTGGTCAAACAAGCATAAGCTCATCAAGCTTGTGCCATCGAAACCTTTCCATGTGGTTTAATATTTGGGTTTTCCACTGTGTTGTAGGAATCAAACCACCTGTCATAAGTGTCATCTCAGTATCTGGGCAAATGGAAAGGATCCCCCTTTTTTGGTCCAGACTATATGGTGAATGACCTCCAGCTCATGAATATAGGTTTTTAACGACATCAATTTCATCTCCATCGTCAAATGAACCTGAGTCGTAGCCACCGAGCTTGACTGTTGATACTGCACCGGCCTTTGTTTTTGGTTTTCTACACTCGGATGACTTGTGGCCTCGTTTGCCGCAGTTAGAGCACCCAAAGCGCTTGGATGAGGCGAAGGAGGCTGAGGCAAAGTCGGTTGACGTTTTTCCGTTGAGGCTAACTTCGTGAGCTTCCAAGGCACCGATGGTGTCGTCCAAAGACATCTCTTGAGCCGTATATACTATCGAGTCCTTGACAGCGGACCATGAGCTGTCTAATCCAGCAACAAGGCGATCGGCAATCTGTCGGTCGGTCGGCAACTCGTTGATTGTTAGTAATTCATCGGCCGCAACCCTGACATGACCAATCCAGAGAGCAATTGGTGTATTGGGGTCGTGTTTGGATTCCCAGAATGCTTCTTGAAGGCGAATTCTTCGAGCTCTTGTGTTCTTTTCGTAAGCGTTAACGATAGTCGTAAAGAGACGGGTAGCGGGTTTGGTTTTTCGATATCGCAAAGCCAATGGCCGCGAAAGCGTCAGACGAATCGTAGCGCAGGCAAGCTCGGAGAGAGCGTCCCAGTCGGCGACGACTTCCTTGGGGTTATAGCCTTTCGAGTAGTCCGTCGATCGTGCAACCGAGCTGTCTGATTTGGAGTCTTCCTTAGGTCTTGGGAGAGATCCGTTCACTATGTCGAGGGTGTTTTGCATACTCAAAACATCCTCGATGCGCGATCTCCAAACAGGAAACACTGCGGCGGTTCCATCCAGAGCTTTGACAGTGGACACGAGCGAGGCTACATTTTGTACTTGACGAGTCGACATGATTGAATGAGGCGATGACAGTTAGAAAAAAAAGTCGAGTGATCGGGTTTAAGGCCTTGAGTCTGAGTTTGAGAGGACAAAGATTAAGGGATTCAATGCGTATAGGAGTGAGACTGGAGGGTCTCATAACCTGTTGAGGGGAACCCAGGTGATTGAAACAGATAGAAGGCAACCGAACTCACTGTGAGGTTGACTGAGTGAGAAATGTGGCTAGATTTCGATAAGGAGAGGAGAAGAGACAGAAACCGGCAATCTAGTAGAGATGACGTGCTTAGTAGAAGCATACCTCACTACTAGCATATGATGACTACATACAGGTATCCCAACATTTAACTTTCTTGGTGGCACAAAGAGGTTTGGTTGGTATTTAGGATGGTATAAATATTTTACTGGCCACCAGCTTGTGTCATGAGTTGAACGTTGTCATCAAGTCAAACAATTGGAAAATGGTTAAACTTTGTGTCACCTTGGTCAGCTTGTAACTTGTAACTATACATACCAAAAGCATTTTGGGCATCAAGTTTTTCTGAGTTTCTGTTGTTCTTGAAGAACAACAGCTGATTTGAGAGATTTTCTGGTCCTTTCTACTAAATGTTTAAGGTATAGAATGGCAGAATTCAATCCTTTCAAAGTTTGCATCCAAGTTGTAGGTGTTTGGTTTAATTAGTAGGTTCACCCTTGACTTTTTTGAGAGTTTCTGAGATTTTTATGACCAGATTTTTCTTGAAATTTGTTATGATTAATAGTCATCATTTTTAATTTTTTTTACATTGGACTGCAGATTTCTGTCTATTCTCTTCATTTCTTTTCACTTGTATTTTTTTGCTTCACTTCTCCATGAAGCATGTGTTATGTGTGTGGGTGTTTTTCTTTGTTCTTCTGCTCTCAACAAACTGCTCACAAGGAAACATGAGTCCAAACAGTGCCAAACCGACTTGTATAACCTGACCCTATCAATAGGATGCGAGCTTTTCAATCAGGGCCTTGCCGTAGCAATCTCAAGTGCCCATTGGTGGTGGACTGAATGCTCATGATGGCTCATTTTTCCACTTACCTCACCTCACAATAAGGCGTGTATCAATGTAAGTCCAAGCACAGATCCAGTATCGGGCGTCCACACTCAGTGAGGAGCAAACACCCTCTCAGTCGCTGATGGGGATGGTGATGTTGCTGGTGGGAAGTGCGGAGAAGATGCAGAAATTGCCATTTTGTTTTCCAGGCAAAACAAGGATGCCCTCGACATCCAGAAAGACTGGCGCCATGTCCGTCAATGGACCGGGCATTTTTTTCGCTGGGGGAGACCCCCCGTCAGACGAGCTCTGGCAGCCGTCTCTTGAACTCTCTTCCCGCGCTTTGCACAATGTGCAGTTTCAGAACAAGGCACCAGTTTCCAAAAAAAAGTGTGTAGAAAGCGTGTTTGTTGCCCTAAAAGAATGGAGAAACATAACCATATAACACGCGCGAAGCAAACACTAACTGAGACAAGTAGTTAAAAGCGAATTAAGATGGCAACAAAGGGGAGGTACAGAACAGGGAGTTAGAAGGTGTGCGAAGAGAAGGCAGATAACGAAGGAATCAAGGGTGACATTGAGGTCGAGAATAAAACACTCCAGAAAGCCGCGTCCGTCTCAGTGTGAAGAAGTCTATGCAATGTGATCCCCAGTGTCTAAGAAGTTAAGAACCAGACAGTGACATCCGACTCGGAGGGACTGAGGAAATGAGGGTGGGGGAAATGTTAGTCATAGCATGGTATCAATTGTACTACAGATCAAGTGGGCGTACCTAGTGAAGCCGTCTTGGTCGTGGGGCGGAGAGGCCCCTCTAGTTGGCGCAGTCGACGGAGGTGAGGGCTTGAACGTTAGCGAGGGAGGGCAAGGTGACGGGGCCGAATTTTCCACCGTTCTGGCCGTTGCAGCTCATCAAGCCGCCCCCGCCGCCGCCGGAGCACCGGGTGTGACCGAGCACATTGGCGTTGAGAAGGAGTGCAGATTGGTCGGCACAAGAGGTTTCGCTGGGCTGGCCGCCGAATCCCAAGCCGCTGAAAGCACCGGCGCCTGGGAGGTTGCCGAGCGTGTTGTCGGTTGGGAGGCCCCCAAGCTGAAGCAGGTCGCCGAGACCTCTCGGCGAGACAGACTCGGCAAAGACCGAGTGGAGAAAAGCGAACGACAAAGCGATGACGGTGTTGCAGCGCATGGTTAAGGATCGACTGTGTGACTGGGGCTGTGGGGTTGAACTATATAATTTGGGTGTAGTGAAGCTGGGGGGCGAGTTGAAGCTGATGATGAAAGGGGAGAACACCGATGGTTAGTGTCTACTTATATCCTAGCAGTCTCTCCTACAGCCCACAGCCTACATGGCCTGCTGAGTAGGCGCAAGAATCGATGGCCAGCTGTCCTGATGTCCAATTTGTCAGAGCTCATCAGGACATCGGCGGCAGACAGACAGTAAGCCAGAGCCGGAGAGTGAGCTACGAACGGCAACCCGTTGGTTCAGGTATCGGAAAGTCAGTCAGAAGAGACAGGTCTAGAGTCGCTGAGCGCAAAAATCTCTAATGGTTGACAACCCCACAATCTGATGGAGCATCCTCTCGTTCTCAAAAGAGACGGATGTACTGATCCTTGTGGAAAACCAACCTCTACGCAGAAAAGTAAGTACAAACCGAGCTTGACTCTTTCTTGAGTGTCTCTGAGCACTTGGCCACCGTTGCGGAGTGCCATCATGTTCTAACTGAGTCGAACAGGACTGCGACTTCGTGCTCTCCTGTGATCTTATCCACAGTCATATCCTGCTTATGGTTTCAATTCACGGACAAATTAATGTGTGTTGGCTTGGTGTGCGTAAGCTGGGCAAGGATGCCGATGACAGCACCGGTCCATAAGTGTCCGGTTTTTGGGTGAGAGTTGGGACTGTTTTCCACAAGATAAAAGACTAAAACATTCAGTGGGACAACGCATTCGGCCGATCTGAGTGACGCAAACACGTGAAGAGATGGTATGTTTTTCTGCGTCTCTCGGCTTACTGGGTTCCTTTTGCTTGGAAGTGGGCCGTTCTCTCAATGCATGGGACCGACCAGCAATCGATCCCTTCAAGTTTAACGAGGACTCTGTGTTGACAACCTCGCCCGATGTGAAGACAAATGACGCGCAGGTGTAGCAGCAGGCATCCGCAAGACCGAAATTGTCGCACTGCTCGACATCTTGTCATTGCTGTGTGCCTCAGTGAGCGCCGACAAAACCTCACGAAATGGAACAAGTCTCATGTGATCGGTGTGTGTATTGTGTTACTTTCAGCCAGAGGGAAAAGACAAAAGCATAGCACAAGCGCGAAGTGGAACAACTCAAAGGGGAACGCTATTGGCACAAAGAGGGGGATCACAGGACGGGAGGTGTTGGAAAGAGTGGGAAACGAATGTAGGGAACGAAAGGCTTAGAGGGTAAGGAAGAGGAAAACGAAAGCTTCAGAAGACCGGGTCCGTCCAGGTGAGAAAAGGGTCATGCAAAGAGATCCGGTCTTGAGATCCAGATAAAGTCCATCGAACTCGAAGAAAAAGGATGGGACTGAGGAGAAGAGGGGGGGGGGGAGGAAAGTTAGCAAGAGTTTGAAAGATGCGAGGCTGAATGTCCAGTGCGGGTACCGACAACAAATGTCGCTCACGTGGTAGGGCAGAGAGGCGCCTCTAGTTGGTGCAGTCGACGGAGGTGAGGGCCTGGACATTGGCGAGAGAGGGCAAGGTGACGGGGCCGAATTTGCCGCCGTTCTGACCGTTGCAGCTCATCAAGCCGGCACCGCCACTACCGGAGCAACGGGTGTGACCGAGCACATTGGCGTTGAGAAGGAGTGCAGATTGGTCGGCACAAGAGGTTTCGCTGGGCTGGCCGCCGAATCCCAGGCCGCTGAGCATGTCACCTCCCGGTAGGTTGCCGCCGCCGAGCAAGTTGTCGGTGGGCAGGCCTCCTAAAATGTCGCCGAAGCCTCGGGGCGAGACTGACTCGGCGAAGACTGAGTAGAGAAAAGCGAAAGACAAAGCAATAACGGTGTTGCAACGCATGATTAACGATTGACTGAGTGGCTGGGACTGTGGGTGTAGTGTGTATGAGTTGGATGTTCTGGAGTTGGAAGGAAGGATGGAGGTGATGATGGTAAAAAACAGAAACCGGGTGACCAGTGGTTATTTATATCCTAGCAGGCTCTGCCAACTTGCACGCCTGCCCTGCAAGTTCAACCAATGAACGATGGCCACCAGTCCTGATGCCCATCTGTGAAGGCTCATCTGGACATGGGCAGGGTGTTTTCCTTGACAAGGAAAACACGCGCAGGAAGTGAGAGCCGGAGAGTGAGCTGCGAATGGTGACTGATTGGTTCAAGTTGCGTCGGAAAGTCACTCAGGAGAGACCAATCTGGAGTCGTTGAGCTGAAGAATCTTGTAGACCTTGACAACCCGACGACCCGATCCAACCCAATTCAACCTCTTGTTCTCCAATCAGACGGCTATACTGATCCTTGCGGAAAACCTTCCAGTTGGTAGGAGTCAAACCCACGTTGGACGTCACTGAGCAGATGGCCACTGTTTGAAAATGCCAACTGAGGCAAGCAGGGCTGGGACATCATGCTCTCTTTTGTTCATCAGTCGAATCTTGACTGTCTGTTTGAGTTCTCCACCTGCTTGTGTCTGGTTCCTATCTCCCACCCTTCTTGATCCATGAAGGAAAAGAAATCGCTTTGGTCTACAGTACGTTATTTCCACAGAAAGAACACATATATATTTACATCCCCTTTCAGCTAGATGGATAAGAATATGGTTTTTTGTACGAGGAAAGTCATTGGCTTCCATAATGAAGCTGGATGAAAAAAGGGCTTAATAGGGCAAAGAGCAGAAGAGACACATATACACAGCTGCATGAACACACACACCCACACAAGCAATGACGATAGGACAGAAACGAATAGAAGAGAGAAAGAGAGATGAGGAGAGCTAGATACAGGTATAGAGCACCAAGACACACAGAAGAGCCGTCAGGGAATAGAAGCGGGGCCCTCAAGATCTACGTTTATAGAGACAGAGTTCGCCGAAGCTAAGTTTTCCTTTACGGTCACCAACATGAGCATCCGTCCACCAAGGGAGGGGCAGCCAGACCGTCCTGAAGGCTGTCGGGGTCTCCTGGGCATCTAGCATCTTGACGCACCGCCGAGGCTCCCACAGCGTCGCGTCTTCAAACTCGTTCCCGCGCCAGCCTGAACTCCGGTGCGGGTAATTCAGCCCGATCGCATACGAGCATTGGCTCTCTGGGTCAACCTGGATTCCATGAAATTTCGTCCCAACGTTCTTTTGATTAGTCGTTGGGTCACATGTATCTCCATCAGATGGACACTATATCGGGAAAAAAGGGCTTACATATCGATCGGCCTCCTCTTTATTTTGAGCGTTGAACTTCCCACCGTTCGTTCGAGTCCCTCTCCGTCTCCATAGCCACTTGCTGAAAGGATGGGCGGTGGAGGTAGCGGAGGACTGGGGTTCCAGTTTGAGTTGACGAGAGCCATCGAACTGATCCTTCTTGGGGGAGGATTGGAACTTGGAGGGCAAGATACCTTCGAAGGGGCTCTTGACGAACTCGACGTTGATGGGATCGGGGACGAGGAACTGGGTGGGGAAGCGGAACCAGCTGTCGCCGAGACAGAGCGTGAGCTTTTCCTTGGCCAACGGGCCCAGATCGAGCGTGTATTCGGCATGCTCGATCGCCTCCAGTATCGGCATCGAGGTGTTCAGACGCAGGTATGTATACTCCGCCGGGTGCGATTGGATCGCTCGTACCGGTAGCTCGTTGTATTGGAAATGGAACATCAGGTCAAGGGGCGCATGGTAATACTTCTGGAGCGCAAGGATCCGCGCAATCGCAATCCAAGAGCTTGTCAAGATCACTGTCCTGGTAAACGTAGAAAATATGCTCGTCCGGCCCGCCTGTTAGAAAAGAAAAATTAGGCTTCAATCGTCGAGACAATGAAAAAAAAAATAATGCAATTTGATGGGGAAATAAAAATGAAAGAGGCTGACTCTGTAAGGAGATGATGTCATCTTGACAAAGATATCTTCCATCCAGCCTCTGATCAACGATAGAGAGACGGCGGCATTGAATGAGATAAGAGTGTAGATGGGTTGCATGAATCTTTCTTCCTTGTGAGGTTGTTGAGACATGAGTGCGATCCAAGCGTATACAGGCACGAGACGGACGATCAACAAATGAGAGGATGGGGTTTGGTTGGCAAGCCGGAGTTTCTGGCCGAGTCGGACGCCTCTGGTCTTCGAAAACCGACTGGTGAACAAGACGAGAGGAATCGAAAGTAGGGCGAGGATGAAGACGATGTTGAAGTTGAGGAGCAAGTTGAGCAGGTAGAAATAGGCTGGTTCGGTTCCATAGAGTTCAGGGCCGCCGGCACTCGCACCAAACTTGCCAGGGAAGACGTTGTACATGACAATGTTGAGCGGGACAAAGAGCAACTTCCCGTATGCGAGCCAATCGACAAACACGATCGGCGCGGAGATCATGACCACGCAGGCGAGGCCATAGACGAAGAGTCGATTGAAGCGAGAGGCTGCCCATCCCGGTCGCGAGGCTGGCATCACTTCATCATCACCGTACAAGCTGAGTTCTTCAAGTGCAAAGGGCAAAGCTAGAACGCCGACGAAAGGCCATCCGGCTACGGTGGCGATGACAAAGAACAGACACGAGAGGAATGTACGGTGACCGCTGGTCGATTTGGAGGACACCGGCTCGAGGACGTAGGAGTAGGCCAAGGTGATTGCTTGCATTGCGAACGCCGAGGGCAGATATGCTAATGATCGATCACCAGGAGTAGAGAGGTTAGAAACAACGTCTTTTCGTCGGCACCCACGCAGATCACACTTGAAAAAAGAGCACTCACCTGTGCTGGCACTCCACATTGCGGCACTAAAGAGAGACATGCTCAAGTAGTAACGCGCTGCGCGAGGATTAATGTGATCGGCAATAGCGCGGTAGAGTTTTGCTTCGGTGTAAGAGGATAGGAAGGCCAACATGGCCCTGATTGCAAAAAAACCTGGTCTCTGGAAGATTAAGGAAGAAGAAGAAGAAGTTAGCCCGAGAGATCGATTAAATAGATCATGACTTGAGATGAGAGATCGTTTGATGTGATCTACCTTGTCTAACGGGAAGGCTTTACTAGCTAGCCAGGCTGGGAAGGAGTGGATTAAGATAAAGAACCAAGAGCGGATCGAATAGTCTGGAGAGTATTCCCAAGTTTGAAAGCCTTTCCCATGGACTAGATAATGGGTTGGCTCCCAGAAGTTGAACGCTACGCAATCGATCGCAATGAAAAAAAATCCATATTAATTCCTAATTCTCTTGTGTTGGTGAAAAAAAAAAAAAGAACAAACTGAATCTCAACCTACTTTCGTCACAGTCGCTGATCGAGCTGTACATGGCAGCACAGAAACGAACTAGGACGAGGATCCGAAAGGCGACGGATAGTTTGGGTACCCATGGAGGTCTATTCCTGTGTATATTATTATATTAGAATGGTGCAAAGCTGTCAGTATCTTCTTAGGAATTTTGTGCAGGTTAAGTAAGAGTCAGACGAACCTGTTGATCTGTTCGGCAATCAGTGTGTCTTTGACGACGAAGTGCTTGGCGGCCTTGAGTTTCTCGCTACTGTCAGCGGCCTTGGAGGCTGATGAGTTGTTGGTCGGTTTCCTGAATCGGATGGTTTGTGCACCCGCTGGTAGCATGGTGGATGTTTTTGTGTCTGAGTTCGTTCACTTTGGTGTTTGTCGTTCTCCTTGGGGGTGGTAGTCGTTGGCTTTTAAATGGTTGCCATTCTGTTTTGAAGCCTCGTCTTATAGGTTGTATGTAGTCAGCTTTTAATCTGGAGAGAAGAGAAAGAACACTCTCCTGATAATGATCAACATTAACAGTGGCTTACATAATAAGCAAATCGATCGACCACTTTAACTTTAACTTAAACTTAACTTAGTACTGCACAACCCGATCAGCAGCCGATCAAACACACCCCGACATTCAACAGTTGAAGATTGATCCGAAGAACGCCACTAAATAATTCCTTGGAAAGGATCAGGGATCTCTCCCCGGTTGTTTGTTGACAGCAAAGAATAATTCATTCACTTGCCATAGACATACATACCGATCAAGCAACACTCTAATCATCCATTTCCACAGAAAAAAAAAGCAAACATCCTGATCCATGGTCACGAGCATTCCATAGAGAACAGATAATTATTCCCAAGCTGGAATTGCAGCAGCTGCTGATATACACACACTACATCCTTTCATTTTTCAAGTCGAAAGAGGAACCGAAAAAAAAAATGAAAAAAGAACAATGATCACTGATGATATTTGTTAATGGGTGATTCTCTAGCCAAGAATGACTGTTATAGATATTTTGGTCTGAATGAGAGCGTAGGAAAAGTGTCAAGAGTTGTCTTGACCTTTCTCAACCTACAGAATACGAGAACATAGAGGGGCATAATATATATACACTGACACATAAGGAAGTCACCAATGGTAAAAACAATAAAATATTATTTTTTTTCGGAAAAGGCTCTTGTGACGAAGGGTCTGCATGCAGTATGACATCCAAAAAGAAAATAGAGAGAAAGAGAGAGGGAATGGAACCAGATAAAGGGAAGACGCTAGATCATTCTTAGTTGTCAATACTCCTCGAAAGCGTTATTCTTCAGGCCGATTCTGTCGGTTGATTATCGGATTCAGGATTATTACTAGTCTTACTCAAAGTAGCCTTCCTTCGTTCCTTCAATTTGTTCTCGATCTCATCACTATACATATATAAGAAGGCAACCAAAAAAATAAAAAAAGGTGATGTGAGATGACAGGGTTTTTTTTGTTGTTGTTTCGGAATCAAGTTCTGGGATGGCTCGACTTGAGTTTGTACATATTAACTCACGCTTCATACTCCTCTCCAACTCGCACAGCTTCGACTTTCTGCATCGTCAAGCTCGCACAATCTTTGCATAACCTGTCTTCGTCTGACTTGTGTTTCGATAATTCTGAAAGAAAAAAAGGGGGGGGGAATTTACCAAGAAAGAAAGTGAGCAATCATCTTCTTCATTCACATCAAATTATGAAAAGGATGGAGCACTCCTCGTCGGCTTAATCCTCCTTTCATTGTTTCCGACATCTTCCGCGAGAAAAAAATATAGAAGATGTTCTCATGAGTTGGGAATTGAATGAAAAAAAAGAACTCAACGGGCTTGGGCGAATTTGGCCTATGATGACGAACGATTCCCGTGCAAATTTTGTGTTTCCACAGGGGGAGGGGAGGAGGGGAAGAAGAGGGCCGATACTTGATCAGTCTGGATCACCAATCACTGGGCGGACTCTCGAGGTGAATGGATCAATTGGTAGAAAAAAAAAAAACGGAGAGGTCACTGAATTCTGATTACCCTGGGCAGACGTTGTTCGCAGTCACTACTGTTGAAATCGGATTTTTTCGGTGTGGATTTTTGTACAAGAAGTATCAGCTCATTGAAATAACAAAAAAAAAACAGGGAGGGAGGGAGAAAGATCAAGAAGTTTATTCGATCAAAGGACTGGATCGACCCACCAGTAGAACTCGTTCGTCTGTTGCGGCATGCATCTCCGACACCAGATCTTCTTCAAGAGCGCGCGTCTCTCGATCGCTCTGCTCTTTTCCTGCTCGGCATCGTACTCGATCGGGATCTTTTTCTCCTCCTCTTCAGCCTGTGTTTTTTTTTTGGCAAGGTTACAAAACATCAAACTTGATTAGATTCATCTGGATTTCTCATCGTGATAATTTTTTTGAGAGTGGGAGGGGGGGGGGGGGGATGAGTGAGCTCACACATTGCTTGATTCCGAACCGCTTGGTGAGCTGATGGCCGTCGAACTGATCGAGGTCTTTGACCTAATACTTGCAAGTACATAAACATGTTTTTGTGATCATCAAACAGGCGCCGGTCAGCGCGGTCTTCCCCAAGTCCAACATCATCATCTAGAATGATCGTCTTGTTCTGCGAATCAATCTGGTGTCGGACAGAAAAGAGAGAAACACGAGATGTAGAAACATCTTTTTTGTCCGAGTGAGACGCACCATCTTACAAGCGGTGCAGAAGATTGACTTTCGACTGATCATGATGGGTCCGGATAATCATATCGTTTTCGTACCAGTCAAGCGGGGAGGAAGCATCAAAAAAAGGGAACAGGTCGACAAGCCACATCAGTACGGCCATATCCTTCGCTGACTTCTCTTTTGCAACGCGCTCAAGCGTATACAGGGACTGTCAGATTGGAATCCTGAAGTGAGCCGGCTCTGGACTATCCGAAGCTTCTGTTCTTGGATATCTTGAATGGTTAGTAGCAAGATAGAACGCTGCAGTGACATACCCTTTATTTTGATTGGAACGATCAGCTGGCATGATGATGGAAAAAAGCAGCTTTTGAGGAGGAAAATATTGATTGAGAGGTTGATTGGTTCAAGGGAAAAGGAGGAGATGGGCAGATGAGAGGAGAGTGCCAAGCTGGATTAACGAGAACAAGATAGACCAGAACTCAACACGCTAAGTCACACCACATCGCTTTGATATCCGCCTTTGATGATGAGCATAAAGATACGGTGATACCTATGACTTGTCTGCAAGAAATCGCAGAAACAGAGCCAAACAAGCATTTTCCTCATGTAATACTTCAATACACAGAGTCAGCAGTCTGCCACCACGTGCAAATCCTCTCATCGTCCCTCTCGGCATGCATGTATATTTATCGCTGATTCACAGAGTCCAGACTCATAACATGACTGGCACCCCAAGTTTTTCGTACTCGACAGTGTTCAAATGTTACTCGAAGAAAAGGAGCAGGGGACAATGAATAGTGGACAAAGGCGACATCGAGTGAAGTCCAGCCACATCTTTGTAAATGGTTTAAATTGTTGGTTGTACTGTAGTGGATTGCCACATAGGAGCCATAAAGGGTGCATGATCACTCGAAGATCTAAAATCGCATGTGGCCATCACCTCACATTTCCGCCATGTTGTCCAATGCCAAATTCCATTACATCGGTGGACGCGTTTTGAGTACATACGTACGCAGCATATGTAGAGGGATGGTGGGTGGTCTTGAAGCATAGGTTTAACAAGGAGGACTGATCACACAATCGGTCTGGCAAAAGCCATGTTGCATACATCCGTACCGTCCTCAAGTCGCCGACTTGACATGATGTAAGGTAGAGGCATGCTCAGTTTATTCGCGAGTACATTGATATGAACAAACAAAAAACGCGCCGAGGAGGTAAAGGGAAGGTATAATCGAGGCGGTCTAGCAGTTAGAATAAGCACAAACGAGCCGCATTGAACGAGTCAATACGACGGAGGACAAGATCATAATGAAGATGGCGCGTTGTTCTGCATGAGTAGGCAGCAAAAGGAGACAAAGAAAAGCGACGAGACTAATAATAGTCCAACATTTAGGGTATGTGAATGGGACACGAACGGCGCGGATTGGAAATCACATCTTGCAAGACAATTCCGTAGATGTGAAGATTAGTTCAAGTCACAGCTCAAGGTCTACTCATTTGGCTGGTTTTTTGGGTTTGTTGTAAGTGATTTGACTGACTGAGGTTCCGAACAGGTCAAAGTAAAAGCAGGAAGGTGATATATCAGTCCCCAAGCTCGATGATAAGATAGCGTAGCCGCGGCAAAGAAAAAGGGGTCAAGCAAGAGGTGAAAAGAAGAGACCGCAAGACTGACGAGTTTTCAAGATGCTATCGCATTGGACGGTAGAACAAAGTCTGACGGGGTTGGTTTTGACACTTTCGGGTAATAAATTCAATCCAGCCGATCTTTCGACGGATTCGACGGGGACTTCGAATGATGTGAGTGGCTGGTCGTTGGAGATCTTATCGTTGGGGAGGACGAAGGAGCCCAGGACGCCTTTGCCAGCCGAATCCAACTTCCCACCCGTGGCAAAGACTACTTTTGCAAAATGGGTCGGGACGGCTACGTTGGGTGGATTGCCTATGATAATCCGATTTGGAAAAACAAGGCACCAGAATTAACACTCATCAATATCTCTCTATGGCTAAGATAGTTTTCATTCTTACCGATTACTTCGTAGCTCACGATCTGCTTCTTAGTCACTGGATCCTGCTTGGGAAGGTACATTGGCAAGGTGAACACATATACATCTTGAAATGAGTTTGTCAGTTGTCGAACAAAGCCCTCAAGGTGTGCCCAGTCTGTGTCCCCGAATCCATCGGCGTGAAGAAAGATGAATAAATATGAGCGACAAACGTCCCATGTGGGGTAACTCATAGCATCTTTTTTTTTTGTTGGTGAGAACCAAGAATATTTGAAAGATTACTGACAATCCCGATTAAATCCCTCTCCTACTTGAGGGGCGATATTCGATAGTAAAAAGGTTTGGTTCATGGCTGATTGACTTCTTTTGGCATCGGCCGCTGGGACCTACCAAAAAATGGATCAAAATAAAAATTCAGTTAGAGACCCAGATGACTCTGAGAGCTTGATTAAGTCGGGACACCAACCATGTGTCCACGATCATATCCACTCCTGAAGTAATCGCTTAGTTTGGATCGAAACTGACTGGGTATTGACATGTCCTCATGGAATGTTCTGAGTATTTTTTTTTGTGGGATTAGCATGTCGGTCAATCAGTTTTTCTTGGATAATTTACTTTCGGAAGGGAACATCGGGGCATCAGGGGAATAAAGGAAGACGGATAAGAAAAGGAAAGAACTCAAAACGAATGAGACCGATCCGGTTTATCATCACCATCACTCGCTTTGAGGTTACTGCTCGTCAGATGTTCGGCTGTCCAAGCAGGATTTCTGGTCCTTCTATCATATCCAACTGCGTATGCCTCCCTGGCGAAAAAATCGCTAATTGGACCTAGACAATTATTGCAAACCAAAGGAAAAGATGTGAGTTTAGGATGTGACTTTTTTTAGCAAAACAAAAGAATAGAAAGACTGACCAGGATTGCCGAATCTGAGGATCTCTTTGAGTGATGAGGATTGGCTGGGAGGGGTAGATGGTGCTTGTGGGACTGAGAAGAAGTGTTGTTGTTGGAAGGGAGCCTGTTGGCTGCTGACTGAGTTTGTGGGAATAGTATTGATGGAGTTCTGGTTATCCGAGTGAGACGAGTGAGTTGGATGACTTGAGCGTTGATTTGAGTAAACTATTGATCCAACTCCAATCAGCAAGCCTGCTGCAAATACGGCGGAGTGAGACAGTGTTGATGCCATGGGGATATCAATTGAATAATTTAATCTTGCTTGCTTGATTGATTGATGGTATATTGAATGTTGCTCCTCGAAAGAAATAAACGAATCCAAAGTACGGCTTTCTTGGTTTGGCTTGAGAGCTTATAGAAGGTTCAGGTTGGCTGGATTACCTATAAAACCAGTTTGCTAGCTGTCAGTTACCTCAGAAAAAACTTTGCAGGTTTATGTAAACGCAGATTTCCTTCAGGAGGTTCAGGTTGAAAGGGGAGTGAGAATGAAAATGTTTATTGATTACACACACATGCAGATCAAACTACGAACTTGACGATTGATAGGTTTCCTCCTGAGTCCTATGTGAGCAATCGGCGTTGGTAATGGTATGGTACTTTCGGAGGTTGGCTGTCTTCAAGAATTCTGGGCCACTTTGACAAGAAAAGTGATCGTCTGCTGTGTCTGATTTGCATGGATTTTATTCATTTCGGACGGGATTTTATTATGTCATCCTGGTCCTTTTCTCCTCCAACTTCCGCACCACTGCGGCACCACTCAAGTTTTGCGCCCTGTTCTGGGCCGAGCTTAACATAAGCCTCGCGATCGGAGGGTCCCGAAGGGACCCCGCGTCCGAAGGGACGCTCTCCGAAGGAGAGGCTTACCTCCAAAGCCCCTCCGATGACTCAAGGTAAATGAGATTTCTGCGAAAAAAACGCTTATTTTGCCTTCGAAAATTATTTAAAAATGTACTCTTCAACTTTTCGTAATTCTGAGTAGGCAGAATTGTACTTTATCATCTCAGCTCTCAGACCGATCCTTTTTGTAATTTTTTGCCTTAAAACCATTGTCCCTCCGATGTTTTTAGCTGGTGATGATCTGAATTTTGCCAAGATCCAATTCGGATCCGACTTCATCAGATCGTGGACCCTCTCACGGGTTCCTGTCGGATTCTGCGCAATTGCATAGTATCCGGTTTTCAATAGTGAGTGTTTGTATTGGCAGGCATTAGATCTCTCAGCGTTCAAATGCCTCACCATCGCTTAAGTATAAGAGTATTTTTAGATGATGTGTAATGAAAAAAACTCATGTGACATTATCTCACATACTATGCTTCACCGAATTACACATTCATGACCGGATCTTTTGGTGGAAAATCCGGCTTTGAAAAAGCCGGATTGTTTACAGATAGTTTCCACAGCCCCAACTTTACAGGACAATTCTCAGGAACAGGAACAGATATTGAAGATTTGGAGGATACATTAATTATCCTGTAAGCCTTGCGATTTCAATGGTACCAGAGGCGGGATGGGTACATGAGTGCTAGTGGGTGCTATCGGGGAGGGGGAGCTACTCACAGCCAATTGGCTGGACTCTGTAGGGTGAGACTTGCCACTTTCGATGCAAGTCCCTCCTTCGGAGGTCGCTACGCGACCTCCTCGGAGGGACCTTGTGTTAAGTTCGGTTCTGGGCCAGGCCCTTCAGATTCACCCCTTCTACTCTAGTGGGGGCAGAACATTCGAGGATAGGAGCAGAATGCAGCTGCTTGGTGATCCATACCAACCCCTGGAGAGTAGACGGAGAGGCTCTCCCAGTCCCGGAGCGGGAGGGCATAGTCTCATCTCCTTCCTGGTAGAATCAGCAGTTGTCTCGACGGCAGTGGGCAACACCGCTGGCTCACACATAGCTTGATCTAGTGCTCCGTGCTAAAGGTCAAGGGAGAGAGACTTTTCCGAGTCGTGACTAGCGCATCAAAGGCAAGCTTGAATTTATATTCCCTTCCCCCAAGGCCAAGTATTGGAGTCCCAGGAGTAGCGACCTCTTCAGAGTCACAATGGCATGATGCCTAGTTGGAAAAGCATAACTCGGATGATAGCTAGTGCAACTCGTAACTTTTACATCTTTGGATGGCGGAATGATGGGTGATTCCGATGCCGATATGGTTAAAATGATAAAAAAAACTGATTCAAGTGACTCAAGAGCGCTATCCATCAACAGTTTTCAACAAGCATAATGTTGTTAAGCAACGATGACTCATCTAGATGGAAACAAACCTATTGGTCCTGTCGGCGAGTGATTCGGGATGTCAACAACTCGTCCGGCCCGAATTAAGCATTTCTTTTCGTCCAACTTCAATCCACACTTACCGCGGCTGGCCCTAGGAAAACATATGTGTGACTCCCTTCTTGCGGAGTCGACCCAGCCATAACCTTTCTGGAAAAGGCATGTTAGTAAACTGTGCGATTAAGATCAACGGAGTTCCGCTTCAACATCCCATTTTTTTTGTCTTTCTTCCCATCCGATCACATTATCATCCATTTCTATTCCCTTTAGCAACAAGTCAAATCGTGATAATAATCGGAAAGTTGTATAACAAAGGCTGCGCTACAGAATACAACCCCGGTTGAGCTATCAGCTTTCTGCTGACGATCCCCAGTGAATGACATCCGGCATATCAGCGCCTGGCATAGTTGACCGCATTGAGTATTGCCTCCTTAAGAGATTTATTGCAGTGTACTCGTTTTGCATTACGCTGATAGGAGGTAAATCAGAAGGATTCTTGCGGCGAGGTTCTGGCTATGATCAAGGGAGTTCCGGCTTCCTAATTTTTCTGTTCTCATATCCGTCACCAGAGTGACTGATCAGGCCAATGATCCAGTGAAGCTTGCACCAACCTAGATTTTATGCTATGTAATTGTGAGCTTTTCACCCATGTCTATAGGTTGCTCTTTGTTCGGCAACACAAAACAGGCTCTCCATAAGGAAGCTCGTCTCAAATTTTCTAATCGATTCTGATTGCCAGACATGCAGGAGATTGGTGGCATAGCTTCCGCGCTGTTGTGCCGATGACGCAATGACAGATCACTGCAGCTCGCTGGCTTCATTGTTGGATGAAACCGGATTATCAAATGTGAATTACCGTCTATATATGCGTGTCTTCCTTCAACCATAGCCCTTCATTTGCCCAGCGAAGATCATTTCTATTTACTCTTTACTCTTACATCACCATCCACATTACATTTACTCACTTGACTCTCGAAATGACTGATACAAACCCTCAAAAAAGACTACGTGTTCTCATCTCTGGAGCCGGTATCGGTGGTCTCGTTGCTGCTTATTGGCTGGGCAAGGCAGGAGCCTCTGTGACAGTCCTAGAGCGAGCCAAGGACCTACGCAAAGAAGGACATATCGTCGGTATTCGCAAGGAAGCCCTTCCAATCATTAACTATATGGGTCTTGAGGAAGATATTCGAAGACAAATGTCTCACGAGATGGGCCTCAAACTGGTCGATAACAACAACTCGACCTGGGCGGCGTTCCCTCCGGGTGATTTGGGCTTTAGCTGTGGTGTGGAGTTGCGACGAGGTGACCTGGTGAAATCGCTTTACGAAAGGACAAAGGATCAAGCCCACTTCATCTTGGGCAAGACTATCAATACTATTGAAGAAAATAATGAATCCATATGCGTGACTCTTGGCGACAATGCAGAGGTGCTTCAGTTTGACGTCCTCCTGGTTGCCGAAGGCTTGAGGTCAAAGACACGAGCCAGAATCTTCAAGGAGAAAGTCGACACACCAATCTCTAGCTTGGGCTTATTGGCTGCCTCGTTCTCTTATAAGTCGGAGGACAATTGGGCGTATTGGTACAACATTCCAGACCATCGCGCTCTTCTACTCCGGCCCGATCGGTTTGGCCAGACACGAACCTTGGCGATGTGCAGAAAAAGTGAGGAGTACACCACCTCCACAAATCTGGTTAGCTCAAAGACTCCGGTCGAGCAACAGAAAGATTTCTTCATTCGGCGCTTCAAACAAACGGGCTGGGAGAAGACCGGCAAGATCATGAGAGCCATGAACGACGCCGACGACTTTTACGTCCTCGAGATGGTACAAGTGAAATGCAAGAAATGGTCGAGAGGGAGGACAGTCCTTCTGGGCGATTCGGCGTACTGTCCTTCTCCGTTTGGTGGGATGGGCACGACTGCTGCGATTATCGGCGCGTACAGTTTGGCCGCTAAGCTGGTGCAGACGCCGGGCGACCACAGATCGGCTTTTGAATCCTATGAGAATTTGTTGAGACCATGGGCCGAATCGATTCAAAAACCGGTGGCAATGACCATCCATTTCGGGCTACCTGGCACTAGAATGGGCATCCGATTCTTTCACCTTTTGGGTTTTTTCGTTTCGTTGCCTCTAGTCAGTACCATCTTGCCGTTCCTCATTCCGTTCCTGGTCCAATTGGGTCTCCCCGTGAACGCCATTGCCCCGAGGAATCCAAAGCCTTCGGTATTTCAAAGAATCTGAACATACCCAAGGATCCAATCTTCCACTGAGGCAGCTCAGTCAGTCTCAAAGATATTTACAAGATTTTACGTGACAGCCTGATTGATCATGAGCATATCGCGCGGATTGCTTTTTGTGCTTCTTGTTTCTTTTTATTTTATTCAGTTATCCCATATTTTCACCTTTTTTCATTTCAAGCTATAGGCTTCCGTATTTGCCTCCTACAATTTTTCCTAGGGGAAATAAGGCAATCAACTACAAGAAATCTAATAAAACATTCAGCTTTCTATATGGAATTAAAACTTGAGGGGTTACCGATTTTCAAAAGGTAGTACATGGTTAGGCTAGACAAGGTAGGGTAATGAAGACCGCACAGTCCCTATTTACATGAAGAGACGTGTTCATGAGAGAAAAGCTTGAGAAAAGAGTTGGGATACAACCGGAGAAGCTAAAGATCATCGGAATTGTTCATCGTGTCAACCAATTCTTGAAGGGAGAGAAATTGTTGATGAGCGAAAGACAAGCTGCGGTTTATTCCTCGGAGTTTCAAAAATAGAGGGATCCGGAAGGTTTAAGTTTGCCTTGCTAGTGACACGAAAGTGGATGGCAGGATTGAGTTTGCTCAAGAGCGCAAAGAAGCGACTATTGATGACCGTAGAGATAAGATACACAACCACCAAGAATATTTTGATTCCCCATGCAGTTTCCGGGTTCAGTAGCTTAGGGACTCCTGGAGGGAGCTTTTGGATCTCTTCGATCCAGGTGCGTAAAGTGTCATCATAGGCGGAAAATGCGGCTTGGTGATCCAATGGGTTCTTGACGATCTCAGCGGCCAAGACGTATGCGCCTGCGATGGCCGCCGTGGTGCCCATGCCCGTGACCGCCGATGGACAGAAGGCCGTATCACCTACCAGGACCACTCTCCCCTTGGACCATGCTTTGGCCTTGGTCTGGGCGATCTCTTGAACGTAGAGGTCGTTGGCTGTACGGAGGCCTTCAAGAATCTTGTCGGACTCCCATCCGGATCCCTTGAACAGATTGATAAAGTACTCTTTCTGTTTCTCAGTCGAAGTGCGCGAGCTTGCGATCAACTTGATGGCCTCGCCCTCATCGATGCATGAGGCCGTAGCTCGGACTCGTCCAAACCCATCTGGCCTAACAAGGAAACCCTTGCGGTTTGGAATGTTGTACCAGCGCGCCCAGTCTTCGTCTGAGTCTCCCTGTTCGTAGGAGAACGAGGCAGCCCAGATGTTCAAGCTTCGGATCGGGGTGCGTAAGTCCTCATTGAAGGCTTTGGCGCGTGTCCGTGAAGTGAGGCCCTCGGCGACAATCAGGATATCGTATTCCATGTGTCTTGAGCTGTCCTTCTGCAAGGTCACTTTGACCGAATGGCCGGTCTCTTCGATCGAATCAATCGAATCCCCAAAGATGTACTCGATTTTATCCCCTGAAGCCTCGTAGAAGATCGTCGCCAGCTCGCCCCTGACGATTTCAAACTCACTCGTGAAGCTCCCCTCGCCGGATTGAGGAAAAGCACCCCAAGTCTGATTGTTGGAATCCACGAACTTAATTCCGAGTTCCTTCGTTGTTCGTCTTCGAACCTCTTCCTCGACCGCCATCCATTTCATGACCTTAACTCCTTCGTTCCGAATATCAACTGTTTGTCCCTCCTTTCGAAGGCAATCGCAGCGCTCCAACACGGTGACTGAGACGCCCGCCTTGCTGAGCCAATAGGCGGCCACAGGCCCGGCGATCCCAATGCCTGAGATGAGCACCCGTAGGTTTGTCGGACTGGATGTGGAGGCCATTCAACTGAGAAATAGATCCGAACTATGTTGGAGATACGGTGCACGACAAGTGTTTCAGGCTTTCACTTGCGTCCAAGAAGTCTGAGACCCACAATAAAACAAAGCTTAGATGAAAGTTAGGCATACGATGATAACCAGAAAACATTGAACTCACATGATCTAGAGATTTAAGCTTTCCGGCCCAGTGCGAATTGAATACGAGTCCTTGATCAATAAACTATACAAAAATTGAGACCATGCTAGGCTTTCCAAAATGGTCGTGCAGAGAATTGCGGCTAGGAAGCCCACAACAGATAATTGGAGAAGAACTCATCCCTTTGTTCAACTTTGGTCTTTAGCCCCCTGCCCCACTTCCACGATATGTCGATTCACCATCAAGACTAATTGGCCGGAATATGCACGCATGCCGGCTGTGAAACAACCTGCCAAACACATGTGAAAAAAGCAATAATCCAACACCATCAGCCACAATCTAGATATCCTACAAAAAAATCAAAGGGAATGGCAACATTGATGTTGCCAATCTGTCAGTTCAATGGAACTTGACCTTAACAAAGCTGACCAAAGCCTTTGGTCAGCTTTGTCGTCAAAGTCAATGGCACAGCAATCCAAAGGATAATCATCTGATATCTGAGTTGACCTCATGTATTTCACAATGTTTGGATGTACATAATTTCAATAGCCCACTTTTTCAGCCAAGCTTGTAAAGTTGTAACTTGTTGGGAAAAGCCATACACTTCTTTGCGCAGACCCCACCTACAGGCACAGTGAAAGGCTTTCCTCAAGTCTCTTTTTTTTGCAAATCCATTCCCTCAAAAGACAGTCTAGAGGCACACAGAAAGTCCCTTCCCAAGGGGTCATGTACGCTTGGATAGCTTTGAGGGTAGTTTTAAATATTTAGTGTCCCAACCTGGTGCATATGAGACTGATTTCACCCATCATTTACCTTAACCCCACAGATATCTGGCACAGGTCCAGAATTTTGCAGTCCTCCAGCCCAATTTTTGTGTTGTATTTGTTGCTACAGTACAATAGATTGAAAAAAGGGAAGGGAAAGTCACTGTCAAAAATACTTTTCTTTAGCCCCCATCCAAACTTTGATCATGAAATCCCCACCAACAGCCCAAGGTTTGGGGGTTTGCAGCACCTGACTGGACAATTCTCTCCCCCAATTCCAAACCCTTATCTGACATTCAAGTTGCAAGTATGTTTTCAAAAGTTTTTTCAGACCTAATCCAAAATCTTGCACTTTTCTTCTTGCATCTTGTTCATGTCATGGATAAGAACATTTCTTTTTTCAGATGTGCTCCTATTTCCCCTCAGGCTCAACCCTTCACAAGTTATATGTTTTTAACCAGCTACCAACCCTTTGTGAGTAAAAACACATTGTTTATTAAACTTTTCACAGTTACATTCTATATGAAAACAGTCTTTATAATAATTTCAAAAATCAGCATTGATGAAGAGAGTATGCATAAAATTCACCAAAATAATCACATGTGTCTACTTTCAGTCAAGACCGCTCTGCATCATGAATGCCTTTTTTGAAAAAATCTTTGTAAATCTGGACACATATCTTACTATTGAAGACATTCTCCTTGCAAGTTAATTGATTGACATACAAAAAGGGAATAAAAAAATAAATGGGACTGACACCGCTACATACAGTGTTTTTTTTTATGTTGTGTTGAGACAATCTTTTGGTTGCTTTGAATTGATACCTATGAATCCTGAGCTATAGTAGAAAGACAAACATGGGGATGAAAATAAAAAACTGGCAGACTATTCTTTATTCCTATGTTGTTCAAATATAGAGGGATCTGGAAGGGCTAAGGCTGTTTTAGTAGTGATGTCGAAATAAATAGTAGGGTTAAGTTTACTCAAGAGCGCAAAAAGCCGACTGTTAACGACCGTCGAGACGAGAAACATGAACCCAAGGAAGCATTTGATTCCCCATCCAGTTTGGGGATGCATCAGATTCGGCACGCCCGGGGGGAGCTTCTGGACCTTCTCGATCCAGTCGCGCAAGCTACCTTCATAGGCGGAGAATGCGGCGCGATGATCGGACGGGTTCTTGACGATCTCAGCGGCGAGAACGTATGCACCCGTGATGGCCGCCGTTGTACCCATGCCAGTGACCGCCGAGGGACAGAAGGCCGTATCGCCCACTAAGACTACTCTACCCTTGGACCATGTTTTAGCCTTGGTCTGAGCAATCTCTTGCACGTAGAGGTCATCGGCCGTACGCAGGCCTTCAAGGATTCTGTCGGACTCCCAACCGGTTCCTTTATGGGTATTGATAAAGTATTCCTTCTGCTTCTCGGTCGAGGTGCGCGAGCTGGCGATTGCCTTGATAGCCTCCCCGTCATCGATACACATGGCCGAGGCTCGTACCCTGCCGAACCCATCTGGCCGAACGAGGAAGCCCCGGCGGTTTGGAATGTTGTACCAGCGTGCCCAGTCCTCGTCCGTGTCTCCTTGTTTGTACGAGAACGAGGCGGCCCAGAGATTCAAGCTTCGAATCGGAGCGCGTACGTCCTCGTTGAAGGCTTTGGCGCGGGTCCGTGAAGTGAGTCCCTCGGCGACAATCAGGATATCGTATTCCATGTGTCTTGCGCTGTCTTTCTGCAAGGTCACTTTGACCGAATGGCCGGTCTCTTCGATCGAATCAATCGAATCCCCAAAGATATACTCGATTTTATCCCCTGAAGCCTCGTAGAAGATCGTCGCCAGCTCGCCCCTGACGATCTCAAACTCGCTCGTGAAGCTCCCCTCGCCGGACTGAGGAAAAGCAGCCCAAGTCTGATTCTTGGAATCCACAAATTTGATTCCGAGTTCCTTTGTTGTTCGTCTTCGGACCTCTTCCTCGACTCTCATCCATTTCATGATCTTCACACCTTCGTTCCGAATATCAACGGTTTGTCCCTCCTTTCGAAGGCAATCACAGCGCTCCAACACGGTGACTGAGACACCCGCCTTGCTGAGCCAATAGGCGGCCACAGGCCCGGCGATCCCAATTCCCGAGATGAGCACTCGTAGGTTTGTCGGGTTTTTTATGGCGGCCATTTGTTTTCCCGAGTCGGAATGATATGTTGGACTATAGAATTTAGTAGCTGTTTCGGCGAGTGCTCTTTTGAAGATGTCTGAACTGCAATGAAAATCAAAATAATGAGTCATCAACCTCAAACAAGTCCATGATGACGTCAATGGTATTTCGACCTCACCTCAGTTTTTCTCTCAAGTTCTTTACCTGATGTGAGATTTTAGAGATATGATAGCAAGGAATCAAAGAGTACCACGAGTGGGCCTCCCGAGAGAGGATGCAACTTCCTGTGTATCCAGTGATTGAGATGATAGAGTTGATGGTTTCCAGCTAATACGAATATCTTCTGAAATTTGTGGGCTGAGCTGAAGAAATCAAGCTGGCGGCTATTGGGAAACGGCAGAGACCGAGCTAAGGTGCGAAATTAGGTTATGCGTCACTGCCAATTACCGGTCAAGTGAAAGTCGTTAGACTCGGCGATGCACTCAACATATATGTAGGAATTAACCCATCACAGTCCCTCAGACTTTTATGTAGTCTTGGATATCCAGGGTGCCTGGAGCTTATCTTTTTTTTCCTCCCGGAACCCCGCCAACAAACTGGAACATCTCATGGGGTTATGCACTGGCGACCCGCGGAGTTTTCTCCAACCTCCCTCAATATAGTCAACCTGAACCAGCCGCGGTTTCATTAAGCTCAATTCACAGCTCCCTGATCGCCCCTCAACTCGATTCTCGGGTCTCATGCCACGGATGTGATTCAAGCGGCCGGGATGAAGTAGGAGATGGTCCGGATGGGGAAAAGTTCTCGGCTGCGTCTAGGTCAAGCTGGAACCAATAAAATTTAAGATTTGAGTTTAAAAGGCAACAAAAAGTCAGTAGGAATCAGGGATCAACCAACTATGTACTCTTATAATAACCAAGGTGCTCTAGCCGAGCTGGCAAAAGAGGAATGCTACAAGCAGTGTCTAGAGTATCAAAGATCCAGTGTAATCAACAGGAACTAATCGAAGTGACGTGTAGCATTAATCCAACACATGATGACTTCAATTTGCAGAAAAATGTTCACAATCTAGGGTTTCTTCTTCTCCTCAAGATAATTAATGCGCTCTACTCGCGATTCCACCGATTCGCACAGAACTCCGTAAGCAGAAGTCTCCAAAGTAATTGGCTGCCACTGCCACTTAGTTCTGAGCTACTATCTTTGAATTGCTGAGCAATTATCTTGACATAAAATATTCTACCAAGCTAGGAAAAAAGATAGCCCAGATGGAAGGCAAATCAACACCCAGCCATCAATTAGAGCTCCGCGCGAAAGAGGAAAATAAGGAGCGATAAAGAACAAGACTGTCTGCGCTCTGCTTGATTCTCTAACAAGTACAGCGAGAGGCTGTTGGAAAAAAAAAAAAAAAAAAAAAAAAAAAAAAAAAAAAAAAAAAAAAAACAGACGGTGACGTGGCATCCATCGCCCGGCGCCCCACAATATGGCTGATCTCTGCTCGGCCACCTCGGTGATATGAACGCGGACCACGTACCCCGAAGCTGCGGGGTCTTATGGTGCCCTGCCGAGCCATGGGTTTAAGACACTGTCATGTCAGATCTATAGCTTCTGCAACGCTTCATGATCTTATCCCGTCGAGTTGGAGGTTTGGGATCCGGTCCCGTCCGGCCAGCGTCACCAATTTCATCAGCTGATTCCGGGTGTTCACTGGTTTGAGTTTTATGTATGAGGACCCCTGTCGGACCAGCTTGTCTGCAGTGTATCATCGTGAGCATGTCGCGCCGAGCATTCTTCATACGTGAAAAACTGTGACCACGCCAGTGATACATATCTACTTCTGACGGTAGTCCATGTAGAGCTCTATGTCCGTTGGAAAGTCTGTTCTCCTTATAAACCACGTGACAGTGTCAAGTCCTCTGTGTGGGGGCTGTGAAAGCAGTATCTAAGAGGTATGTATACTACTTATTGTGTTTTGAAGAATGCTTGGACGGATTTGCAGGATCTGCATTCGAAAATCCTGGATTTTCACCATTTAAGTTTGGATTTTTATTTTTATTTTTGCCTCTCAAAGCCATGATGTCGTCATTGACAATCACCTTTGTCACAACTCACAGCAGCCTCCATTGTTATCGATTCACAATCCAGGTGGCACGATACCTCCAATCCACCCCCCAAAACCATTGAAAACGATCAACTGATTAATAGTGGTTCAAAAATTGTCTCAATGGCGCACTTTGGACACGACCCTCTTGGAAGGAGTACACCATCATCAAGTTATCAGGCCAGCGAGTTGGGAGGATTCATGAAATTGTACCACTGTTATTCAAAAGCCTGGTCAGTACTCTACCTCCTCAACACTACACTGGACCAATGGTGTTTCTGATCCATTTTGTCTTGTCCCCTCTACATACAGGCACAGGTCTTTCATTTCCACTTAATCAATCCCATGCTCTCAATCTGGGATTGTTTCCTATTATTTTTCTTATTGAGTTACTTACCATTGATCTAAACTTGTTTCCTATCATCCTTTTTACCCCAATTGTGTATGGCATCGTTGATCAAGAAGAGTGGCAGACATCAAATTTAATACTCAATACCGACTTGGTGAGATGAGGACCAGCAATATCAGAGTTATCTTTAATAAAATGCGAGCCATTTCAAGAGAGACCAATCTTGATAGGATTCGAGTCAGAGTGAATTGTTAGAAGAACCCTGTCCGAATCAATTCTCATCTGTAGACTTTAGCTGAAAGTTTGAGACTTTACAAAAGATTCAAGTAAATTCACCCAATCGCTGTCATCTTGGGCTAGAGCTTGAGAAATGACAACTATTACAAGTTCAGCGATTAACTTGGAGTTGAGCCAAAGTCGTTTTTGCTTCAACATTTGATAGAGATGAATACATAGTCTCCTTTCCAAGTTACAACCATTTGTTTTACTTTAATCAAAGATATGTGAGTTATATAAAACAATGCAGATGAATGGAAAGAGTTCAAGAACAACACCGATTGATTACCTTGGTGTATTTGGTGTGTGTCATACTTGAGACCAGTCTTGCTTCTACTGCCGTCGGCAGATTTAGATTTTCAGTGGCGGCCCACCTCACCTCATTGGGCCCGTTCGTCCCATCACCGAACCCGACTGGCTCGATTCGCTCTCATCTCCTCTCAGTCTTATCTGAGGACGGCCGAATGAAGGATGACCCACCAATCTTAGGACAGCCGAATGAACGATGATCCACCAATCTTGATCACCAAATTTAGGTTGGGATTCCTCTTGAATGACCTTTTGATGAAAGTCTTGTCGACCGCATTACCGCTGAGAACGACCTCAGCAAGTGGCTTTGCAAACCGCCGAAATCGTGTTCTGTGATTCATTACGAGCGTAGGAGATGCTTGATCCACGCTTGAGGCTGGTAGTTGCTGTTTAAATGCTGCAAAGCCAAGTCCAATCGGACTATGACAGCACGTTAGCTCCATTCGTATGACAAAACAATCACTGAGAAATAATAATACCAACTTTTGGGTGGCCAAAAACCGGAGTCCTTCAAGCGCCATTAGGATTGCGCAAAATTTATCGGATGCCTTGTAGGATTGAAGAAAATGTCTATCAATGTTTTGGTTGGGATCGATGCCAGGATAATTGGGGGGGGGGGGGGTCGGTATTGGTGGTGGTGCTCCTGGTGTCTGCTCGATCACAGCAAGGTGAATCAAAGCAGAGCTGTGTGGCAAAAACCAGAAGCTTAAACTGCTGCACAGCAGCCTAACGACATAACTTTAGTGCTTGGAAAGCGTTGGTTTGTCCAAGCTTTATTCAAAACACAATATTTGCGAGGAGCTCATTTGGAATCTGTTGTTGAAATTTGCCATAACTAGAGGGATTGAAACCGTTCCGTCTCGCCCAAACATACGAACTCTTCGCAGCGTTTGCGTCTCCCATGCCACAGCTAATACAGCCACACTATAATTTCATGGACATTGGATCCAGAGGTTTGTGGGGAATTCGGTCCATCAGACTTGGATTCCATATTTAGGGACTGGATAAATCCAATCGTGTCCAACCTTTTACATACACAGGTGCACTGATACCAGCGTTTTCAAGCACTGAGCAGTCACCTTACCTTGCTCTCGACAGAAAAGGCGCCTATTATTTCATCACTGGCAGATTATTAGTACCGGAAATGCATCTTTCAGCTCTTTGCTTTTTGAAGCTTGTCCTTCTCGGAATAATTGGGAGAGGTGTATGCTTCCTCACAGCCGAGAGATTGCTGGAGATGAGCAAGGATGAGTTTAGGATTTGCAGCCGCGCAAGAGAGGGTGGGTATGAAAAATAAACTTCTCATAAATAGTTTGGCATCCTAATTAACACTGACCATACAATTTGATAACCCTCAACCTGAACAGATGCAACAGAAGAACTGGACAAGCTGATGCAAACTGATCACAATGTGAATGAATTTGGTAAAAGTAAGAAAACATTTTGTGAATCACTGTTGTTGTTTTTCCGTTTTCAAAATAGATTACAGTACAGCTGATGGTTACATACTTTCAGAAATAACTGGGGAGAGATCCATGATCTTCAATAAGAGAAAGGACTTTAGTGAGTGGGAGAACTCATGGGCAGGTAAGGAGTAATCTGATTGATAAAACTTGGCTGATAAAGAAGATGCTGATGTATTTTGTTTGATTGTGGTTTGCATGGAAGACAATAAAACCGGTCAGTTCAAAAATTATTCCATGTAATCTGTATAATTTTAAACAATGAGTCTGATTGAAGTCGTTCATTTTGGATTCAGAATTGATGCAAAAGCTTTGCCAGAAGTTTGCAAATCTTCTCAATCCTTGCTTGTTGCACACACCGGGGATTTTTACCACTCGAGAAAAAGAAAAGGAGCTACGTGGCAAAATCATGTCCATTCAGAATAACATCAATGACATTTTGTCAAAACAAATGGGGATGGAAGATGACAAAACCATCCCAGATGAAACAAAGAAGTTGACCTTAACTCATAAAACAATTGATGACAAGAGCACACCTGAGATGAAGGTACTAAGTATCATGTATACTCTAGAAAATGTGTGGCAGATGTTAGAGAGTGAAGGAAGCTTACCAAAGGATTCAAGAAACCTTCAAAGGCTGTATTCAACATTGTTCTATCTGAATGACATTGTTGTTGAATTCCTCATTGAATCAGAGAAGCATGGATTAACCACTGGACCTGGATTCCTCAAAATGACATACTTGAATAACAAAAAAATCATTTTGGATCAAGAAAAATGGGGGAGTATATTCTTCTACTACCTCTGGGGCAAACTCCCCCACAAGATTGATGCCACTACAATGTATTTGAACTTTGACTTCCATTCCAGCTTTGAGGAAAGTCTTTTCACTCAGGAACTCCACCATTTTTTGAAGGGTAAGTCAAAAATATATCTTCCCAGCCCACTTCACAATTCACTAGTTTCAAAACCTAACCCTTTTGATTTTGATACTTTGTTCTTGTAAAATGCTCTATGAAAACAAGTCAATACAGAGGAAGGAAATGAGCATGTATGGTGTGAGAACATGATTGGACGTTGCTACATAGCACTTCAAATTCAATCATTCAACCCCAAAGAATCTTACATGGAGAAAGAACAACAAAAATTAGCAGAATTGACAAGTTTCTTCCTCACCTACACGTCAGATCATTCTATCAGGGGAAGTACAAAAATAACATTTGATCAATACATGGAACATTTCCTTGTGAAGTGTGGCTTGATCACCTCAATACTTGACTGGAATTCTATAGATTCATTTTCTGAAAGTGAAATGGTGCAATTGAAGTTATTACACAACATTTTCAGATATGTGGTAAGATACCATCATCCAAGTTTAGAAAACATAACTTACAAGGGAAAGAAGGCATATCCACAGCTTCTAGCTCTCAATGCTGAAATAATGGACTTGTCTGATTCATACAAAGAAATATATGTCAAGTGTGGTGAATTGCTTCAAGGAATGGCTTTACTATATCCAGAAAGAGAAGAAGTGTTGAAGAAAAACATAAAAGATTTATTGTATTTCACTGATATCACTAAAAAGGATGATGATAAACTTTTTGACACTGCAGCTAAAATCCAAGAAACAATTGAAAGTTGCACTGAAAGTTGCTCAAAATACCCAGTCTCAATTGCAGACAAAAACCCCCAAGAACAAATGAAAGTTTTGTTCCAATCCTGGAAAAATCAATACACTCATTCATCTTCACCAAATCTGACAATAAAACATAAGCCTGGGCACTGTCAAAGCATCAGGGCTTCAAGTCAAATAAAGCTTCAACTTCTCCAATCCCTCCTAGCCAAACTGTATGATGAAAAGGATCTTAGTTTTGGAAATCTTGATGCAAAATTGAAGCAAATGAAGACTTTACTTCATCAAAGTAGCATCTATCATAAGTCCTATTAGGCTCAATCAAACACACATGAAAATTCAGAATAGAATCTTCATTCTGAAAAAATGTTCCTGAATTTGTTCATCAGTTTTAATTCTAAGGCTAGTATTGGCTGAGGCTTTCAATCAAATCCTATGAGGAATGAGAAGACAGAAGAATAGAAATTCTTTACTGTCCATTCATTCCCAGAGAGAGATATCAAAATACATTCTATTTCTGCTATAAAATTCATTAAAAATTCTTTCTTTTCTTGGGTCTGTATGGAATTTTCAGACATGAATCAAATCAAACAATTTGAAAAATGAAAAAATGATTGACCATATTTCCTCTTCATGTTTGTGAAAAAAGTTCAAAAAGTATCATATCTGTGTCGAGTTTCTTGAAGCACCAATTTTGTCTTTATCTACATTTCAAGCAGGATCATGGATAGCATTTGTGCTCGCTCACCTTTTCAAAATTAAAATAAAAATGTTCTATCTATCCCTCTCATCCAGGTACTAGAGCTCATGTTTCGTTTGTTCATGTCTATCACTTATTCATGGATTGTTCAACAGATGTTTTGAAATAAGCAACTACACAGAGTACTGTTTTTTTTTGTGGTGGAATTGATGTCAAAGCGATATCATACGGCTTGATTTCCATCTTGGAGTTGTGTGAGTGGCCTTCCTTATCCGGGAGGTGGATAGATGGACTATCCGGACTGACTGCATAGACACGGATCTTGTGTAATCCATGAGTTGGCCATTGCCTAATCTATCTTTCGACATCCATACATAGAACACACCATCCTCAAGAGGCTCAGAAAAGCAGATGAAGAAAGGACCCGAAGCACCACGGCGGTTTTCTGATGGGGGAGGACGGACGAAGCCGATCGTCATACTAGGGAGCTTCATCCACTCGACCTCGATCGACAGACTCGAACTGATCGACCGGAACGGACTCATGATTATCGACTCCTCCGGCACAATAGTCTGTCTCGAGTCCGCCCCTAATCCATGGACCTACAAATCCTTAGAGGAGAAAATCAGGCGTTGTTTGGCCGATGGGTTTCAAGACTTCGACCTGCTAGAATCTGTCAATTTAATCGCCTTACGGCCCGGTGAATTCTTCATTCCCGGATTCGTGGACACTCATACTCGTCAGTACTGGCCATTTACCCCTCTTTTTCTTATTGGAGGATTCTCATTATTATTTTGACGCCGGGTCAGCAATTCCAACGCCAATGGAGAACATCTGACACTGTTTCAATCCATGCTTATGCAGATGCCGTGCAATACCAGAACATTGGTGTTGGACAGCAGTATACACGTCAGTCATTCCTTCTTTTTCACTGATCCTTGGAAGGATAGAAAGACTAATGCGATCCATCCTTCGACCTCTTTCGTAATGTGGATTAAACGAATCACCGGGAAAATATCAGTGCTTGATTGGTTGAAATACATCACATTTCCGGAGGAGATGCGTTTCGAAGATGAGCTCTATGCCAAGCGGATGTTCGAGAAAGTCGTCAGCCGTTCGATCCAGGTGGGGACAACGACAAGCTGCTACTACAGCTCAATCCACCTTGGGGCTGCCAAGATCCTAGCTAAAGTCTGTCATCAGGCTGGCCAACGAGCATTTATTGGGAAGTGCAACGTGAGCTTTCTGGCTCCTCTGGCAATCGATCGAAATGCTGACGTCTCTTCGATCGGCTTCGTCACAGATGGATCGTAATGATTCGGTCGATCAGTACAAGGACATCTCGGTCGAGCACTCGGTGCAAGATACGATCCAGTTCATCAATTTTATCCGCAAGGAGTGTTCGTCAACCTGCCACCAAAAACTGGAGAGCAAATCACCTCACTGTACAACAGCAGCATCATCATCCAATGTAAGCCCGCGGGTTGGATTAGAGAAACATGAAGACTCCAATTATTCGCTAGTCCAACCTATCATTACGCCGCGATTTGCAATTTCCTGCACTGATGAGCTACTGGGTAGATTAGGGGAGCTCATGAAGACGGATAAGCAACTTCGTCTCCAAACCCATCTAAGCGAATCACTCTCGGAGATTGAATACACCAAGAAGTTGTTCCCGGCTTACTCGACTTATAGCGAAGTGTACGACGCGTTTGGGCTGTTGACCGAGCGGACGATTCTCGCGCATTGCATTCATCTCGAGCCGAGCGAGATCAAGTTGCTTGTCGAGCGGGGATGTGGGCTGAGCCATTGTCCTACGTCGAACTTCAACCTTCGCTCAGGGATCTGCCAGGTCCAGAAGCTCAAGGCGGCCGGGTTCGACAAGCTCAGTCTCGGCACCGACGTCTCTGGGGGATACGGCGTGGGTATCCTGAGCACGATCAGGGACGCGGCCTCGGCCGCCAAAGTACTCAGCTTCCCCGACTCAACCGATCCCGATCAAGCCGGCAACCGTCCTCAACAATTATCGATCGAGAATCTCTTTTACTTGGCCACTTTAGGCGGCGCTCGCGTCTGCAATCTGGACGACCGCGTTGGTAACTTCGCGCTCGGTAAACGGTTCGACGGCTTGCTGATCCAGACCGGCGCCGCCGCTGCGACCACACTAGCTCACCAAAACTTCGACTCGACTGGTGATAGCGTCGATCGCCGCTTCTCAGACTGGATCCTCGCCTCACAAGCAGAACCGTATTTGGATGGCTCCAACCCTAACTTCTTTGTCGATGACCAAAAGAAAGAGATTGATTTGTCCCATCTGCTGGAAAAGTTTCTATTCACTGTCAGTTCCCCTCATTTCTGGATTTCTTTGCACATCATTCGGCTCAGGACAAATCGTCCAGCACTTTTGTCAAAAGATCAATACCGCCTGAGGCTTCTGGTTGACTTATTCTCGGCATACTTTTTGTAGGGCGACGACCGGAACATTGGCGCTGTGTTCATCAACTCAGTCTGCGTCGGCGGATCTAGACCTCTGGCATGAGCACGCATCTATATATCTATATTGTATAAGATTATCTCCTCCTTTGTCGTTTCTCTATAGAAAATAGATCCTCATCACATCCTTCCTCACTGGAACCATATGTAACCTTAACATGATTTATCATTGTTTATTTCATTTATTGTGCTTGAACAGCTTTCCATAGACAATGTATTCTCTCATACATATGTATCTTCTCATCCTTCATGCCTCTCTGATTTACACCCACTATTGCTAATCAGGATTCATCCATTAAAATCTTTCTTGTCTTCATTATGCATCTAACAATTGTCTGTTGTTAGCTAAAGAAACTATCGTAGAAATGGAATTGTAGACAGATACAAGATTGAATATCAAAAGACGAGATGACACAACTCGACCCAAATTTTCTTCGTTTTTTTTTTTTTGAAAAAAAAACATCTTTCCTTTGTTACATATTTCGATACAAGTTTCTGCTGCCTCTTCTGTACCAATCAACAGAAGGCATCGAAAGATGCGAAAAAAATTCGACCCTTGCAGGGATTGAACCTGCGATCTTTCTCTGGAACCGTGATTCGGGGAATCTACCGGAGGAGAACACCTTACCACTTGGCCAAAGGGCCTTGGAGAATTCCGCCGATCATGGCAATATGACAGCGCCGAATATGTTATTCTATGGTGCGCTGGAAGTCAGGCGACTTGGAAGAAAAATGTAGTGCTGTGGATTTAGGATGGAACGGTGCGTTAACTGTTGGGGTGTTTGTTACGAAGATGGTGCTGGTAAAGGATCATCATATGGCCGGGAAGGGGGCATCTCGGAGCGGTGCTGATCATAAGACATGGCCGAGCTCTCCATCCTCATCTTCCGATCTATTGGGGGGTTATGGATAACATGAGGCCTTGGAGTCATAGTGTTCCCAGAAACATCAAGATCAGTCATGATTGATCGGAGGGACGCTTGGGACATGATGGGAGCAACGCCATCCAATGATATGTAACCCAACAAGGCGCTACACTGCAGACAAGTGCAAAAACTGCACACTGAGAGGAACAGAAAGCGACAAAAGGTAGCCATGATACATACTGGCATTGGTTTGAGGATGGCTGGGAGCAGGGGTCCGGCCATGCGCAAGCGTCTCATTCCTGCGCCCAGTCTTCATTTGGGCTGGCTCGCTTCGAGTGAGTTCTGTTCAGTCTGGAACTGTCTGGCAGTGGGAGTGGAGGGAGCTACAGAAGTGCTCTGTGATCTCTTTTGATGGGTCGAATATAATCTATCGTCGGAACGCATCCTCCAATTCATTCTCGATCTAACTAATACGATCGAGGATGCTCTTCTCTTTTCAAGTTGGGGGACTCAGGCTCAATGCTCAAAGACTGGACTATGTATATGACCGGACTGCCCCCGAGGAGCTTGGCTTCCAGATGAAAGTGTGTCATCATGATCAATGGATCCAAACTACACCAACAGATAAACAGTTGTACTTTATAAACATCCTGATTCCTAAGAAGACGATGCTCGGTTGACTAGGGACCGACGATACGTAAGTTCATCGTTTCCATCGGAATGGGTTGACTGAGACTCATGATGTTGGTGGGGCTCTCTTGACCAGCAGTGTCGCTTGTTCATCATCATCAGTCTCCGCTTGATGCTTGGTTGCCAAGCTGGTGCCTCGAGATTCCAGCCTCGACTCCAGCGCCGCCCAAACCGAGCCCCTCTAATCGATTATATTAAGCTATCCTGTGTCCATCCTACCGAGCCATCCCCACTGCCAACAACAACATTAAATGAGGCACATAAACCATAAACCCACTCAAAAGATTTATTCATCTGCAGTTTACATAGACTTTCTCGTTGTGCATACATTAGCGTTTTCTGATTTGATGTTGTAGCCTCCGACTCGGCAGCTCGCTTGCTAATATTCCCTGTTCTTCTTCTTGTTGTTTTTTTTTTTTTTTTTTTTTTTTTTTTCATGTGTGCTTGTTAAAGACAGACTACAAAGGAAAAACTAGACTTGCTGTGTGCTTATCCAGTCTGGACACAGCCCCACTCCCCTTCCCCCCTGGACTCGATATCTGCAATTCCCAAGCTTCCAAGAACAGTAACGGGCAACCATCCACTCGCTTAGAAGCCAGATAACCATTCATCTAAAAACAAACACATTCCAGTTCAAATCAACCCCAGTCAATATGCCGACTCGTCTGATTTCAGCCGGAGGATTCGTGTTAGCCGCTCTGGCCGGTCTGGCGGGGGCACGGGTGGACCTAGGCGGCGGCCACATGGGCCTGGCGATGGCCCGGACGAGCTGCAGTGGGGCACACCGGGTGGCCTGTACGGAGCTCGACGACGACTGGCCCGATATGGGGCTCGCTTGTCCCCTCGCCCACCATGACATCCCCCGCCACACGCTTGCAATGATGTCGGCAACGATCATCCAGCTCGGCCACTACAAACCCGTCCCCGTCGATCAGTTCCCCAGAGATCAGTGCTACACCACCCCGCCCAACGCAACCGTCTCGAGCTATGGGTTCATCAGTCAGGGCTCCTTTGACATGTGTGCGTCATCTCATCTACATTTATGTTCACCCATACCCACTTCTTCTTATCTACAATCGGGGGGGGGTCTCTATATTATTCAATTTGTTGACTGCTGTTCTTCAATCTTTCCAGGGTTCTTCGCTCATGATAAGTGCGATTGCGAAGAAGAACAGATGCCCAAATGTGGGATCAGCGCAACTGAAAAAGAGAAGTGTAACCTCCGAACGTCAGTCTTTTTTTCCATTTGTTTCTACATACTTCTTTGGGTAGATTTTTTTTTTTTTTTGAGATCAGGGAGGGAGAGGTCTGGAAAATGGTGCAGGATTCGATGATGTATACTGGCTTTTTTTTTTTTTTTGAAACAATTGAGTTGTGTAGGTTTACGCTTTGTCAAGTGACCAAAAAGACTGAGATTTGTAAACCAAAGTAAGCTGGCAATCCTATGGAGATCAAACTTGAAAGCAATTCTCACTAATCTGAGTTGTCTTGTTTTTTTTTTAAAAAAAAATCACAGACATCACCCAGGATGGAAGCCGATTAACGACTCTTCGGGAGTTCGAAAGGCTACAGATCAAGGAGAACAAGAGGAGAAGGCGGAGGAGGGTAGCACTAGCAGCCCGAATGGGACGGTGGCCGAGGCGGAGAAGACAATCAGGTTCGGGCCCGCCCATCGACAACAGCCCTTGTTGATGTTCGCCGACCTCTCCTCATTCTGGTGGAGGATCATGGAGCTCTTGGGCTTCTGGGGCTTCATCTGAGTACTTCGACCCAAAAAAAAAATCCACAGAAAAAAATCATACTTTCTTCGGCCATGCAAAGCTTCGATCCGTCTTTTTCTTTCTCTTTTTTTTTCCGATAAGCTAATTTGATCTCGGAATCAGGCCTCAAGAAAAAAAACCGATTCGCGCGAGCTTTAGCTATATATGCATGTATCTCTACTTCTCTTTCTCTTTCTCTTCATTTCAATCAAGTACACTTGTCTGTTGGGCCTCCCAAGAAAAAGAAGAAGAATCAACCAGCATTTACTCAAGTCTCAGAGGCCGAGAAGAAGCTGGAGCGGGGCTGAGAAAATCCCATGGACGATGATCCCCTCTTTCTCTGCCCTTTCGGCTCCTCTTTGTCTGGTGACCATCATCACCACTTTCCTGACTAGGTAGTTTTTTTCTTTTCATTTTTTTAGCACGCTTGACTTGTCTGTTGTAGTCAGACACATACACACACACACGCTAAAAGGGTTTGTCACCCAGACCGGATCTTTTGCTACAAGTACATCTTTATATGGACATTTTACTGTTTTCTTTTGTTTTCCCCACTAGATATGCATGAGTAAAAATCTGAGAACCGTATGAGCACAGAAATAAGGAGAAGAACAAAATATAGTAAAAGCGCGGGAGATGGAATGAAAGTTATGGTTTGTAGGTTTTTATTTATCTATGTAAAGTAAGAGTAACCACAGAGAGGAATCATACAATCCTGTCAATTCATTGAGTTGTTTATACACGTCTGTCCAGGATTGAGGATGAATCTATGTAATGGCTGGGGCTTTGGTTGGCGTGCTGGAAATGTGCAGATTGGAGAGACTCTCGAAGTTTGTCCAGGTGCATAGATTGTTGGAGATCTGAGAGTGCGGTCAGAGCAGCGGAGGAAGGATTTGCTTTGGCACAGAAAGTGGGGAGAAAAAAAGAGGAAACAAATCTGTGTCCAAGTTTGACCAGATGAAGTATTTGAGGAGTGGCGATGTTATCGGCTTCATGAGGACGATTGCAGGGGGGTGAGTGAGTTCCCCGATTTCAAGATTGAGCGAATACCGATGGCGATGGGACTGGGGGAGGGCGGGTTGGTTTGAAGAAGCCAAAGTGTTTGAGGAGGAGGATGAGGGGCAAGAAGAGGAGACGTGCCGGAGAAGCGAAGTAGAGGTAGACGAGGAAGTGGAGAGAAAGAATGCCCAAGCGAGTCTCTGGGAACCCGAGCTTGGCGATGGCGGGAGCCGGTTTCTGAATGGCATCGATCCATGGGCGTAAGGAGAGCTCGTAGGCGCGGAACGCAGCTTGCGGGTCGGCCGGGTTCTTGATCAGTTCGACGGCCAGGTTGTAGCCGCCGATGATGGCCGCCGTGGCGCCCATTCCGCCGATCGGTGATGGACAATAGGCCGAGTCGCCCAGCAGGACAGTCCTGCCTTTCGACCACACCTTGCACCTCACTTGGGCCACCTCTTGGATGTGCAGATCCCCGGCCTCGCCGAGAGCTTTGGTGATCTTCTCAGACTCCCATCCAGTCTTCTGGAAGAGCTGGAAAAACTGGGCCCGGTGTTGGTCCTTGGACGGCTGGGGCCCGATCGCCGGCTTACGGCTTCTTCCTCGACAGATCGCATGCGCGTATGCCCTCCCATGTCGGTCAGGTCGAACAAGAATCGCTCGATGGTCCGGGATGTGATAGCAGCTCGCCCAGGCTTGGTCCGACTCAAACGAAAACGTGGCAACGAGAAGCCCCAGACTCAAGATGGGTTCTTGCACAGGTCTGTTGAATATTTTGGCCCGAGTATGCGATCTCATACCCTCGGCCACCATGAGCACATCGAAATCCAGAGCTTGGGACTTCCGATTGGTCAAGGTGACACGCAAGGTCTCATTGATCTCTTCAACAGTATCGATCGAATCGTCATAAATGAAGCTGGCTTTATCCTTTGTCGCCTCGTAGAGTGCGGTAACCAGGTCGCCTCGATGGATTTGCAATGGACAGGTGAACCCAGCATCGCTGAGCGGAATGGAGGCCCAGGCATTATGGAATCCATCGACGATTCTGAGGCCCAATTCGCCCGTCTTGCGTCCTCGGAGCGCCTCTCCGAGCCCCATGTTTTCCACAATCGGGAGGGCCTCCTTGCGGATGCCGATCACATGTCCCTCTCGTCGTATCTCGCCGGCCCGTTCCAGTACCGTCACAGACGCGCCGGCTTTTCCCAGCCAGTAAGCCGCAACAAGGCCGCCGATGCCTGCACCTGATATCAGCACTCGCAGGCTCTTCGGAGGGGCGTGATTGGAATCAGTCATGAATGCGACTGGGGATCCTATTTGGTGAATCCTAGGAATTGAATCGTCAGCGTGGTTTGGCCTCTCTAGCGAGAAGATGAATAATTGAAGGAACTGGATGGCAGGTCAACCCTTTTGTAGCGCCTGGCCGGTCCGACCTGGTCCGACCAACAAGAGATTACCGCCCAGAGATCCCATGATCAAGCACCAGGCAACCGTCAACTTGCGATCCTAATGCTCTCACACAGTTCATTTGGAACCGATCGTTGCTGTCTCCTCGGGCGGAGTAACAAGCACCCTTTTGACTTTTGCTCTTTCCTTTACGTTTGTACATAAATAGATAGCCTGTAAGTAGTCATGCCCGGCTCTCAGCAGGCTTCAACTGCCCCTGGTGGCCCTCATTCTATTGATTTGTGCTCAACTCACACTACGCCTTCTCCGCATATCCTTCAAGATATAACAGCTCCCTTTGTTCATGCGTGCCAAAGAGTACCATGTTGTTGGACAAATGGACACACATCGAGTGTCTATCTAGAAATGAGTCCTGATGACTGGACTCTTGTTTTATGAGATGCCATCTTCAGGGGTTGGGAATGCTGGAGGGGACTGGCTGAAGAAATTCAGGGCTGAAGAGTGAGATCAGGACGGAGCAGTCCTCAACTCACCAACCACTTGACTATCAAGTCAGCACCATTTATACTATGGATCGAGTACTCAAGTCTCACCAAGTCTGATGATGTCTATAGAGTTCCCTGCTGAAAGCAGCCACTCCTGCAAAGAATTCTTTTGTTTCTTGTAGAGAGAGTACTTCACCTGTGTCACAGATCAACAAAATTGATATCCAACATGATTTCATTGCTTTGTCTATTATTGTTTGATTATGCTTTATACTAACTATGCACCCTATCAAAGCTGCCACATCATATGAATATATGAGTGATTAGTTGAATTTAATGTGGTCGCCAAACCACCACGGTTGATTCAAGTTATTTCTCATCTTGAATTCTCAAGATTACAACAGGCTTACCCTATATGAAAAAAATCCAATTCAAAAAGAGAACAAAAAACTCTTGAGCACATGAAACAGCCCAACCATCAGGCAGGCTTAATCTTCTACATATAACTAAAAAAATGGCCTCAGAGGGCCAAACAAACTGTCTGCCTTTGTATTGATTTCTCATGCGGCTTCTAACGCCGGCGTCGATGTTGCACATTTCAATGGCATTTCCGACATAAGACTTTAAAAAAAAAAGAAAAAAAAACAGAAGGCTATTACATACACCATAGGACCTTCAAACAAGTAAAATCCCCAACATCCAGGGCAAAAACAAACCGCCTCCCCAAATTTGGGGGCATATACTAGTTGAGCAATAAGAATTTAGCACATTGCAGCTGCAAGGCCAGGTTTTACACAGTTTTCTGCCACAAAATCAGCAAAATTTCACACAATCTGGGCTTCCGGATCATGCTGAGGAATCTGAACCACCTCCACAACTCCATGGTTATCAAGTTCTCATAAAACACGCAGGATGACGCCAAAAAGGATGGTCAATGTGGGGATCGAACCCACGACCTTGGCATGTAACCATGGAGAGGAAGTCCCTCGAAGTATTAGTACCACGCTCTACCGACTAAGCTAATCGACCAACCGATGACGTAATGATGGTAATTTGAGGATATAAAGTCATCATGCAACTCAGCAGTAACACCGCAATTTCCAATTGGGTTCTCGAAATTCGAATGGGGTAGATAGCGGTTGTATTTCCAGTCGGCCGGGATTTGACCGGGCATGGGCTTAAGGAATAACGGAGGAAGGGTCGGCCAATGATCTTGGTGGAAGGAGAGATAGTTGAATAGAGAGCGGGTGAATTAAGGGCGCGTAAAGCTAAGAGATGATGATCCGCTTACAGAGGCCCAGTCGCTCATTTCACAATTCCGATCGCGAGAGCGTGGGATGCCATCGGGATTCCCGGCTCAGGATGATGCCCAGATTGAACAAGCGGTAGAAGTTCTGGGATGTATTGCAGAGTGAGTAGGATCAAGGGACCGATTTCGTTTCCTCGGTCCATTGTTGCTGGTCGGTCGACATTGGCTTAGCTAAGCGGAAATCATCACGGAGCGCGTCGAGTGACATGGCTTGTTAACGCAACGTTGAATTACCCCAGCTGACAAGTTTCTAAACAGGATCAATTGCGAAAGTTACAATCAGCTCAGTAAGCATTGACGAGGCGGGAGAAAGCGGATAAATAGGATATTTAAGGGAAAATGAAAGATGTTGGAAATGTTCAAACTGAGCCTCTTTCGGTCAGCGAAATGGTCAACAAGTTTAGCACCCGATATCTCGTTGGCCTTTCTATCAGGAATCATGAACGGTTTGATAGCTGCTTGTGGTGTAGAGGAGAGATGATCGATTATCACGTATTGTATATGAGTTGCCTGAGACCAGTGGTTCGTCTTGTGATGTCACATTGGTTCGTATTGATTCTATAAATCCCAACGAATGAAACGGAAGATGAAGAGTTCTGGAAAGTGGCGATATGATTGTCCAAGTCATTCAAGCAGGCCGATGAAACACGCGCGTGAGGTTCCGGGTGTGCGCCAGATACTCGGAGTTACCATCCAGCTGGTTCAGAGATAATGTAAGAATGTCCACGGCTCGTAGTCGATCGTATAGTTTAGATTCAATTAGACAGGATCCAGGTATGTCGCCCAGCTATGCGTTTCCCCTTGAATTAGAGTTTTTTCAACCAGTCTGTGCTGCCTCGAGGAACGCCACCCGGCTCCCGCTATCCTCTGGAATAGGATGATGAAAACAAGTGGGATTGGGCCCCAAACCACGATCCGCAGGGCGATAGGATTGTCCGGATAGTTGGTTGGATCGTTCTCAGTGGTAAAATGTATTCGGCGCTATTCGGCGAGAGCGGATCTGTGCATTCGGTGAATCGGATTGAGTTGGACTTTCGATGTGAGATGGGAGTGGGATGCTCATTCCTGACTCTGCCTTCTTCTGGGACTTTGGCCTGCGGGGATGAACGCGCGAGCCCGGCTGGAAGTGGGAGCCCGGCTGCCCGAGCAACTTGTTCTTTGCAATAGCGGATCAGCAATCCGATCCGATTCAGTGTCACATATTTATTAGCCCGGTTCACGTAGCTGCTCGTCCGCAGTTAAAAAATTCAAAACGAGCAACCATCAACTCAACCTCGATTATTTTTTTAACTTGTAATGTGGCCCGCGAGCAACAACCAAGCCTCAAACGAGCATACGGAAGCGTGCTTGTCATCATAACCTTGCCTACCACCCCCGCCCCCCGTCGACCTCGCCACCACACAACTGGTTCTACTCATCAATTTTCACACCGAAGGCACCTCATCACTCTGCCACAATACTACTCATTTGTATGTAAATCCTTTTGCCTCTTTTCCGTTTGATTTTTTTGCCCTTTGCCTGCTTTTGGAAAACTACATACTGATGTTGTCTTTTGCAGGCCATGAGAGGTTATTCTGAACGCCAAAGCCTAATCCGGGATCTGTTCTTGATTATCGTATGGTTAGAGCACGACGAATTGGAGGACATGGTTGATAGTTTGTTCCACCACATTCGAATGCCAACGGAAGCCGAAATCATGTTCCCCAGGAGCAAGTTTCAACAAAGAATATATGATCTACTCCTCAGTGATCGGGCTATGTTTGATGAAGCACTTCGACTAGTTCTATCAAACCGATATCTTGTTCCTCGACCGACACCGAAACTGCGAGACGAATTTGACCTCGAACGACTGTTCAACATGCCCGACATTGAATTCCGACAGTCTTCAAGGACTTCAAAGGCCGGATTCGTTGGATTACTCAACATCATTTGCATGAATCCGGTTTTCCATCGTGGGGGGATCCGTCCGCAACTGCCGATAGCTCATCAACTTGCGCTCACACTTGAGCGCTTGGGATCGAACGGTAATGGAGCATCCGTTGGACGGTTCTCTAGGAACTTGAGCGTGGGCCGCGGGACAGTTGTCAAAGTATCTCGTCGGGTAATCGAGGCATTCATCTCACTAGGACGGCGCTATGTGGTTTGGCCCGACTCGGCTCGACGTGCGGAGATATCAGAGGTAATGTCGAGGGAGGGATTTAGGGGATGTGTGGGGTTTGTAGATGGAACTACAATCCCAATGTTTCAACGACCGGGTTATGATGGTGAGGTCTTCTTCGACCGGAAACGATGTTACTCGATCAACGCGCAGATTATCTGTGACTGCGACAAATATATAACTTCTTTCATCACTGGATGGCCAGGATCATGTGGGGATAGCCGGGTTTACAAGAGGATGCAGCTGCATCTAAACCCATCAAATTACTTTGAAGAAGGTTAGCATTGATTACTCCCTCTGGTATAGGACAAAAAACTCACTTATTACTCTCTCATAAGGGCAATACTTGTTGGCCGACTCTGCGTATGAGCTGAGCCATACAGTGATACCTGCTTACAAGGTACCTGCAGCTAACATCACGATCAACTCGCAATTCAACTATTGCTTGGCCAAGGCTAGGGTTCGAAACGAACATACGATTGGTGTCCTCAAGTCTCGATGGAGCTCATTGCGGGAGATGCGGTTACATCTGTATTGTCGTCAGCATATGCGTGCATATGTTGCTTGGCTGTACAGTTGTATAATACTTCACAATATCCTTGCAGGTCTTGGTGATCAGTGGGCTGAGCTCGATGACCACGAGTCGTTACCACCTGATGATGATTCAGATGAAGACGATATTGACGAAAGTGCGGAAGATTTCAGAGACCGCTTGACTATAAATTGTGTATGCTACAACATGTACCAGAGGGGGATTTTGTAGGAATATGGCCGTCTTCTGTTAAACCACCTTGATTCCCTCTTGTACCCCAAAGAAAATAAGTGATAACTATTACTGTTAGTCGAGCGAGCCTTACTGTTAGTCGACCGAGCCAGAAATGTGACTACTACTACCACTACTTTTTGCTCTCAGAAAACCGGTTCAATTTGATTACTTGTTTGTTGCTTGTATATTTATCTCTGCAGGCAAAAAGAAAAACAACAACAAACAACAAGATTGAGAAGAAAGAAACTAACAGAACGATCAATTGTACCTTGAATGTGAGCTTGAGTCAAGGGAAGTAAAAAAGAGACCGATTGATTGATACCTTAAATGTGAGATTGAGTCTATGGAAAAGAGGGACTCGATGAGATAGAGAAGTAGACAAAACAGGTGAATAAAAAAAAGCAATATATTAAAAAGGATTTGAGATCAAACCAAAAAAGTAAAGAAAAACTTCCTATCGGAATCAACATGTTTCAAAAAGTATCTACGCAACCAATAGTCTGTCAGCAAATTGAAAGAAACATGATATCAATGAACATTCACCTACAAGTTCTAATCATAAATCAGCCTAATGTATGCCTCGATCTCGGACTGAGTCCTCCCCTGGTTGACAAGTTCCATGATGATCTTTTTTTTCTCGTTCCGAAGCGCTACTTCCTTCGTTTCTTTTTCTTCAGCCCGCTTTTCCTCACGATTGTATCTTTCTCGCTCCCAATCAAGTTGCCTATTCCATCGGTCTACCTCTCGTGCTTCTCTTGAATCTTCTCGCGCTTCTTTTTTTTGGTCGCGGGCGTCCTCACGCTGCATTCTTTGTTCCTCAACTTGTAATTGACGCTCGATGATTGCAAATCGGGAGTCGGCCGAGCTTGAGAATGCGGTCGCCAACGAGACCTTTGGCGCTTGTTGAGGAGGGTTTGATGGCGAACTTGCCGAGATCGAAGCCAACTGGGAGCACCTGCCAAGAGGTGTTTGACGGCCGCGAGCTGATTGTCTCCCACCCCCACCGGGGACACTCGGAGTCGGTGTCGTTGGCTGGGTTGAGCCCTTGTCGACTGATTGGGGATCGCCCTGAGCAGATTGGGACGAGGGATTTCCTGTTGCCGTTCCAAGATGAATCGAGCGGCTCAGTGGAGTACTGTTTGGCAGAGAATCAGTGAATTCGTCGGTTGATGATTCTTGGGTAGGGTCCCTCCCCAATGACTCAGACCCAGCGGTCTCTTCCACTTGATCAATTGAGGAGGTAACAGGTTCGAGCCGTTGCCCAGTGGGAAGATCGCCTTCTTGACTTCTGTCACTTTCTTCGTCAATCGGAGGGAGCTCAAGGCCGGGTTGTGAGTGGTCAAATTCCAGCATGGCAACGACATTGGCTTTGTCTCGTAAGATAGCGTCAATACGATCAAAACATGGACATATCTTCTCTAGAGCCTCTGCGAGTGTTTGCGGTCCTTCACTACTCTCGATTCCAGCGCCGGTATTCTCTTCAAACCGTTTAGCTTCTAAGTATTTTTTCTTGTATCGATCAATTCGAAGCTGTAATCTCCTGCCATTGAGGAGTAAGTCGGGATTCGTGTTATTCATCCACACTGCAAAGACGTCGAAAGCCTGTGTTTTCGTCATTTTCGTCGTTCCCACCCCAGTCTTTGACCCATCACCATACAAATCGGTATAATGTTGAGAGTTCTCGAGATATGAACAGATGTTCTCAAAGTCGCTATGCACAAATTGCTTGCCTCGATCGTCAGCATCTTCCGAGCCACTCGATCTGGTCGATCTCGATCCACTTCGCGTTTTCCTTCTCTTATCAGCTTCTTTTGCCTGTTTTTCAGCTTCCCTTGCCTGCTTTTGGGCTTCCTTTTCTTGATTTTTGATGAGTTTTGCCATCTCTCGTTCTTGCTTGCGACGAAGTTGAGCCTGCTCTTGCTCAGCACGAAAGACATCCATCTCCTCCTGGGTGCGGCGGCGACGTTTGGGAGCCGGTGGAGGAGGTAGTTCGTCTAGTTCCGTAGACTCGTTTGCTTGACGATCGGCTTGATCAGGATTCGAAGGGCGTCCAAGATTGACATTCAACAGGGTAAGCTGCAATGAGTTATCAGATTGATCCATCGACATCGAAGATGATTGATCCATCGACATCGAAGATTGATCTAGGGACAGCAATTGGTCCAGCAAAGATGAAGGTGAGATCTGCTGGATTGATCAAACGTCAGCGTCAAAGAAGTAGACATGAAAATTGAAGGAAGAACCACCGCCTACCAAAGTATTCTCCATATCGGTACTTTGCTCCATGATTGGAAATGAGGGATGGATGGGATGTGAGGTTTGGTTGATGGATGGTTGGTGGTCGAACGACAAAGGGATAGTGGGATGGGGGGAGAGTCGGGTGGTGTGAGTTTTGAGAAAATTTCTCTACGAGCAACTGGCAGGAGATCGACGAGCAGGGGAAAGTGAGGAGGCATAAAATTTTAGTCATAAAATTTTAAGCCTCGAGCAGTTAGTTTTTTGTGACAGGTGTTAAAACAGCCCTACGTGAACCGGGCTATTATTGGTATCAGATTAGATCAGATTGTGATCAAAACTGCTTCAACGTGCTTGACCGTCAGGAAACTGTTGTGTAGCTGTAAATATAGAAGGAACATGGGCCAAGTCTGGGTGTCAGCCTAGTCTCACCAGAGAAGTTTGCAATCACTCCAAAGTTTGCATGAGTCAGGAATGATTTAGATCCTACTTTTGACACTTTCTCACATGTATTCTGGAAGACTGCTCCTATAATTGTACCATAGATTTTTTCTAACCTATCCCTATCTGCATCTTGGTGATTTTTGAGTATTTTTGATTTGTTTGCATTTCCATACCAATCTTTTTCAACAAGAATAGGAAAAAAAAAACAGAAAGGAGGGAAAAGAATGGTCCATTTGGCAGGTTCAAAATATGCTTATACTGAGAGTGTGCTTGAGCCTCTCTGCCAGATGTGCAAATCAAAGTTCAAAATCATGAACTCCATTGCATATTTTCTACTAGGATAAAACATGTTTTTGAAATGACAAAATTTTAGAAAAATCTGAATTCTGTAGATCTTTCATTCATCTGAGCCAAAAATTCAACTAGTCCATAATGGATGAGTGGTGGGGCAAACAAGGTTGCCACCACCAAAACTGTGTTTCTTGCTCACACAAGAGATGTGTTTTAGTATGCAAGTCTCTCCCTGCAAGAGGGCCTGCTTTTGGCCCAGCAAGTTATACCAGCAAGTGTCCCACCTGGGGGAATTGTGTTAAGCTTGGATCTTTCCCTCCTTTGCTCTTGGACCATCCAGTTGGGGAGGGTAGAAATATGAGGACCCCTTATCAGCTGCTCTCTTGGAGTTGGACCAGCTGATCTCAAAGGGCCAACAGAAAACTTGACCTTTCTCTACTGACTTTGAGATAAAATAATCATTATGGTCATGTTTCAAATCTTAATTTTTCAATCCCAAATGATTTTCATAAAACACAGCCAATTTTGTGCAGTGGTGCAGCTGCCTTCAGCCTTAATCTCTAGTAATCATATTAAGATTTCAAAGACATTAAAGAGAGAATGGGGAAGAATGCCAAGAAGAAAATTTCTTCCAATCTTCAGAAGTGTTAATTTTGAAACTATGCCATAAAATGCTAGTGAAAACTTCATTAAGAAAGAGAGCCAAATCATCTGGAACTGAGTGATAATAATAATCTCGATTATAAGGATTGTGTTTAGATTGAAACCAGGGATTTTCATTTGGATTTCTATCAATTGATATGGAGTATTGAATAGATAATTCATTTTCACAAACTCCTTTGAGAAATTCAATTGCTCTTTCTCCTTCTGTGAATAGCTTTAGCACAGATTTTGCTTCATCAGATGTTATTATTTTTGTCTTGAACATATTTTCTTTGGGGGTTTTTGCAGAATAATCTATAGTAATGTAGTTTTTTCCAGGAGTTATTCTCATGTATTCAGAAAGTATATCACACATTGACATGTGAATAATACTGTAAAATAGTAAAGCAAGTGGTTTCAGATTCATATTTTCTATATATGATTAGATGTAGTATTGAAACTTCTCTTTTTTCTGGAAATTGGGGAAACTTGAGGTGTATTCTTCTTGAATTGAAAATGGCTTTAGATTTATTATTTATTTGGTTGATGGGTCTGGATTATTTGATTTGAAATTTTGATAAAAAGATATCAAAATTTGAAGCCAAAGAAAATGTGTGTGATTCCAATGGTACTCCTTTTGAGGTGCAAAGAAAATGCAAATTCAAGAAACAATGAAATCAGTGATGCAATTTATTTGTTTAATTGATGGCAGTGGTATATCTGTTTTTTTTTTCCTGGTCATAAGCCACAAAAAGGGCACCAGTCTCCTGAAAGGAATTCAGGAAGATATTGGTTTCAAATTTCAATATATCTAACCAATCACAATTTTCCAGATCAAAAGTTCAAGGCTGTTCAAAGGGAGACCCAAGTGGTTTTCATTGATATGCTATTGATATGCTAAAACACAATAGAATCCATCTTTTGTCACATTTCTCTTTTTATTTGGATTGAACTTGAAGGGGGAAAAGAAAAAGGAAAATGGAGATGCCTGAATTTGAGGTACCATCTGAGGTAACTTGAATTAATTCTTTCATTACTGAGATGGTGACTTACAATTAGTAATCCTGAAGCTGTACTGTTACAGTTGTGAGATTATTTAGTTCTAATGGTTTTTCAAGATGATAAGAGTATTGTGGACCAAATCACATTAAGAGGTAGATTTTATCTGGTTTAGTTTCAAAGTGTGGCAAGAGATCAGTGGAGGGACAGAGGCTTGTATATATGTCAATATGAGCAGCCTGGCAGGTAGTTGTCTTAATATGCAGGGAGAACCTTTGGGAATATATGTATAACTTGTTTCATATTTACAATTGAAATGTGATACATGGGACTCCATGCATTAAAATAGAAAATAAATCCCCAACTTATCTAGAAACCTTATATCATCTCAATTTTGGCAATCAATTGTGAAACAATAACTCAAAGAAAATATGTGGCTTGCAGCAGCATCAGAAGAGGAACATGTTCACTTCAACATGAAATTTGTACAGAAGCCCAGGTAGGACACAATTGTGTCAACATATTTTTCATAATGCATATGATACACGTACCCAGATGTGAATTGAGATTGCCTGTTTTCAAAATTAATAATCCCCAAACAACAAGCAGCTTTTGAAATGGATGCTTCATCATAGTTTTTCTGTATTTCACCATCTTCAGCATTGTATTTAAAGAGAACATTTTCTCATGAGTAAATCATGATGAAGAAAATTAAGATTAAAGATGTGAAATAATAATATCAAAATCTTTGTTAAACCTTTTTAGAAAATGATGGCATAGATCATAACAATCAAGAGCAGCAATTGAATATGTTGAAAGCCAAGAATGCTGAAGACAAGAAAAAAAATTTCCTCCTCAATAAATCTTTTCTTTTGCTCTACACATGTGCATAAATTGCATCAACTCAATAGGAATCAACTGACTCAAGGAGGACACCCACCTCACAGTGTGGGATTATGTGATGCAAGGCTCAAAAACTTGGCTCCAAGCTAGATGAATTCTTGTTGATTTGCCAAAGCTTATATGCATAGGGAGCATAAGATTTGACCAGGAAGAAATTTTTTGCCGGACATGGACAACCTTTTCCAAACTAGCTGTAAGTTGCTATTATGATTGTATTCTTGTACTGCTTTTGGGTACACATTTACCCCTACCCCCACCAGGCCACTGAAAGGTGCCTGGAGGCCCGGTGAGGCCTGGGCAGCCAATTTGCCACTAATTGTGCAGTCATGTGTGCAGGTTGAAAGGTGCAAAAAAGTGTGGCACAGATTCAGATGTAAAGACTACTTATGCAGTTTTCTTTTGGATTCTTTTTGGGGCTTAGGAATACAACTCCCAACGACTGTCAACGGACATTTGTTTGGGGTTGTCTTCAAAATGTTGGGCTGGTTTCAGGAGTACATATAGTTTTTGGGGAGAGTTGGCTGCCCGCCCATGGGGGGGATTAGTGATTGCCATTTGAATTATCAGAGCAGAAATGATAGCATGAAAATTCAGGTGATTTTGCTTGGACGAGGAAATGAGTCCCATCAAAAGTTCGTTCCTCTTGGGCGGATCATGCGGTTCTTGGGTCCCTCCGGCGGAGGTGCCGAATCCTCCCGAAGCGCCTTCGCCGCGCATGTATCCGAATCTTCAACTCCGGGCATGAGGGTTCACTCAAATGCACTAAAGACCTTAAGGGAAGACTATCTCATTACAACATGTTTTTGGCAAGCAGCAGTTGTATCAAACTTGAACCGCAAGTCTCGAAAGATGTAAAACTGATATATGCGCAACTCAACTGATCGAGCAATCGATCAAGAATATGAAGCTGAAGTACTTGATGCGAGCAGCGATCCCGGAAGAAGATCCGCGCTCACGGATATAGCAGTTTCCATAAACAAGCTGGCTTGAAACTTTGACTCGGACTGTCGCAAACTGTCTGCTGCCGAGTGATACATACATATAAACAACTCATCTTTCTCAGTCCTGATTTCTCCCTGCCTTCCCTCCATCCGTAAGCACGAAAAGGCTGATTCCTATTATCAAGACATTGACTTACTGTCGAACTTTTTTGTACTTTCCAGAATAACTCAACGCTCCAACAACAGGCACATACGATTTTACATTCACGAGATAAGCGTTTGGACGAGAAAGGGGGCAACTGATCGTACGTCACTGGCCTCATGAACGATTCATGTCATCTGAGCCGTAGTAAAATATCATCCGACTGATTTCCAGGTGACTACAATTGAAATACTTAGTCTCGTCGATCACCGACGCTTTAAAATGATGAAGCATCACAGCCAAATTCGAGGTCGGTAGCCACATTCTTGCTCAACCAAATCACCGCAATCAAACGTGCTGTTTTCTGAACCTCAATCGCAACGCTTCCTTTTTTTTTCTCATCACTGCGTGGTTTTTAATCATCTTTTATCCCTGTAATTATGTTTGCCAAACGGCCGGCTCATGTGTCGACTGCAGATGCCAATGAATCACGCGTCTTGGTGCTCTATACCGGCGGTAAGATACCATTTCTTTCGATGTCATTAGACCGGCTTGCGAACCGACAAGTCTGACAAATTTGCTATCTATAGGTACGATTGGAATGCTGTCCGGACCGAAGGGTTATTCCCCACTTCCTGGATACTTATCAGAACAGTACGCGTTTACATCAATATCTGTGCTGCTTTCTCCAGTTCTCTGTTGTTTCCTTGTCTGACCATCCAAATCGATTTCAGCCTACGCTCCCAGCCCCGATTTCACGATCCCAGCTCGAGTTCCTTATGTACCAACAGTCAAACCGTGGACGCCTTTCGATCATGGCAATCACTAGTATCGCTCAATTCCCCGTCCTCATCCTCAACCAGTCCAATCTACCCTCCCGCCAACAACCCGCCTTCCCCAGCGAGCGCCGAAGCTGGACCCACTACGGACGAAACTAGCAGGTTCAATGGCAACCAATTGAAAGTCATCACCGAAAATGGCTCGCAATGGTTAGATAGCTTGGTCATGCAAGAGAGTCATGGATGTCCTAAAATTCGGTCAGTTTGTGCTTCTCTATCCGTAACACCTGCTTTTTTTCACTACTGTTCTGATTCCCCGTAGCTTCCGGTTCCGCGAAAAAACTGGCCTGGTCTCAGCTATGCGATTCTTGAATATGAAAGACTGATTGATTCATCTGAAATCGAAATCTCAGATTACTTGAGGATCTGCAATTCGATCCAATCCAATTATTATCTATATGACAGCTTTGTGATTTTACACGGGACAGATACGATGGCATATACGGCCTCGGCACTCTCCTTCTTGCTCGAGAACTTGGGCAAGAACGTGATCATCACCGGCGCTCAAATCCCACTCTCATGTCCCCGGAACGATGCTGTGGAAAACCTGCTGGGGGCTTTGCAAATCTCAGGCACGTATTTGATACCCGAAGTCTCCTTATATTTTAACCATCGTCTCTGGAGGGGAAACCGGTCGATGAAAGTCAGCAGTGTCGAATTCGATGCTTTCAAGAGCTTCAACCTCGAACCGTTGGTCAAACTCGGGTGCAATGTCGAGGTCAGATGGGATCTCATTTACAGGCCCGTCGAACGACAAGCTTTCAGAGTCCATCAAGCCATGTGCGAGAACGTCGGTATGTGTATATTTTCCAACACCGAATGATGTTCACTTGTTAAGAAAACCCGATTCCCCTGTCACAGCCGTCCTTCGTCTCTTTCCGAGTATCACACCCGCCTCCGTTCGTGCCTTTCTGGCCCCACCGATACAAGGGATAGTTCTAGAAACCTTCGGGTCCGGCAACGCGCCTCGCAAGCCAGCACTGCTTCAAGCCTTTAAAGAAGCCGCTGACCGTGGGGTGGTCATTGTCAATGTGACGCAATGTGTTGTTGGGACGGTGTCTAGCGATATTTATGAGACTGGGCGGGCCTTAGCTGCAGTGGGAATCACTGGCGGTCGTGATATGACCACAGAGGTAGGCTTTTGAGTTGTTTTTGAATCCATGTCAGCATCAGCACGCAAGCAATTTATTGATGTCATTACCACATTTTCATTTCACAGTGTGCACTTGCTAAACTGGCTTATCTTCTATCCAAGCCATCCTTGTCGCCAGCCAAAATCCGTACCCTGATCAGTCAGCCTCTTCGGGGAGAGCTTACCCTGCCCGCACGCGTGCAGTTTCAGCCTCAGCCAGTTGAGGATCGGTTGAATTGGCTGATGAAGCATATCACTTCTTTACAATTGGACAACCGTGATCCTCCTCTCTCCGATGGTCGCAAGGAGGAAATTGGGAACTTGAACATCAGGGAAAGCCTTCCACAAATTCCAGCAACCATCATTTCAGATGATTCCGCTCCGCTCCTTCAACGGTCATCCACTCACCTTGGAAGGCTCGCAGTTTACCAAGACGTTGGAGTAGAGCTTGAAACGAGTGAGATGTTACAAAAGGAGCAAGACCTGACCGAACGGTCGTTGCTACCGATAGCCCTGACGGCAGCCTCCGCGCGCGATGATTCCAGTCTCGCTTCGTTACTAGCGATCTGCTCGGACCAGATCCAAACCCAAGGGCTTCTCAACCTCCGTACGGCCACCGGCTTGGGCCAGACCGCTCTGCATCTGGCGGCCTTCTATGGACGCTTGAAGAACGTCGAGTTGCTCCTCGACCATGGGGCTTCGGTTCATCTCAGAGATGACACTGGCCATACCGCGCTCTTCTATGCTATCAATAACCAGCATAAGGCGTGTGTCGACTTGCTGGTCAAAGCTGGGGCTCATCTGACCAACTTTGAACAGGACGAGGATTGCTCCAGTTCCTAGTCTCACAAAAAAAATCGGCTAAACCGATCCCGCATCTCCTCAAGATATGGCACATTCACATGTACACTCTCGTTCCATCTTTTCCCTCTCTCCGGTGGCTTCAATGTATTCTTGAGAGATATAGAGCGCATCATATTACATTTTACTATTGATTTTCCTTTTTTTTTTTTTTGCTCAAGAGTGTTTCATCTTGTATAGATTTTGGAAGGTTTTGTTCAATGTAAATAAAGAAAACTAAACCAAAGCAGGACTGATTATTTTTTTGGAGAAGGTTTTTTTTTTATTCTTGTGAGATCAAAGGATACACATTGTGCCTCAAAAGATCGGCACTGCTTATACCTTCAATGTTGAAGTATACATAGGTGTCTCACAAAGCAATTCTAGTGTGCAAACTCAGTCCAAGAGGGCTTTGGAAATGCTTGGGCACGGGTAATCCAATTCATAAGGGCATGCAATTTGATGCATCATCTCACATTTGTAGAAGGCAAAAAGAAAACTGTTTTGGCGACTCATGTATGCTAGCCAAAGGGCAGGAAGCTTTGGATTACTGGGAACAACCTTCATGCATAGACTTCAGACAAACTTCCATCTTCACCACAAGAGAGATCCCCAGGACGTGTATCTCCAAATCCGCGTCCGCGCCCGCTTCGATACCAAGATGACTAAGGATCCTCTGGCCTTTCGCCTTTAGAGGAAGACGCAGCCACTTTCTTCTTGGCCGCAAACCATCTGTATTTTGATTATTGTTTTCAAGTTAGCACTGGCAGCTCCTATAGCGACAGGGAAATAATTAAAGTCGGGGGCTTACAGCGCCGGCGCTGGAGCCTGGACAAGTCCATAAGTCACAGGTGCCCTTCTGCCCCTTGCAGCGGCAGTTAGTCTTGGCGCCTTTACTCCCGCCAAAGCATGCGGGCACAATCTGTATCACATTTTTTTTGTTTCAAGACCAAGGTATAATCTCAGTTTAATGTTTCATTCTTTTTGTAGTTGGAGACAAAGAAGGAGGGAACATATTTACGTTCTTGCAGTTTACGGCGCGAGCCTGGAGCTGCTGATGGGCATCAGCGGCCGGGGTGGCGGCTGAGAGGGTGGCTAAGATGGCCAAGATGGAGACGGTGGTGATTTGCATTTTGCGAAGGGTGGATAATGATTTTGAAGGCTGTTTGTTTTTGATTTCTTTGAAGAGTTGATGGTGTTTGAGATTGATGGTTTGTGGGATTGGTGGTGAGCAATGTCGAGGGTTTCTGGAGCTCCTTATATACCTTTTTCTGCCTCCCTAGATGTCGTAAGCATCACTTGAAAAGCTTCAGCCATCATTATTCCAAGCCCAATGGAAGGCTCACATCCAATCCCCGTCGATGGTTCATATCCAGTCCCAGCAATCCCAACAATCCAGCGGAATGCTCACAGCGAATCCCCATGGATTGTCCAAAGCCCGCTTGGTATAGCTTACACTAGCCTGAGAGATGAGAGCTGCGGAGGTCAAATTTCTATATCTTTTTATCCGGCATTGAGCACATGTTGATGGGAATACCCGGCGGGCCAAGTCCGACACCCTGAGTTTGTACGGCGCATATGCTTCAGGCGGGACTCATTTTGCCCCAGTCGTGGATGATCACAATGTGACTCCTGAGTACGGGCGGAGCGGCCGGCAGGCCGGCTTGCTTGACATTACCAAGCCGGCCATTAGAACTCCATAATATAACTTTGTTGAATGACCGGAACTCCCTGCACATAGGCCATGATCATTCTAGTGCTTCGAGCTTGTTGGGTCGGTCCTCGCATATCCGCCAGACCTCTCACAAACCACAGATATAGCCCGGTGATCAATCATCAAGGACTGAGGTCTCTGGGGAGACGCATTCTGCTACTAAATTGATTGCCCAGCAGGGTTGTAAAAAGGGGGGTATTCCTTGTTTTTAGCTTTGCATCGGCAACACACGTTCATAAAACCATTTTTCGGCTCATGCCGGACTGCACTGGGTGTTTGGCAGATGACCGCAAGGCAAAAATGTCAAGAATCAACTGATCACCGGTGCGACGGTGCGGGTGCCACTAGATCCATCTTTTCCTGGAGCTAAGTTAAATTTGGCTAATATCCCTTTTGGTGATACGCAGACCTAGTCAAGCACCAAAACAATCAATTGTTAAAAATACCAGCAATTACTTCTGTTGCAAAAGCGATTTGAATTACCAGTCCAAGTTCTGAAAACTTGCGTGAATCCTAGATACACTGTTAAAAATCCCATCCTTGCTGTCTATGACTCAAATCCACTGGCCATCTTAACTAGGGGGAAGCGACGTAAACCAGAATGATGGACTCAGCTTTATCCGTCTGAAAAAAAACAAGTAAATATGTGAGGAAGAGGACAAGCCTTAAGCTTCAAGGCCCCACTTCTGCATTGCTTTTGAGCTTCTCTTCAAAAGCTTCCATTGGTAAGGTTGGCCTCAGCCCCGGGATGCTTGTGGATACCCCGTTGTTGCAGAAAACCCCGGCCACTTTCAACATGAATATCAAATCACAAGCACATTCCAGGGCATGCCTGGTGATAAACCTCTCTGGGAAATTTGCCTTCCAGGCCTTCACATTTTTGTGGCCTATTTTATGTTTTAGTTCCATAATCACATGTGGATATTAGTGAAGTTTCTGATTGATAATAATGATGAAAATGAACTTGAGTTTTTCTTGTAACTTTTCCATCCCCTAAGTGGGTGGTACTCCGGCCCACTGACAGCCCGGGTTGTCACATGAGAGTATGTCAAGACTTTTGTGTTGCATTACTTTCCATTTTCCTTTCCTTCAATGATTGATGCAGTTCCATTTGACAAAGTCAGTACTTCCAAGGTTTTTGAAGTTGTTGCCAGGGGGTCACACAAGAGATTTTTGGCTGTTTGGTTATAGGGGATAGCCTTGGGAATCTAGCTCACAACCATGGTTGATGTTGTCTTGTTTGGACATCTCTGGAAGGAAGGATACCTTCTCATTCTTCCAGGTTTCATTGGCTATTTCTTCTGGAACCAGTCTTCATTTGGCACAAATTTGCAAACAAAAATGGTATCTTGACATCGTTGGTGCTTCCCCCCTTTTCTATTTTTCTTTATCACACTCTCCCCCCTCTTCTGTATTATTGTGTTGGAATTTTGTTCTTTTTTTGTTTTCTTCTCTTCTAGATCTCTCACTTTTGCCTCAACTTTTTTTTGAATAATCACTCGGATCAACTCTTTCATCATCATGATATCACTCCTCCTTAGTCTGACTCATCGCCCTTTTACGGACCCTGACCCCCTAGCAACGCTGGGCCAGCTACATTAACCGTAGCGTTAGCGTGGCGTAGCGCAGCGGAAATGCGCTACTTTGTAACGTAGCGTTAGTGAAAAATCCACCTTTCTGCGCTAATGCTACATGCAAAGGGCACAAAAGTGCGTTAGCGTAGAAAGTTGGAATTGCGCTAACGCTACGCGCTCAGGGCACAAAAAAGTGCCCGCTACGCCGCGCTACAGCACTTTTTAGCGAGTTTTTTGCCTTTTTTGCCGCTAAAAGCGCTGTAGCGCAGCGTAGCGACTGTAGCAATGCGCTAACACTACCCAGAAACAAGCCGCCTGTTAGCGGGGCTACAGCGTAGCGGCGGTAGCGGCACACTAACACTACAGAAAAAAAGGCCTGTTTCAGCGCCGCTACGCTAACGCTAAGTGGCCCTTTAGCGTAGCGGCCCAGCGTTGCCCCTAGCTTGCAGTCTTAGAACCCTGTCTAAGGAGGGCTTATTTTCTCTCATGTATGTCTGATGATCTAATTGGTTATAGATTCTTCATTTCTGGTGTTTGATGTCTGTTGAGTTTTCCTCTTCTCTGGTCTACTCTTCCCCAAAATCACTCCTTTTTCTTTTTCAAGTCATTATAAATCAGACTAGATTATATCTGTTAAGTAGCTTGTTTTTGGTTATTCTAAGCCCCCTTCTGAGTCAAATATGAACCTTAAGTAAATCAGCTTTTTCTAACTACTCATGTCTCTACAATGAATTCTTCTTTTTTCTGACTTTATGATTGATTTATCAAAGACTGATTATTTAAAATTAACGACTCTAAATATCTGTGGTTTATAGCATGTTTTTCTTGATTAACTCATCCGGCTTGACTAAAAGAGACTGAGAAGTTTTGTACGGTTTGTTTCTTCCAAGACTCATGTTTCTTCCTCTCAGTTTTTATTCAAATAACATTCTTTATTCATTTTTCTTTCAACCACTTTTTGACCACTTGTACCTAGTCTATTTAATCCTAGCTAGTTGCAAGTGAATGAAAATCATCGGTTCTTTCACTCTTTTTCCGTGAACCTTTCCCAAAAATAAGATCCTCAATTTTTGGCCCTCCACCTCTTACGTGCCTAAGTTTTAAAATTTCAACAATGTCATCCTGTCTTGTTTGTTCTAACTTCTTGATTGTTGGAATTGCTTCTATTCATGATCATTTACTATTCATTTTCTTCTCAACCACAGCCTGATCACTTGTTCATAGTATATTTTAAGTCTAGCCTTGTACAAAGAAATCAAGCCTTCATTAGTCTTTCTCTTGCTTGTTCCACCCTGATTCCGTTCCAGTAAGAAACTTTTCTTGCTACCATTATTCCCTTAGTCATTCTCCACAGTCCAGATTTCATCATCTTGATCTGATTTCTGGTCCTCTTGATTTCAATCATCACAGTCTGGAATTGTTGGCTTTCCAATTGTGTGCACATGATAGGTGAGTGGAAGAGGGGGATAAAGACCAGAAATACCAGAGACAGGCCCACTTGAGTGAAATCAAGGAAAGAAAGCATTTGAATTTTCTGGGGAATATATTTCATGGGAGACTCACATGACATGCAGAATTTTTGGAATAACAGCTAGGATGAGAAATTTGCATGCCATATGTCACACTACTTATAGACATGAATGATGTCAGGGGTTAGGAGAATCTAACACCTTCACAAGAAAAGAAATAAAGATTTAAATGAATAAGATAACATAAAAAGCACAAACAGGATATTGAATAAAAAGTAGTATACTGTGGCACAGTAAGAAATGGTGCAACACGGCAAAAAACCTACTCCAACTGTTCATCAATTTATCTACTATTGTCATTTCCTTCCTTATCTCCAGAGTATCACAAAAACACAAATTGGCCAACCAATAAAGAAAGTATGTAAGCTAGGAAGAGAGCTGCAAAAGGAGTCTCTTCCCACCAGTGCAATTATAATCAAGAAATAGTTACTCCATAGTATCATATCCTAGAGCCTTCTTGCAAAATAAATAGCATTTGTCAGCCTATACTATCCAGTATAAACTTTCACTACCCATTTAGAAGGCTAGAGTCTATTTGGCCACCAACTACACAAACCTCCTCTTACTATAAATCCTCTCAAACAATCAATTCATGCCTCTTACACAATTTCCTTGTGTCTGTTGAGACATTTCCAATTCCTCTGTTCCACCGCTTATTGACTTGAAGTGTTAACCTGCCCCAACTTGGAGCATAATCAAGATTGGTTTCCCTGGCTTAAACCTTCAGTAAGATTTCTGTGGCATAAGCCTCATCAAGGTATCTCTGAGCCATGCCATTGTCTTTTGTTAAACTTACTCTTACGTCCTTGAATCTCCTCCCTAGAACTAATTGAATACTAAATGCAACACTTGTAAGTATCCCCAGTCTGAAAAATGAGGATCAATTGAAAATTTATGTTTGATGTTCACCATTGACAATTCAAATGATTGTCATGGGACAAAGCAATCTTGCAAAATTAAGGTCTAGTGCATCCTGATCAGATAATGGAAAGATTTGAAAAGCTGGGAAATATTTCTTGTATGTTTTTATATGTTTATATGAGTGAAGTAAAGTAAATGTTGATATGGGAAAAGACTGAGAGGAAACTGATGATAAATATGAACTATTCAAAGTGTCTTTGCCTTCCTCCTTAACCTTCAGTTAAGAGAACAAATGGGTTAAGATCACTTTGACTTGTTGAGAGCACAAGGGGTGATACTTGCTACTTGACTTCTTATATGCTTCCTGAGGTATGAAAGATGATGATGGGCCACCTGATTGAGATCACACTGTTGGATTTTACCTTGATTTGACTTGAAGACTCTGGGTGAGGTGTGTGTAGCTTGGTAGATGTGCCGGATTGGCATGAGGAACTGATCTGAGGAGGGAGAAATGACCTCCTTATATAGTAAATTGTGAGGGATTTTTGCTAGTAAGGACGTCCTGTGACTGTGATGGATTTATGCTGGTGTGACTTCTTCCTTGAGGGATTTTTGCTGCTTGCAATCTTCTATTGAGCCATTTTTGCTGGTGTGTCATGTGATCTGCACTGCCCCATACAGAAAATCACACGTGTTGCGGAATGTTCTTTCTATGTTGAGGCATTTTTGCTGGTCTGTTGTGAAAATACGTATGATCCAAGCGTGTGGCTGGTGATGTCATGTGAAAATACGTGTGATCCAAGCGTGTGATCATGCATGTGACTAAACATGTGATCATAGGGCTTGGAAAAACGACTCCTAAATTTTAGGCAATGACTCCCATTTTGGTCAAGGGGTCGTCGGCGGGAGTTGTTCTTCCAATTCCCAAAAAAAATAAAGGGAGTCGTTGCCCTAATTTCACTGGAGATTTTTTTTTTTATTAAAAAATATGGGAGTTGTGCGCCTAAAAGGTGGGAGTCGGCGCACTAATTCCACCAAATATTTCTACTTTTTTTATATTAAAAAAGAAGGGAGTTGTCCAACTAAATATGGGAGTTGTTGCCATATAGCATCCCTAGAGACTCAAAAAAAAAGTTGAGCCACTGGGGCCCCGCCCCAAAAGCACTCTATCAATGATAAAAAATTAGATTCATTGAAAAAAACAATTGCGAGAGATAAAAGAAATGATAAACGGGCAAAAAAAAAATTCAAAATTGATCAGAAATGTAAGGAAAAAGAAAAGGGTAAAAAAGGACATAGAGGAAAAAAATCAAAAACTAAAAAAGACACAGGAAAAAAAAACCCTAGTAGTGGGTCATTGGATTTTCAATTCTCCTCTCTACAGTCAATTGGAAACAATCAGAAAATTTGGCTTCCCATCCCCAAGCCTCTTCTGAGGCCTTTTCTTTCCAATCCTTCATGAGCTGAGGGGCAGCAAAGAGTCTTGAGTTATGTAACTGCAAGGGGAAAAAATGAGAAAAATTGGATAGAAAAGCAATAAAAATTGGGGTTTTGTCATTGAACTTGAAGGTTGATTTGGGTGAGTGGATACGGGTTGGTTGTGGGTATGCGGGTTAGGGTTGGCAACTCCTGCATGGGAGAAGAAACAATTTTTCTTCTCCCAAGCCGACTCCTAGGGATTGGTCTGACGACTCCCACAAGACAAAAAAAACAGCCAAGTTGTCACTTTGGGAAATTGAGCCATCAACTCCCGTTTTGTCAGGTGAGGATAGCCTGACAACTCCCAATGAAAAAAGGGCCTTAATAAAAAAAACATGGTTTTTCCGCGTTTACACGCGGTTTTGCTGCGGCACAGTGCACACGGTTTCCGCGTTTAAACACGGTTTTGTAATTAATTTTTTACCGCTTATTTTTTGATTAATGCCCAAAAAAAACAACAGAAAAACCTGAAAAAAGATCAGAATTGGGAGCAACGACTCCCCCAAAAAAAATGTATTTCAAAAGGGGTGGACGCAACGGTGGGCCGCTACGCTACACTACGCTAAATGGCCCACTAACGTTAGCGTAGCGGCCCTCAGAACAGCGCGCCAAACCTGTAGTGTTAGCGCGCTGTTAGTGCCACTACGCTACGCTACGCTGCGCTACAGCGCTTTTAGCGGCAAAAACGGCCAAAAAACCGCTAAAATGTGCTGTAGCGCAGCGTAGTGGGCCCTTTTTTGCGTCCCACACGCGTAGCGTTAGCGCAGATACAGAAATCTGCGCTAACACTACGCTACAATGTAGCGTATTTGCGCTACACTATGCTAGGCTAACACTACCGTTAGCGTAGCTGGCCCAGTGTTGGTGGACGACTCCCATTAAAAAATTTGATATTGGTCCGACGACTCCCCGGACCAAGCTGTGGGTCCAGAGTTGGTCCAGGGGTGGTCTGCAGATGGTCCTCTCGATGTCAATGACCAAATGGGAGTTGTTGCCTAAAATTTAGGAGTTGTTTTTCCAAGCCCCTAAATCAATGTCCCTATTTTTTGTTTTGTCCCCTCATGGGCTTTATTTTGTAACCTTCCTCTTATTAAATAAAAATCATGTCTAGTTTCAGTCTTGTTATTTCACCAAAAGGATCTGTGCACCATGCTTGATTGTTATTCACACATTGTCTTGGGCCAGACTGCTCTGCATCTGATGGCCTTCCATGGACAGTTCAACTCAAGAATGTCAAGTTACTCCTTGACCATGGTGGCTGATCATCTGTTCATATCAGAGACAATACTGGCCATGTTCCACTCTTCTATTAACCATCATAAGGTGTGTGTCAAGTTGTTGGTCAATGCTGATGTTCATCTCACCAAGTTTGAACAAGATGAGGATTGCACCAGTTCCCAGCCTTACAAGAAATGTGGCTCTATCAATCCCAAATCTCTCCTCAAGACAATGGTGGGCCGCTACGCTTTTGGCCCAAAAAGTGTAGTGTAGTGGCGCTTTTTTGCACCAAGAAAATGTAGTGTTAGCAGATTTTTACTAAGCTACCCTGCGCTACAGGCCGCTAACAGCACTACAGGGCCAAAAAACTGCTACACAGCGTGTTAGCGTAGCGTAGTGGGCCCTTTTTTGGGGCCTTTGCGAGTAGTGTTAGTGCAAGATGTGGTGGAATTCCGCTACACTACGCTAAAGTTTACTTGAATTCCGCTACACTCACACTATGGTTAGTGTAACTGGCCCACCGTTGCTCAAGATATGGTGCATTGACTTGTACACTTTTTCCATTTCTTTCTCTCTCTCTTGGCCAGTGCCATCAATGGATTCTTCTTGATAAATACTAGTTACAGTTGATTTTCCCTTTTTTATCTTGTTAAATTCATCTTGTATAGATCTTGGAGGGCAACTCCATTTCATGTTGTTTTGGTCAATATCAAGGAAATTAAAGAGTAGTACTGATTTCTTAACACCGGGCATTGCTCACACAAACTTGGAGTAAATCTGTCTCACAAAAAATTCTGATGCACAGTGGTCAAGTGGCAGCAACTCAAGAGCTGGGCTTTGGATGATTGGCCTTGAAGAGAAACACTTGAGAGGTTCACCCACCATTGGAAGGAAAAAGAGATGTGCTTGCTAGTATTCACGCTCTTTGGTTTTCCTTTCAACTCTTCATTAGCATAGTTTTCTAGCTATGCTTGTAGCTTTCAGTGCCCTCATCAGTCCACATTAGGAAAGCTTTCTCCTGTTTTCATCTGATTCGCAGCACATTTTCTTTGCTGTTTACAGTCTTGGTTTGTTCAACCAGAAATTTAAACTTAAAAGGGAGTCTTTCCCTTATTGGCTCATTCATTCATCCACTCTAAACAGTTTTGGCAACTCATACGCGGGCCAAAGGCCAGGGAGCTTTGAATTACTGGGAACTACAACCCTCAAGAATAAGCTTCAGACAAACTTCCATCTGAATCGCAAGAGAGAGATTCCCAATACAAATCGCCGGCTTCGATACCAAAATAACTAAGTATCCTCTGTCCTTTCGCCTTGATTAGAGGAAGACACAGCCACTTTCCTCTTGGCCGCAAACCATCTGTATTTTGATTATTATTTTCAAGTCAGCAGCAGCTCCTACAGTATAACGATAGGGGAATAATAGAGGTGGGGGGGGGGGGCTTACAGCGCCGGCGCTGGAGCCTGGACAAGTCCATAAGTCACAGTCGCCCTTCTGCCCTTTGCAGCGGCATGTAGATTTGTCGCCTTTTTGCCCGCCAAAGCATGCGGGCACAATCTGTATCACAGGTTTTTTTTTTTTTTTCGAGACCAAGGTATACTCTCAGTTTGATGCTTTTTCTTTTCTTTTCTTTCTGTAGTTGGAGACAAAGAAGGAGGGAACATACGTTCTTGCAGTTTACTTTGCGAGCCTGGAGCTGGTGATGGGTATCAGCGGCCGGGGTGGCGGCCGAGAGGGTGGCTAAGATGGCCAAGATGGAGACGGTGGCGATTTGCATTTTGCGAAGGTTGGATAATGATTTTGAGGGCTGGTTTTTTTTGGTTTTGATTTCTTTGAAGAGTTGATGGTGTTTGAGATTGATGGTGTTTGTGAGATTGGTGGTGAGCAATGTCGAGGGTTCCTGGAGCTCCTTATATACCTTTTTCTGCCCCCCTTAGCTGAATGTCGAAAACATCACTTGAAAACCTTCAGCCATTATTGTTCCAATCCCAATGGAAGGCCCACAACACCCAATCCCCGTCGATGACTCACATCCAATCCCAGCAATCAGCAGCAATCCCAACCATCCAGCGGAATGTTCACAGCGAATCCACATGCATTGTCCAAAGCCCGCTTGGTGTAGCGTGCACTAGCCTGACAGATGAGAGCTGTGGAGGTCAGATTCCTGTATCGTTTTATTCGGCATTGAGCACATGTCGATGGGAATACCCGGCGGGCCAAGTCCGACACCCTGGGTTTGTACGGCGAATATGCTGTAATAGGCAGGACTCATTTTTCCCCAGCCGTTGATGATCACAATGTGACCCCTTGAGTGCGGGCGGAGCGGCCGGCAGACCGGCTTGCTTGGCATTACAAAGCCGGCCATTAGAACTCCATAGACAGACAACCTTGTTGAATGGCCGGAACTCCCTGGTCATAGGGGTCATGATCGTTCTAGCGCTTCGAGCTTGTTGAACCAGTCTTCGCATATCCTCCAGACCCCTCACAAACCACCGATCTAGCCCGGTGATCAAGGACATGACTGAATGGTCTGGGGACCTGCTAAATGGGCAATTGACTGCCCAGCAGGGTTGTAAAAAGGGGGTATTCCTTGTTTTGAGCTTTGCATCGGCAACACATGTTCATTAAAAAACCACTGGATTGACCACTCCAAATTTTTCGGCTGATGCTGGGCTGCACAAGACGTTCGGCAGATGATCGCAATTTTATCATGAATCACGGTTTCCTACAAAGAGGAAATGGAACGGCAAAGAGACTCATACAAATAGCCCAAACCCAATGTATACATTCATATTTCTAATTAGAGCAAGTCTGTTGGTGAGTAGATAGCACTGATTGAAACTAATGACCAAAAAAGAGTCCATCAAGAAGGGAGGGCTGACCGAGAATGGAAAGGGTAGAAGAGGAGGCAAAGTGGGGTTATCGCGAGTTCACTTGCATCAATGATCCTTGTGTGAGCACGAGAGTGCCAACTATGGGGACACCGGTAATCTGAACACCCAACGTTTTCCTCCTATTATCATTTTTTCATTAAACCACAACAAACTATCAATACATTTGTTGATGGAAAATCTGGAAGCTTTCTTACCAAAATCAGGCGAAAAAGTTAAAAGTTTTTTCTTTTTCTTTTCTGGGTATTACATAGTAGCAGTATATTGTAACTCGATTTTCTTTTTTTGGGGCCCAACCTTTTACACAGCTCATAAACCGATACAGGAAACTTACCACGCGCAAGCGGCGCAACTGTTGTAATCGGGCTTGATCCTCAATCACCGAGATGTACAAAGGCCGCCGCGACTGTCCTGAGCGTTATTCTCGAAATCAGCCATCCACGGCGAACTGCACCTTGCCTTCAACGTACCTCCACCCAATAGTCCCTTTGAATATCCTCTCCTCTTGAGTTCAACCCCACCATGCACTTTTTCAAATCAAGCATTGTCATATTGGCTGCTACTTGTAAGCTTGCACTTGCATTCGACTGTCATTCACCATATGGCGCAGGTGGTTGCCTGGACACGGTGGCGGGCTCGGTCGATATTCGTGAGTCCAGAATCTGAACCAATTTGACTATGTAGCTGAACAGAAAAAAGGTTGATCGACTGTAACTTGCGAACTGCAGTTTCACCCGCCCTGCAGCCGAACGGAAGGGGGACTACATATTTTCTCTGCGAGAAAGGGCTCAATGAGTGCTGTTTGGACGCTACATTCAAGGTGAATAGCATCCCATTAATCTTTCCACGCTTCTGCCACGACAGCTACACTTTGACTTCGATACTCTCCGTCTTTCAGATTCCCCCGGGCCGGATTCCCGATCCCAACAAATGCCAATTAGGGTAGGGTTGGTAGCCCCGACGCTCAATTCAGCTGTCTTTCAAACCCTTCGTCTTGTGCGTCAAGTTCTCTCCGCTTCAGAATGATTATGACCTCCATCTAACTCACATAAGTCACTCCAGCAATTGCGCTTTTCTCGAAATCTGTCCGATGGCCCCTAGTGCAGGACGGCGTCCCCCTTCCTGGAACTTCAGTCTACCTTGATAAAATAGTTAGATCGTTAGAAAGGCATTTTTTGTTTTCCATAATATATTTTATCCGAAACTCTGTCAGACAGTCGATAGGAAGTCTCGCGCCACGCCCCAGATTTAGGGTCGCCGCCGAGAACTGACACAAGTCAGCTCCCCTCGAGGCTTGAGGCAGTCCGCTACTCCGGAGTTCACCTTGATAGCAATCACTAAGTGGTGAGAACGACACTGATATGAAAAAAAAACCCTGAAATAAGTTTACTGAATGAGATGGAAGAAGACATCAAAGATGAATCAGTTAGCTAACAGGGAGTTGATTATTTTGGGGTGATAACATTATGAGACACAGGACGTAACAATACGCAAAAAAGCTGCTAAATTTCTTTCATTCTTTTGAGGACTATTGCTTGTATCGTGAGGGAAATCAACAAGAGAGATAGAGAGAAAAAGACTGAAAGACTGAAAGAGAGTGAGATAGGATATCAAAAAAAAAAAAAAAAAAAAAATTAAACACAGATAAATTCGTCGACCACCTGGTCTGACGGGCATCAGTTCTGCCTGTTTTCTACTTCTGTCTCTGTTACGACCTAACCCCCCAGAGTATTTAGACCATTTCATTACAACGGCAAGTGTAAACAAGATGTAACTGTCAATGAACGTATTCAGTGATGGATAAATCTGAGCTTTTGAATGAGTCGTGATTTACATGGTGCTGTTTGAGGAGTAGGTTTGAATGATTACGGTTACAGGGTGAATACATGATGAGATACGCAAAGGCAAAGAATTCTAGCCAACAAATTCAGCTTTGTAAGGATGAACGATCAGAAATTCAATTCAGCAAGATTCGAGTCATTCGGATTCCGGGCCAACCGATGAGATTTAGACTGTCTGTGGTCCGAGCCAGTAGAAGGACTTGTCTTCGGCGTATAAGATCCCGGGGCCACAGGGCCGTTTTTGGTTGGTGGATTGCTTCCTCTCCAACGCCCAAAATTCGGGCTGGAACTTATCAACAAACATCACACTTGAGGCGGGATGATTTGTGGCATGTCTGGCGACCGGCTGTAGGCCGAAACCAGAGACGGGCTGAGACTTTAGATCCCAGACCTTGATGGTTTGGTCGCGGCCGGGCATGCACACCAGGTTTCTATCCTTAGATATCGCAAGGCCAAATGATCGGTCACATCCATTGTCCCAGCCATCAAGACTCATCGTAGGATTTGATGTCAGATATCGAATGTCATGGAGTTTTGCGTACCTGCGCAACAACATTTAGCTAGAGGCTTCATCGTACTAAAATCATTATGATCTCTCTGGATACTTGAGCTCACCCCATAGTTCCACCTATTAGGAATTGATGATCATCCACGTGCTTCAAGTGACAGATAGAACGACCTCGAAGCAACTCATTTCTGTGGAACTAATGAGTCACATGCAATCAAAGATGACAATCAGTTTAGTAAAACGTAAAATTGGATCACAACGCAATGGAACCTTCTCTTTTTTTCAAAAAGAAGGAGTAAATAAATTGAAAATTGAACAGCGGAAGAAATGGATTTGGGGGTGGTAAAAAGATGGGGCCAAAGAGGAAGAGAACCAAAATACTTACAATATGCGGTGAGCGTATGTCAAATTGAATGATACCTCCTGATCGAGTCCCAAGCAAAAAATTAAACTGTAACGGATTCGATCAGTAGGTTACAAACTCCCGGATGTATAATGATGGTCATGATATATCTCTTTTTTGATAAATCTTGCCAGAATTAAGGGGCGGGGGATCCAAGTGTGAGAACAAACAGACAGCTTACCTCGTCTTGTCTTTCTATGGCAAATACGGATGATTTCGGATTTTGAGAAACCGTGGTTTGGCGCTGATAGTCATACACGGCCAAGGATTTTTCACAACCTGATATGAGTTGTAAAAATTTTCAGGCAGGCTGTTCATAACAATCAACATTTTGCGATTGCAGTCTTGAAATTGATGCTGACCCATTAAAAGATGTTGAGCAGTCAAACATAAGGACCAAGTAGTATTTGTGAATGAGGCACGCTGTACCAGATGCGGAAGGCCTATATAACTGATTGACACATGTCGAGTGGAGATAATAAATAACAAAAACAATCTTCGATCAGTATTGTTACTGCACGACGAAAGACGACAAGAAGTTGATTCTTCGAAGATCGCAACGTTTCTTACTCTGATGACATGGGCGTTGTGATGACACATCCCGAAGTGGCAGCAAAGCTACATTAAAGCAATAATTTGATTAAGAACGGTCTTAATACTAAGCACCTGATATATCTTGACGAATCGCAAAGGCGTACCAAGTTACACCTGCTTTAGAAGCGATCGCGGTCAGTGGCTATGATAGATTAATATTGCAAGTCAATCGTCAGCATGGTTCAAAGGATCAGAGCAAGACATTTGGAATAAAGTATCATGGCAAAAAGGAGGGTCCCGATTTACCTCAATGGTACCGGGTGTGATACACGGAGATAAATCCACCTGGAGCCACCCTAAAGAAGGCTGACGATGGAACAGTTTTCCAAAGTCGCCAATGATTGCCTCGCTACAAGAGGATCCAAGGATGAGGAGGTTGGTCGGTCGCTCCCCGTCAAAGTTGGACACTGTCGTCGCGGCAATTCGGCCAGCTAAACCGCCTCTTCGAAGTGGAGAGGCAAGGAGCGCAGGATGTGTGGATGCCGAACAGGCTCCTACGTATGAAATCCTGTTTCATTGCAGTAAATAATATGAAAAAAATCCTGTCAACCTTGAAATACGGAGAGGGTGTGCTCCTGCAATCTTTCAAGCAGTTAAGCCAATCAATACGATGACATACGATGTTGCGTGCCTCGATCGCTTTGATGCAGAACCGCAATCGGTTTCTGGGTCGAATTCTGGCCTTGTGGGACGGCGGACAGATGGGGGTCGGAGATTTGCAATCGGGGGTCCATCTGAAGTGCCATTGGATGCTACATTTGTGGCGGTTTTCTTCACGGGAGGTCGGCTAAGGCCTGATGAGGGTGATTTGAAGAATCGGTTCGAAACGGGGTCGTACTCATATCCACGGATTGCTGGAGGGATTCTGCTCGAACTTGGAGGTGGGCGCATTCAAGTGGTTTTGATGGTGATAGTTCGGCAAACACGGGTATCCAATCCAAGATGACTGATGGTATGGTCCGAGTCAGTAAGATGTGTATTGTTAGCAAGACCAAGGTTTTAGGTTCTGGTTTCCACTCAGACGGGTCTGATGTGGACCTGGTAGTCATTGACTTTGGGGAGTCAGTTGGCCAACACTTCCTTTTCACATTTTTTTGGGCATAAAAAGGGACAACCATGGACTGCGGCACAGCTCAACATGACAACTGAGCCTCGTTGTGATCACGATCAAAATATCAGATCTATTTCACTATATCCCGTATCAATCAGAAGAGTCCAACCCAAATCGCTCGAAGACTTCGGTCAAAGTTTTCCCCTCGACGGACGCAATCTACATATACAGAACAGCACCATGATCAAGAAGGAAACACTTCAGTAAAGCTTGTTGTGGTATTTTAATCGTCATTTGGACGCGCATGTATGGAAGTTTGTTTGAGAGCTTACAGCCTTCATAAGGCTTTGAGTATGTTCCTGAAAAAATGAAATAAATAAAAAAGAAATCAATCAGAAATCAATCTGTTGCTTGTGTTTCCCTCTCGGTTTTACTTGGACATGATACCCAGGAGGAAAGAAGATAACACAATGTCAAGACTCACTTTGCAAGTATTGTACTTTGGTTGATGGCGTTGATGATTCAGATGGGTTAGCAGGACCTCAAACCAGTGACTCAGCATGGCCAATGTGTCCACTCCCACAAGGATACATAAGGGGGAAGAAATCTCACCTTGTCCAAGGCAGCAATATGACTGGCTGTCAGTTGCTTTGCCCGTTGGCTTGATGATCACATATTGAAAAAAACGAGTCAGTCAGTTGACCGTCTATTTCCTTGATTGGAAGTCGATCCGAAAGATTTGGGATGAAGAAAAGATCAAGGGAAAACCTACTCCGTCATCCCCATCTGCGATTGGTGCTCAATCGCTTCTTTCAATTCTTGGATTCTTCGCAAAAGAGTCGGGCCATCACCATCGCTTGGTCCTTGCTGACCGTCTTGGATGCCTGCTGTCTCCCCCATCTTTCGTTGTCGAATCCACATGAGTAACAAAGAGGCATGAATAAACGAAGACAGAGTACTGACTGGGATGGTCCAGCTGTTGATTCAGAGATGTTGATGTTGTAGACTTCGTCAAGTTCCCCTAAATCCTTCTTTATCGCTTCCTCTTTGTGTTTTTTTTTGACAAGAATGGTCAATGGTCAACAGAGTCAGCCGAGAGCGCCTGCTGTGTTCGTAGGAGGTCACCAAAACCTTGCAGTTTTATTCTGGCCCAATTGTCTTGCTGTGATTAACAATCAAACAGCAAGAGGTAAATTTTGGGTTTGAATCACAGCTGCTCGCAGGCGGGTACTTCTTTGGAATGCTCAATAAATAAATGGAGACCTTATGTTTTTCTGGAGGCTCAAGCATGAGTCAATTGACTTGCTCACGAGAAGATGGCTTTCCAAATAAACAGCTCGGCTGATCAAGGTCTTTTTTGTATAAAAACGAGAAATCACAAACGATAACTTATGCATTCAAGCTTACCTAGCCTGTCAAAAAAAAATACAAACGCAAGCCTCTAGACTATACAAGGAAGGAAAAGAAAAGAGATCATAAAGTAGTTGAAAATCGAAAGCAGTCAGTCTATGGTTATGCGATTGCGATGAAAAGTTACAAGAACAGACTCTCCAGCATCCTCAGACTTTCAGAAAAAGAAAAAAAAAGAAACAGTATTTGACATCTGCAGATAGGATAGAAAATGATGATTATCCAGGTGTATTAAGTTACACGAGGCGGATTGCTTATGTTGAGCTCATACCGTGTCTTTGGCCTGGCTTTCAGGGATAGATGGGGCTTAGATGCTTGGCTTGTGTTTCCGAGTGAGAGTGTTCAACCATAGATCTATTGCTCTGGTCATTGATGCGGAAGATTTTGGGCGATGGTCAATAGAGTTTTATAGAACAAATTTAGAGATCGATGGTCATGTGTGCGGACTCACCTCCACGTATTCGCCTAAGAAGGGAGCTAGCAGCTACCGTCCAGAGTCTCGAGGGGCAGTGTCTAATCTGGGATTCCGTACCATTGGGTACATGTTTGGGTGTAAGGATACAGAGGTTTCGATTTCATCGGACGAGGTGTCATTGGGGTGGTCTGCCTCGGCAGATCGGTTGTGATCTTGAGATTCGGGGGGTGCCATCGAGGTGTGTTTTGATGAGCCTACCATTTTCGATGCCCGAGGTCGAATGCAGGTATATTTTTCAACGGGTATCGCACCGTAGGATAGACAACTAGAAACCCATTTGAAATCCATAACCCAAATCAACTCATCGCCCGGTGTTTTCTGCAAAGAAGACAGACACATGTCTTTGATTGTTTGCCTTTCTACCGGATCAGCTACCAGATTTTTTATCGCGCGGAGACATGAATTCCAGGAGGTGTCGTTCGGAACAATTAGGTGTGTGACCTGTTTTGCTCTTAACTCTGGTTGAATCTGAGCACCAGCTTCGAAAAGCCTTCGCATCCTCATTCGATCAGCATCGTCCAGATTCCTCTGAACTCTTGGGTCGATAAGGTAATAAATACGACATCGGCTCATGAAATCTTTGGTTTTTCTCCTTTTGGCTGATATCCTACTCGATTCAGTAAGGAAAGCTGCCCATATTTCAACACTCGGAAATCGAGCGGATCGTTCCTTGGCGGTTAGTTTATCATAAGCTTCCAATGTGTCGATTTCCTTGAGTTTTGACCTTCGCCGGGGAAGCTTCGTATCCTTCACCTTAATTCCGCTTGAAGAACTCGTTTCACTCGTTGTGCGATGCACGCCACGACTATTGGAAGTATCTGATCGATTCGAAACATGATGATGGTTGACTTGTTGTTGTTGATTTGAGATCTGGGGGCGAATACCTAATCCAGGAGAGATAATGTGAGAAGGGGCCTTCTTAATCTGGTGACTGCTTGAGGGGGATGCCGGTGTGCCTGGTGCAAGTACTATTCTTGATTTTGGCCGTAAGAGTGGCACGCCTGGTGTCTCTGGTGCAAGTATTGCGCTTGATTTCTGTAGTACCATTGATACGTCTGGTGTTTCTGGTGCGAGCAAAACGCGTCCCGAATGCGTCTTTCTTGTGAGACTCTGAGGTAAAATAGTAGGCGCCGAAGACTCGTTCGGGTCTGCCGAATCAGTATGGTCCTCTGTTAAATTTTCGACGCCACTTCTGGGTGATTGAGGAAGTGGCGAGATCACAGGAGAAGGAATATTATGGGTACTATCAAGACTCTGCTCTGTCACGGGGATTCTTGAGGTTAGGTTCATGTATTGCTCGACCGGTCCAACGGGAAGCTGGTTTCGCGCAAGACACTGGGCTACTTTCTGATCGTAAGACTTTTTCCAAGCTATTGAGGCTTTCTGCCATTCATTAAGCTCCTCGGATTGAGAATCTAATAAGTCCGATGAACTATTTGCAGTTGCGACTCTCTTCCGACTAGTACTAGTAGTAGATGGTTCACAGCGGGATCGTTTCAGGGATGGCTTAAGGGAAGACTGACTTGGCCGAGGATCCATCTGATGCAACCTGCATGAACGAGTTAAACCAACGCGCAGGGGAGTCAGACCGATAATATGCTGGATGGATGAAAGTCGACTTTTCTGAACGATGTGAAATTAACTTACGCAGTTGTGGGGTAGACACCAATCTTTCAAAAATCGAGTTCAAGAGGAAAAAGAAAAACAAACGGCCTGTCAAAAAAACAAGTTCATGGATCTATTGATGAATACACTAAATATCTAACAACTTACTTGTGGAACTATCTGGTTTCCGGAAAGGTTGACTGAGGCGAGTTGAGGACTGGAGGTCAATAGGTTGGGGATGCTAGTGTTTTGGCTGTTTTTGTAGAGAGTGGTAAACTGACAGCACTCGGATGTCACAGGCTGTGGAGATAGTGGTGACATGGAACACAGCCTCCCGGGCATTCAACACCATGTCCGGCGTTGGCTGGCGTTGGCCATTTGCTTTGCGCGGCCCCGAGCTTCCGGTCAAGGTAATGGCTTACCGAAACCTCTTTTACCTTTTCTGACCACTCTCGGCTTCCTTCTAATGAATCTTGCTCTCAGAGCATCTCCACCGGGGGCCCTATGTAGGGGCCCTATCCCACATATAGGGCCCGCGAGTCCCAAAACCACAGCCACCGCGGCCCCTATAATAGGGACCAGGGTCGAAAGTCCCTATCGAGCTGTATATATACAGACTCGATAGGGCCCGGCTGATTGGTCCCATCCCGTGTGAACCTTCCGACATCGGAAGGTTTCACACATCCTCAAGCACACTACAGCTCCGACCGATCGGCTTTCACCGACTTTTAAGGCCGATACACCCGCTAGCGGTGGGAAAAAAAACCCGGCTCGGTCGCTATCCATTTTTTTCGGTCCCTATTGGAGGCATATAGGGCCCCGCAAATAGGGCCCGCGGTGGAGATGCTCTCAGCCAGTGTGTGGAGCGAACTTAACACAAGCCCGCGTCCCTGCTGCGGCGTGGTGCACTGTAGCCGCTTGTCGAGTGTGCAAGCACCAGGGACTCTCCCGCAGGGAGAGGACTTGGGAATAATGAGCCATCAGGGCCCAACAGCATCTCCAAGCTTTGGTGGTGGAGGATGTTGTGAGCACTTGCAGACCTCAGTTTTGAACAAGTTTTTTTTTCTTCTTCATAGTTTAAACTTTGTATTTTTCTTTATCAAATAGTCAATTCAGAACCTGAAATATATATCCCATTCATGATCAATAAAATTCATGAAACTTTGAGTTTCTTGAATTTCCGTGGCCGCTTACTAGCAAAGCCATGGTTTTTTGGGTGGCTCTTTTTTTTCGAAAAACCTCTCTTTTTTTCTAACCTTTTTGCCTTTAATCTCAACGGCTTTTAGGCAGCAATTATAAACACTTTTTTGATATTTTTTGAGAATTTTTTTTTTTTTTTTTTTGATTTTGTAATTCTGAGTGTCTCTAAAATGAAACAATAAAGAAAAAAAGTCCAAAAATCTTCTAAGTAAGCTGGAATTATAAACTCGGGGGACACATTTATTTTTCATCCCGCGGGCAGCTGACCTGTATCAGCCTGATACTCTGCACACACACTCCCGGCTTCATGATGCCACGTCCAATTGATCCCACCACACTCAACCAATTTGCAGCCCTATGGTATTGGAACCGACTCCAGCAGACTCTTGACCAGCAAATATACATCCGAGCGGAGCGCATTGCCTTTGTCCGCCCCGAGCACTGGGAGCCATGGAACGATGACTGACTTCCACCGGTGCGGTTCGTGGAATACTTTCGATTGTCAAGGGCGGATTTCGCTTGGCTATGCGACGAGTTGCGGGAAACTTTGCAGCAAGATCACCTGCGCCGGGGTGCTCCATTATCCGTAGAGGCTCAGGTTGCGGTTGGCCTTTATCGTTTGGGTCATGGTGCGACATACGTGACAATCTCGCATGTCTTCAACATAGGGAAGGAAACCGCCGACAAAGCAACTGGATGCTTTGTCAAAGCGGTTCTCAAGGTTCTTAGGCTCCGGTCGATCAGGTATGTCCAAGCCCATACTATACCGTAGACTTGATCCAAATCTTGTCAGCTGACACATTGTGTGTTCAGCTTTCCGATGTTAGATTCGCATGAGGAATGGGAGGACATCATCGATTCCTTTGAATGTCGGCATGGCATTCCGGACGTGGTAGGGGCCATCGATGGCACACACATACCATTGGCGATGCCACCTTCAGATAGATGGAAGGGCTACATTAATCGGAAGAATTGGGCTTCCTTGGTTTTCCAGTGTGTGGTTGATGGGGATGGCAACTTCCGTGACGTATGTCATATTGCTCGTCTAGCTTAGGGTCTGGCCAGATGGACTGATGACTGATCATATCTTCTGAGGGGTTGCAGGTCTTTGGCGGGGGCGCCGGCTCTATTCATGATACTCGCGTTTTTCGCCGGTCGGAGCTTGGGATTAGTCTGAACCGTGCCTTGGGCCTACAAATGATGATCCCACCGGGCACACATCTGATTGGGGATGCAGGATACCCGTCGGATGTTAACGTACTTGTTCCATACCCTTCGTTGGTCGCCACGGGGAACGAATACTTCAACCACATCCAATCTTCAACACGGATCATCGTTGAACAGACATGCGGTCGTCTGAAGAACCGGTTCCGCATACTCCTCACCGCTCAGAAGGCTAACCCCGTCCGAGCCCGGAACAATACCTTCGTGTGCATGATCCTACACAATATACTCAACCGCCGAGGGTCCCTCTACTTACAAGGTTGGGATGAACGCTCATGACACAAGTTGCTCTTTGCGGAACTCCCCAGGCTCAATGAACCGGATCTCACCCCCCCCCTCCTGGTGAATCCATGTGGACCCGGAGGGATAGGATCCGAGACATGTTGTACAGGTCCCGGGGCGGCTAGCTGGGCTCATGTGGCTTGGTTTTTCTATCTCAATAATGGAATTTGTAACTAGATTGATTTGACTGGGTGCATGACAAGGAATCAGGCAGTGACAGATTATTCAAAGTTATGGTCAAGATGCTAACGCCGACGGGCTGCTGCCTGGCAGAGGCCTCGGGCACTCCCAATAGTGAGACCAAGCGCAGTCAGTTCGGCCTCGTCAGATCCGATGAAATGTTGCCAGCAGTGGATGCGATGCTGGGCCAAGATCTCCCTGGTGTGTTGGTCGTTTGGCTGGATGCCGCTGCTGCACAGAAATTCTTCGAGGGCCGTATGATCAGGAATGGGCACAGGGAAAGGCCTCGGTGGTGCTGGGGGTGACCGAACCGGTGTCTGCTCAGCCAATTCGTCCTCGTCAACTGTCGTGGTCAGTTGGCTCCGGCATTGCTCGGCCGGTTGGGGGGGGGGCATTTTTCATTCTAACGTTTGGTTTGGCTTCGCTGGCTGTCGGACTCGCTGCGCGTTTGGGAGGGTTGGTCTGCCATTTTGGTTGTTAGCTTCATGGTGACACCTGGGCACCAGTTATGACAGTTATGACGAGCACACGTGAGCTTACTTGGTTGTTCATATGCACCTGGCCGTCCTTTGGCATCACCCGTAACCATAGATTTGAGCGCTCATTGTGGGGTGAGTTGGGGATGTCCCCGCCAGAACGGCGGTGTTCGTCGACCATTTGGTAGATCCGGGTGATGGAGAGGGCGTCCGTGTCGGGAATGGGATCCTCGTGAGTGGCAGTCATCTCGTTTGAATGGGTCGCGGACGGATTTGAAACACCATGTGGTGGCGCCTGCTGGGTCCAGGGGTGATTGGGTCCCTCACCAGGCTAGGGTTACAAGGTCCTTGTCGGTGTTCCGGCTGGTTTTTATTCGTGCGCACAGCCACACAGGAAAACTGCACTCATACCTCCTGGAACTGTATCATGCCCTCTTCATTGCGCAGTAAGCCTTGGGGACACGATGGGGTCGCCGGTGGCCCCAACAGCTTAACAATCTTGTTCGATTGGCTCAGAACCGGTGACAATTACGAGCGCTGGCGGAGCGGTGACGACAAGGTCGGGCTTTATAGGGAGTTACTTGGGGATTTCGCAAGGCATGGGATAGACCATCGCACTCGTTCAGGTGAGTGGCATTGAAATCCTATGCCAGCCCACATCATGCTGACCAGGATTCGCTGTTGGGGGATTGATCTTTGCCCTTGTGGCAGATGCCAATCTCATGATCAGCCACCTACAAATGACATACAATGATGCGGCCAAGTACGCGAAGGCTGCTGGGGAAGATATAAGCCGGATGCGAGCCGATGATCACTCTATGTCAGGTTGGTTACCCTCCAATCATGTAGGCTTTGTCATGTTATTGAGGGCCCCATTTCTTCACCTGTTATTACTCACCCCCTTCAGGCCACCTCAGGAGAAGATGTCGACACTGGCGGATTCTCGCCGAGTTCATGGAAGTCGGCCCATGTCCACCCAGCGCCCGCCAGATCACAGGATAGAAGGTAGCATCTATGTTTCACTACCGGACTTGTGCAGTACAACCTAGTAGACATGAGGCCGAGTCTGTGCAATACCACCCACAAGATCCACCTGAGTAGTTAATAGACCTTCACCGGCAAATACCACCTGAGTAGTGATGAGATTTTCACGAACATGAGAAAACTATTCACACCATATATAAGAAGTCATCTAACACATTATTGCTCGAGAGAAATATGCGAGGGGAAATCACAATCATGTGTCAGACCACAAGCGAGGTATAAGAGCAAATCAGCCGAGACATGTCAAATGGACAAGGAGCAGGGCTGAGGGAACAAAGAAAAACAACCGGAACACAAGCGAGGGAGGTGATAAACCAGCAAGAGGTCCCGAACGGCCCATGTCCACTCCTCAAGGTCACGGCCCCCGTGGCCCTGATCCCTCACCTGCCGGCCCATCACCCGGTAGGGTGACTGCCATCCCCATGGCCTTCAACATGGCCAGCTCGAACATCTGACGGGATCGCTGCTGAGCCTCGGCCCGATCCTCCCGCTCCTTCTCCTTCTTGGCCTCCGCGGCCTTCCGATCCAGATCGGCCTGTCTCTGCTGCTTGCGATCCTCTGCCGCCTGAAGGGCCCGGGCCTGTGCTGCTTCTCGTTCCATCTTCATATGGTGATCCGCCAGCTCTCGGTCGAGTTTCACCTGTTGGCGTAGGACCTTGCGGTCTTCATTTGTCAGCCTGACTTCATCACGTCGCGCGAGCTCCATGGCATCGGCCCGCTTCTCCGCCGCAAGCCGCTCGTCAGCTCAAATATCATCTTGGCGTTTGATCTCCGCCGCTCGCTCGGCCGCTTGTCGGTCTTCAATCCTCTGTCTATCGGCCCTCTCTTCAGCACGGATAACGTCCTGTCGGGCCCGCTCCACCTGCGCGTCTCTCCTCTCCTCGGCGGCCCAAGATGCCGATGACTCCTGCGCCTTGTGCATCATGACGAGCATCCCAGTGCCAGTGGTGTCACCCTCTTTCGTCTTCTCCTCAGTGCGCCCGCGGCGACGGGGGATTGTTGGTACCTCGGCGGGGGGGCGGCTGACCGGTTGTTTTGATGACAAAGCCCTCGCCTTTCGCTTTGACCCCATCGGAGGACCTGTGGGAATTGAAGCTGGTGTCCCCAGAACCGGAGTCAAAGGTGGCACCCCCGGAATGGGAGTCACATTCACCCCAGTCCTTGTGGTCCCCGGTGCGCCCAGCGGAAGCTCATCAGGCAGATCGCAATCCGAGCTGGAGTCAGGATCCAGGGCAAGCTCGGCTGGGGTCAGGCCGGCACATAGTCGTTGGTACTTGGTCTGCCTCTTATTTCGGGTTGCAGGGGTGGCCGGCAGGCTGTCTGGAGCCTCAATGTCAGAGGAGCCAGGACCACTCGAAGCACCCGAGTTAACTTCCTCTTGCAGGAGCGTTTCGTAATCGGCAGATGAACCGGTCAACCCCTCCGCAGTGGCCGCCGGGTTATCCCCATGCATATCAAGTATTAAATCCCAAATCTATACCATCATGACATCAGCCAATGAGTAGTTATTATAATAGCAGAATCCCAAGCGTACCTCCTGGGAAAGATTGCCAGCATCCAAGGCCGATGACAAGCCACCCGCCCCTGATCGGTCGACGACGGGCATTGATAAACACACGCCAGCCCCCATTGCGCACGCCAAACCGCACGCCAGGTGCGGATTGGCGTGCGCGCCTGCACGCCAAAGCAAATTGGCGTGCGGGCTAGCACGCCAATCTACAGAGTGTAGACCGGTGTGCAGGCCTGCACGCCACAGACATATGCGTTTAGGAGTGCCGCCGTCCCATAGGACCCAGGCATGGGTCCTATGGGACAGCCCAGGTCCTAAACACATATAAATATGCGTTTAGGACCTAAAGTTGAGCGAGCAGGCCTGCACGCCAACTGCACGCCAATCACCCCTGCAGCAGATGGGCGTGCAAGGGCGCACGCCAAACTTCTTTGGCGTGTGGGCCTGCACGCCAATCTGCGCCTGGCGTGCAGATTGGCGTGCACCATGGGGGTTGGTGTGCGCTTATCAACCCCCGTCGACGACATCTTTGACTTTCTAAGCAACCCCATGAATGATGTCAGCTATTAAAACCCAACACAACCAAGGAGCATGAATGATTCATCCACCATTCCACTAACCTTCCACTTATCCATAACCGCCCGATATTTAGCCAGCCGGGTCGCTGGTAGAACCGAATCTAGCAGGGGGAATGCCTCCTCGTGGCCCGTATAAGCCACGAAGTACTTGCCGAAGGGGATAAATCCCCCGGTCACCTGACTATGGTCATCTTTCACCATCCTGACGTAATTCAATAGCTCTATGGTCTGTTCCTCAGACCAGGTGGCCCGAGGCGTCGCGCTAGCCGCCTTCTGAGCCTTGAGCATCCTATTTGCCGCATTTGTGGCCTGCTTTTGACGAGCCTCGGCGGCCTTATCGGCTTGGTTCTGAAACCTCCGTGCCCGCTTCTCGGCCGCAACCAGATCCGCTAGACGCATCTCCTCGGCCGTTCGCTTTGGCTTGCAAGTACGTATCCCGCCGTTAACAACAGGTGTCGTCACCACGGATGAACCGGTTGGGGTGGGCGTTGGGATGACCGCCGGAGGAAGCTGCGTTGCCGGAGGATGGATGACGGGTTGACCTTGCAGGGCGGGACCCAATGACACCAGTCGGGTAACCGATCCGGCAGGGTAGTCCTGTGTGGTTGTTGTATGATGGGCGAGAGATGGCCTTCCCTTGTATGCGTCTGACAGCAAGACCACTTGAACTGACCCAACAGTTCCAGGGGCCGGGTGGACGGGGTTGTGATTGGTGTAGTGATCCGCTTGCGGGTAGTTGGGGTGGTTGACAACGGCTGGGGCACCTGCTGGGTGAATCCTCACGGTTTGGCCGTAGGTCAGGGAATTTGCAACTTGGATGGTACGGGCGGCGGGTTGTTCGGATGGGTGAATACCGGTTGATTGGCTCCAATCGGCGGCCAGGGAGGGGTGAGGGCCGATGACCCGGTTGTACAGCGGTCGAAAAGAATCAGGATCGTGGTGTGGTTGCGGATGTTGGGACCCCTGGCCAGGCGGGGGATTGTCCGGCGGATAACCTTGGTTCATCACAACTGTGTCGTGTGTAGAACAATCGTGTAGACAGTTAGAAGCAGTGTCTGTCCTGCACAGGAAAGGTCCGAACCCTTTGCCCGGTGCTGTATCACCAGACAGCTCGATACAGCCCATACAGCCCATAAGGGCTGTATCACCTCCCATAAGGACTGTATACGAAAACATCAGGGGTATTTGGCTATTTTTTGTCTCCCAAACAACCTCCTGGAGGTTGTTTGGGAGCTGTTCGAGTCAAAAAATAATTCAAAAAAAAAAATGCAAAATTTCAAAACATAACACAAAAAAAAACCAAAAGAAAAAAAAGGTCGTTTATAATTGCTGCCTTAATTCATTTAACATTTCTCTCTCTCTCTCCCAACCCGACGCATACATACCACCCTCCTCGTGCATATGTATAACCAACTGACACCGTTCAAGATCAAGCTGTCGAGAGGATTCATCAGACGGCCGTCACAACACCCTTGTCGACTGCCCATCCGAAGAGATTGCAAGAACCTGGACACCGCCAGTTCCCGATTCCAAAAAGGCTTAATCTTGGTCGGTCACTTCGCGATTCAGATCGCTTTCCAAAGAGCTGGGTGATGTTTCTTGCTTTCTTTTTATCGGTCAATGGTCTCTGTCTTCGATAGGTCTCTCCCCTCGATTGGTCTCCCCCTTCGATCTCTCTGAAAACGACCTGGTCTCTGGTCTCTCCCTTCGATCTCTCTGAAAACGAAGTAATCGCAGTACAGCAGTTCTGCATATGCTTGCTGTTTTTTCAAAAAAAAAAAAAGTTTGCACACAAATGAAAAAAGTTTTCTGCGGCTGAAAAAGCCTAATTGCTGTGCGTATCTGTGACGTCATCTCCGCTTCAGCCACATTGGCTGCATCTAGAACAGAGCTACATACTCAGCCCGGTGCTGTTGACCATTCCATCGATCTGTTCAGTTCACCCATCCTTTAATACCAAAAATCAAGACAATTTCCAGTGGTATTGTATCCTTCATTTCCCCTTATTTGCTTTTGGATAAACTAAAGTTGATCGATTCGATTCTGTAGATGTCATCTAGGCCCAACAATTGACCCGTTTCTCCATCTCGACAAGCAGCATACGAATGGCTTCAAAACCAAATGAATGAAGACGGAACATTTGGACGAGATTGTCCTTCTATCCCAGGCCCACACATTCCGGTTTTGTTCGATGGAACGGCCCACTTGACTGAAACGGCAAGCACAGAAAGCCGACCGATCCTTACTCAATCATCCACGTCTGACCAGCCTGTCGATGTTCAAACTCCAAGAGTATCGGATAGTGTTGCAGATTCCACTGATGGAAATAAAAGTTTTCCTGTTTATGTCGAGTTCACTCTCACTGCACAAATTCACTCATCGGACAAGCCAGTCCGATGAGTGCTCGGACTGACGTTGCCCGACGAGTCCTGTTGTGCGCCACCACTGGGCTGCTGAACTCGTCGGACAAAGTCTGTCCAAAGACTCGTCGGACTGGCTTGTCCGACGAGTTAGTTTATGCAGTGTCTGTATGTTCCTGGCGAGGAGGCGAGTAGAAATCCAAAAAAAAGAAGAAATATAACCGTTCCTTCAAAGCCCCCGATTCCCACCACCGATAAAATCCAGTCAGAAAACAAGAAGATCGTCATCATCTGGAAGGTCATCAATAAGGATCTCGATGCTTTTAAAGCTGAAGTAATCAGGGGAATCAAGAGCGAGGAGGACAAATTTCTTGGTTTTTTTGTCGAACATCAAGAGAATGCCCGAAATATCTTCTGGAACGTTGTTATCCCATTTGGAGGAGCCTTTGCAGGTAACCACAAAAGACGACTCGACTCCGTGGAAACATTCAAGGACTTTCTTCTCGTTGCCGAAGGGACCTCCGAGACCCGAAAGATTGTTTGTCGCTTGGTACAAAAAGACCCAAAGGACATTGCAAAGGTGTGTTTTCTTAACTTCACTTTGTGATGGGCTATCGGTCAACTTTCTGACTGTTGGAAAGTTTCTTCCTCCAAATATAGAAACAATCGGTTTACAAGCAACTCAAAAAGAACCATACTGACTCTAGTGCTGATGTGAATGATCCGGTCTTCGTACCATCACCGAGTGCAATGAACACAGCAGCCCTCAGCCAGCTCTTGCAAGAAATCTTCTTGGTACACTGAACACTCACCCTCTGAAGAACATTCTGGAAGCGCTGAAACCTCGGTCTATATAAATCCAGAGAATTCGGACGAGTACTTTCTAATCACAATGCGAAAAGCATATGCCTGGGCCAAGGCTATAGTACGTTGATTCCTTTTGATTGATTAATTCCACACATTTTAATTGATAATTTCCATTTGATTCAACAGCAAGCGAATCCCAAAGAGGTCACTGTCCTGGTGCCTCCAAAATCACCACTGTTCCAATTCAAAAATAAAACCGACAAGTCTGAGCAAGCGAACCCTCCGAATTACCCAAACAACAGTCAGCCACAGCAAGCGAACCCTCCAAATTACCCAAACAACAGTCAGCCACAGCCATTTTATCCAAATCAAAACCAGGCCATGAACCCGTATGGCATGATGCAGATGCCCTATCAACTTCCGGCAATGCCCTATGGGAATTACTCAGCGGCTTTTGGTAACCCTAATCAAGCGGATCCGTCTAGTTTTTATCCTCAGGCTAGTACTTCTGCTGTACAAATACCTCCATCCGAATCAAATGTCATCCCTCCGTCTCCTCCCCCATTTGAAGATACCACCGATCTCAGCGATTACCTCAAGTTTGCCAGGGTCAATGCAGACTCTGAAGAAATCAACAACGGTCTTAGCAAACTCGGTATCACTCATTGGAGTATGTTTGAGGTTGTTTCAGCTGATGAGCTCGTTTCTTCAGGTGTTCCACTCATTCCAGCTAGATGCCTCATTAGATCGGTAAAAACCTACCCAACCCACTTGAAGAATCTCAAGAAGGCACGATTTCTTCCTGATATCGAGTAATCTCTCATTTGATCAAGAGCAATATTCTTTCCAGCAGGTTTTTTTCTGCTTTCTAAATTAGCCACTACAGACTCAAAAGCAAGTCATCTGTATCATAGTGTATCAACCGATCGAAATGACCATGTCTCACATTAAATTCAGCTTTTTTCTTTTGCCTTACACTCACATCGCTCTGAATCTAATCAAAAGAAATGTAGAATTTCAAATTTTTCTCTTTATTTTGTGGATCATTCAAAATCAAATTACTCTGTAAAGTCTGATCATGAACCTTTTTGCATCATGTAATTGAGGTTTTGAGGCAGTTTTTCTCAAATGACAACAGCAGAATTCAGACCAAAGTGTAGAGCTACAAGATTCTTGTTTAAGGTTTTGGAAAGAGAAAATGTTTTAATCGAGGTATCCTGACCCTCGGAAAAGACTTCTAACAAGTTGGGGGGTGAAAACAATGTGTGCAAAAGCCTCGATCTCTTCTCTATCATCAGCTCCTCCAAGCATCTCTCCGTACCGTCTCAAATTTGCCTTGAGAACACTAAATCCCTTTTCGATCGGGTTCAGGTCAGGTGAGTAGGTTGGGAGATAGATGAGAAGGCAGCCTCTGGCCTCAATTATCGCATTGATCCGCCCACCGTGGTGAATAGATGAGTTGTCCAAGACCAGGACACTTTGAGGTCCTGGAAATGGATGCATCATTGGAAGCTTTGTAAACAGCCATCATCAGTTTGTATTTGAAAAATCAAAATCAAAATTTTTGATGACTTACGAGGATGTTCTCCAAGTAGTACTCGAAGTCAAACCGATACATATTCTCCTCCTGAACTAACACAGCAACCAGTCCATTTAAACCGATGGCTGGGACCACATTGAAGCGATGTGTGGCACGTGAGGTCGGGATGCGAGCTGTCCTTTCACCAACAGGAGCCCATCCTCTAGTTCGAACAATTCCATCAAGGCAGATACCGCATTCATCTGGAAAGGGATGATGAGAAGAAGATAATCAACACAATTAGAGAAATATGAAACTCACCTGTGAATACCAGGGTTGATGGGTCGTGGTGAGCTATCATTAAGATGTACTCCATACGCCGATCGATGTTCTGGCTGGGATGAACTCTCCGGATTGATTTGCGACTCAGACGAAGCCGTTGGTGTAACTCGTTTGAAATCGTCTGCAGCGAGATATGGGTGCCGTGCTCTTCCAACAGTCGAGTTTGAATCTCATCGAGGTAGACAGCTGGGTTTTCGGCAATCAATTCACGTAGATATGTCCGTTCCTCATTGCTGAGAGCCAAAGGCCGACCCCGAACCTGATAAGTATTTGGATCACAAACCACCGATCGTGTCTTTTCGTAAAGTTCATACCAGCGTCGAAGGGAGTCGGCACTAACAGTGGATCCATGTCGTTCGTTGATTTCTACTAATGAAAATCCATCCAGAGCCGCTTTGACGACGATAAATTTGAATGTGGCATTGTAACGCATCGATCCTGTAATCTGCATGGATGAAGGACACACAAGCTCAGAGAAAGTGAAAGTGAATTGAGGAAGATTGATTTGACATTACCTACCTAATGAGAAGTCTGGATACCTGGGGTGGAAGAGTGGGGTGATGCTGATTGGGTGAGCTGGAAGGATGTGTGCGTGGTGAGAGGCACCGATGCTGTGCTGAAGGGTTTTTCAGGCAAATAAACTTTTTTTTTTCTGAACAAACTTTTTTTTTTCACGAAAAAACAGCAACTATTTGTGGAACTGCTGTAATTAGCAGCAATTGATGTACCCTGTACCCTGGTGGGTGTAATGTTTTTATTTCTACTTCAATACTTGCCTTTTTCCCTTCGGGTTGATCTTTTTTGCTTTTTTTTTCTTGGTTGATCGGTCTCTCTTCGATCTCGATCTCTCTCTCTTCAATATCTCTCTCTTCAATATCTCTTTCTCTCTAGTTATGTGTAGTTTTTTCACAAGTTGTTTATTTAATTAGAGGTATGGCATTATACTTCAACGGCCAATTGGCCAATTAACATTTTAATGGACTGATAGCGAAAACAATAAAGGTCCGATAAGAAAACAAAAAATGACTGTTTTCAAAAAAATATAGAAAAAAAACAAACGGTGCCGGGATGAAAGTGAACAGACAGGATTGTAGATAGGATGCCAGCGCTCAGCTGGGATAGGGTAGTGAGATTGAAACATTAAACGTATAATTTAAAACTTGAAACAAAAAAATTCCACGCTTACATATTTCGGAGGAGCTCTTGCGCGGGCTCCTCAATCTTGGTCATAAGCCTCGCTTGCACCTCACGCCTACGGGTGCTCGCGGGCTTTGTTACGCTCGTGTGTGGAGCTATTTTCTCTCTCTTGTTTCGCCGCTCTCGACAGTTTGAATGCAAGGGCTCGTGCACTCCATACATGTCATTTTCACTTTCCATCTGTCAGGTACTATCTTACTGACCCAAAAACAAGCGAGCCTCACTGCAAGTAAAACACATTTCCGTCAAAGAGCACAGCACAGTGTGGTGGCCCACAGCAATACAGAAAAGAAACCGGAAATCAATGAGAACTTGAAAGACATTGCATTTAAAGATTGGCATTCTCTGCACATGTCAATTAGAAGCAAGAACAGGAACCCAGCAAGCACACGAGTCATCATTTTTAGTGCTTCCTCTAGACTTTCCTCTTTCTTGCTTCTTGTTTCTTTTTTTTCCTTATCAGATAAAATTGTAAGAGCCAAAAAAAAAAAAATAGAGAAAACAAGCTCCAATAAACAAGTAGTGCTATATCGGAGTTCAAATGACATGATTTTAATCTTAGAAGTGAAATAGGGTTTGGGGTATTCCGCTATGCAATCGGAAAAAAAGAATTCAAGACTTTGGCAATCAGCTCTGTGAAATGACTCCATTGGGAAGTGATACTGGCTGTGCTAGTAAGATGATCATTGCAGGGTGATTAAGTTTTGAGGATCAACCGAATTTCCTTCCATTTTTCTCTTCATATACGCCACTGGTTTTTGTAGCCCCGCATTGGAACAAGCACAGAGACAGATGGAGTATGAAAGAGAAGCGGATTGTAGAAGATGAGATGTCAGTCAATTATGGCGAGAGTCAAAATGATGAACTTAAGTTTGCCCTTACCTTCTCTGCTGAGTTTCTGGGTAGTCATGAAATCATCTGGCCATAAATGAGACAACTAATGAAAATCGAAAATAGGGGTCACAGAAGAGTCAGTTTGGATCTAGATTACTTGTAAAAACTCCACCGACCAAGGTAGGAGAAAGATGCCAAGAGGAAGTTGTCTAGACTGTGATGTCTCACTGACCCTTAAATAAAATTGTCTTCGGTTGCTGGTGTCCTTCAATGTTACATTCTTATCGACAATTTTTCTGTACAAAGGTAACGAGGAGAACCGTCAATGTCAAATGTTCACAATCTATAATGAAAAGATAACGCAGATTTGGGACTGACTGTGTGTCCTTAATCGTCTCGCACAGTTCATCTTCCAACTTGATCAATTCATAAATTATTTCTCGCATCGGTGTATTCAACTTAAATGTCTTCAGGGGAGGTTTAGCTGAATGAAGGACGAGATTCATAAGTTAATTTGGCTGTATGAAAACTCGAGGTGTATACGGCTGTAAAGGTCTGCTGTGACTTACGGGGCTTGTCCGCCGGCTCAGTGGGGGTTTGCTCGAAAGGATTCACAGGGTTCTTCATGATAGTGTCGGCCAAGATGGTCGAAGCATTAGTAGGCAGTGCGCCCGAGGGCTCTTCCGGTCTGCTTTCGCGCCACGCCCGTTGGGCCTTTTCGTACTCGAGTAACGCCGCTTCGTAATCAGCCCTTGCCGCTGGCATGCCTTCGATGACCATCTGCTTCAGCCGCCCAATTCGCTCATTAATCTGCGACTCATAATACGCTTTCCGCTGAGGTAAAATCTCGCGTTTCACAAACTTCTACATCATTGTACAGATGGTCAGGATTTTCAATTATTTGCAAGGCCTGTTTAGACGATTCGCGCACTTTTATTGTGAAGGTGTTGTATGGAAAGAGCTGGGCTAATCTGATGAAGAAACATTCGTCATACTCGTTCATATCCAAAGCCATTTGAGCAACTCGTAACGTCGAAGGCTTCAATTCATTTGGGAACTTCTTCGGGACAAATGGAGACACTAAGTGGAAAACCAAATGAGCAAAATCAGACGCAGATAGAAAGTTACATCTTTTTCGGCAAGAGCTACTTCAACGGAGCATTGAGGTAAATACCTGCTTGAATTTCAGCGTTGAGGCTATCAAGTGCATCTTCCAAAGGCCGTGGCAGTGGGCCAGCTGACTTCCGCTCTGACAAAGAACGTGCTTTGAGGTAAGGGGGTCGGGCCGGCCGGCTGGTGTGGTTAGAAGGACCAGCGACCGCCATGGTGGGTGGTTCGGATTTGTGGGTAGGAGCTTGCTTTAACTTGGAAGATGACGGTGTTGCGGTCTGGCGTTCTTCATCATCGCAAAGGTAGATCGGATCATGCGGTGTTCCTGAGTGACGCTGTGTTGAAACAGGGCGCTGACGAGGTGTAGTTGCAGAAAAGACTCCAGGACTGTCGACGGGTTTAAGGGGTGCTTGAGTGCTGGCCGGGTGGGCTTCACCGTTGATCGGTTTGGGTGAATTAGAATGAGAGGTCTGGGCACCATGAGAGATTGGACGAATATCAGCAGGGCGAGCAGTTCCAGAGCTGGGCGCTTGGGATGTGCTAGGCTGTGGCTTCTGCACAGGTTTTGGTGGTTGGGAGGTTGATTGAGGGGCATTGTTTGGGACGGACGCTGATGACGGAAGAGCACCTTCAAGTTTGAACGGGTCAGAATCGGACTGCTTTGCCTGAGGAGGCTTCGGTAGCTGAGAGGTAGATTGAGCTGCAAGAGTTGGTAGGGTAGAGGATGACTGGGGTACCGAGTTAAGCGGAATGCGTCGCTTGGTTGTGGAGGCATCGCCAGGTTGGGATGAGTTATCGGGGACCCCGCCCAAGGGTGGTTTTTTCGGCTTACGGACTCTGGTTTGCCTGGAAGATTGAAATGTGAGTGTTAAGACCAATGATTCGAAAGGAACATGTAACAGTCGACAGGACGGAAAGCAAGACGAGAACAGAGAATGCTTACTTTGAATCAGCCTTGAGTTCCACTGGTCCCAAGACCACGAAGAAGCCATCCCGGGCAGGAGGGTGATAATACTTAGGTTCGATGATGAACGCCTCCGAGTCATCAACGAATGGGTCATCTTTGTCGTAACCTTCATCTCGTTCCTGAATTCTTCTTCGTCGGCGTCGTTTCTAGCGTACGACATCAAGCAAACATCGTTAGTTGGCTGAGTCAGGTGTTTGATAGGAAGACTCAGATGGGAAGAGACCAGGAACTGACTGGTGGGGGAGCGATGTCTAGAGATGTATCTGTTGTTAGCTTTTGTGCTGGGGGCGGCTGCTCCGGTTCGGGTACAGCAGAGGCACCAAAGGTGATGGCTGTGTCAGCTGGTAGTATGTAGCCAGCCTGCTTGGCTAAGAAAGTGACGCTGTGCTCGACAGTCTTCCTACATACTCGTACGAGTGCGGGGAGACAGTAGAGACAAGCCCATCAGCACTTCGCTTAGGAGGAGTTAAGAGGTTAAGTTCAGGAAAACGACGTACTCTAGAGGGAGTTGAAGGTCTAGGGCTAGAGTCAGTCGGATGGTCGGGATCGGATCGGGTTTCTTGGGACGAATCTCATCCAGATCACTATCGGTTGTTCCGTCATCGTCATCATCCTCGGCCTCCTCGTTTGGTGGGTCGGGATCGCGGTCATCAGATGGCTCGTGAGAAGTGGAAGGTCGGGGATGAGGACCGATACTATCGAGATGGGTTGGAGGGTGGTCTTCGACCTCTTCTTGGACCTCACCAATCATCCGCAGAGCTTCATCTTCATCCCAGTCAACATATTCGAGCTCAGTGTCTTCATGATCCTGAGCTTGATGAGGACGGGATCGGATGTGATCGCTCTGGTTAGACTCGGAGCTTAGAGGAGGATGGATTGAGTGGTCGGCATCTGCAGCGGGAGGGGAAAGCCCCTGCTTGGCGCGTGCTTCACGCTCTAGTCTGGCAATGAAATTGGAATCCATGGAAAATGGAAGCAGCTGGTATCTACCTAGGCTATTGATTGTAGTCTAGTGTAATAAGGTACCGATGAGTATGCAGAGTGGTCGGGAAGAGATGAAGGAGGATGCCGGGCTAGAAGGGGCCGACGGAGAGCTGCGAGTCTCTCAAAGGGATATCAGTTCGATAAAATGGGAAAGGATCGAGCGACTGGTCCACGACTGGCTGCTTGTATCGCTGCTAATTATTTATAATGGACGGATGGCATCGAGAGTGTCGGAATGGGATCAAGAGGCGGACGAAGTCTTGAGAATGGGACAGACTGGATGAAGAAGACAAGATCAGGGGGAGGGAGAGTTGTTTTGAGGAGAGTGGTTCAGGAGGAGAAAGAGGCCGTCTGCATGCCTCAAAGGAGATGGAAAAACACCCCCAGTTGTCTGGCCATGACCACCCACTTGGCACTGCTGCTTGTGTGTATCTTGAATGGCAACCTTGCTTTTTTTTGTGTTTGTTTATTTCTTTTCTGTGTGTCCTGCTTCCTTCCTTTTTCCTTCAGAATTTCCATATGTATCACCCTTAATCCTCTCTAGCTCATAGCAGCGCTTGGGCTGTTTCATCACACCAGCTACTACCTCATTGAAAGGCAAAGGCATCTCTTCCAAAGGACCCATCAATGCTTTCTGGGGCTGATTCAAATCCAAACTTCAAGGCCAAACCACCTATAATACATACATACCACACACAGCTTAGATATTTATCCATTTTATGAAAGTCTTCAAAAAGAATTCAAAAAACACTCCAGCAAGCCAAAAACAACTGCAGTGGTCGATGCCTCTCTAGCATCAACTTTCTGGCCATCATCACTGGCATACGCCTCAAGACTTGTTGCATGGAAATTGTTGTGTAACCCGCAACCATCCTGTTGAGAAGGAAGGCAGTCTCCCATGAGCATCCTGACTCAATTCGACGTCTAGCGCCGGTCTCATGTTTCACAGACTCTTTGCTATGTGACGTCCTCGAACAAGTCCGACCCTGATGTTGGAAGGGAAATCTTGGCCAGACCCCCTCAATTCCGAAGGACGGACGACCTAGGGGACCCACTACTCTAGCAACTTCTCCTCACTTTGAATACCACATCATCCTGATCCTGGCCCTCCCTCCCTTTCTTTTTTTTCTCTTTCCCTCTCTTCTCTCTATTTGTCATGCTTCCTCTTTTCCTTCTCCACTCTCTTTTCTCGTCCTCTCTACACCTTGCTTGTAAATCAGAATACAGAGGCACAGCTATATTTCTCCTTTCTGCATCACTTGCACTGCTATGCAGACTAATCCCATAACACTTTTTCTACACCAGGGTGGATATACATAGTCCATATTAATGTCAATTTCAAATCAAACTAGGGTTTCAGAGCGGCTTTGCCGCCCCTACTAATGCTCTGGCTTTTAGCCCCAACTGACTCCCAGTCTAAGTAAAAGTTATTTGCCCGCGGTCATAAATTTCTTACTCCATAAGTGTTCCACACCTACTTTGCTTTAGAGCCTATTTTTATCATAACTGATCACCCAACCTCATCTTGAATGAATTTGTACGCTCTGCCACCTCTATCCATAAGCTATTCAACCAGCCAGTAATGATTATATGCCAATTTTTTCAATTTAAACAATCTGTCTATGGCCAAAAATAAAATTACAAAGTGTAAATTAACACAATTTGGAGATTAAAATTTGACAGCAAATCATTGATTGCAAGTTGTTGCGTTTACACCACTCCATTTAAAATATCAATGAATCCATTCATTTCCTCCCCCTTTTAGGCTCTTGAACCTGGACTTATAGCCTAAATTCAATTGGCATTATCCTCTATCCATCTTTCGTCATCTCTCCAATCCTTCCCGATAAAATTATGCATACCTAAAACCATTTTAAGTCAGCTATAATTGACATTGTAGAATATGAAGGGATTCATTTTGACTCTTAAGGCCTTGTCTCCTCTGGCCCATTCCATGAGCCTTCCACTGAGATATACCCTACGCCCTGGTACTATGTTTCCCTCCTCTTTGATTGTCAGCCTGCTACTATTCAGAGACAACCTGACCATAGCCATAATAAATATTTAGAGACATTATTACATATACTACCCCCATAGCATATGTAATTAAAGCCTATTTTATATGTACATAACATAGAGACATTATTACATATGTACATATAAAAACATTAATATTTAAATAAGTGGAATCACTATAATAGAGAAATTATTACTCATTACATTAAGTTTTACTAGTCATGAAAGAAAACATAAAAATAAACCAAAAACTTAACATTTTTAACATGAATCTACAAATAACTTCTAAACCTTAATCAAAATTTAGAATATTATTTCAGATTCTTAGTTTTCATGCAAAATAACCTAGGGTACCTCACCAAAGGTACCCCTTAATTATTACTCCTTCATGTACTTATGTGTACTCTGAGTGACACTTGTTCATTTTGCTAGAAACCCTCCCAGTTACATCATACTACATGTTGTGACAGGTCTGCACATGTAATTAAGGTTCATGCAGTTTGGGAAAAATCCAAAAATAAGGTTGACATCATTGAAACCTTAACTACATTGTCACAACAACTGTAACTGGCTGGTCAAAAGCCATTTGTGGCCCTTTTTGGCCCAATTTGGCTAACTACGCCTGGTTAAGACCAGCCCACTGGTCATTAAGGGGTCTCAGTGACCAAACCATGGCTGCAGGTTCGTCACAGAACCCCCTAGTGTGTGTTACAAGCCTCACTTCAGCCCTCTGCCACCTGTAACCAAGGACTACAGGTGTCTAGGCAGTGCTACAGGTCACCAATGCCTAGTAGGAGGCTTGCACCAGCCAAACAGAGTTCTGAGTTCGCCTCCAAGGGCCCAGAATGAGTAGATAAGGAGCCCTTCAAAGAATCGGAGCCTGCCCGAAGTGCGGAAGCTTTCCGCGGGGGAGTGGAAAGTGCGGATTAGTACAGAGCTGTACAGCCAAGTACAGGGCTTTTCTCGGACACAGGGGTGGTGTCCGACACGTCTGATTGCTCAGCTGGTTGCGGACATGTTTGAGACACACTAGGCAATATCATAGCCTAAGGGTTTAGAATGATAAGGAAAAGTGACAAAGCTATCTTTGTCTTGTTGCAAAATGATACATAAGAGAATATAAGTGTTCCTTTAACGATGTTGTTAAGAACATTCATTTCGATTCTGGAGGCCCATGATGCGAACATCATGTCATTGATCACCGTTCAAGACTTGGTGAAGTTCCTCTGTGTTGCCACTGATGTGGTAGTTCGTTCAGAGAAATCGCTTTGGCTCACTACACACCAACGGCCTATCCGATTTCTTGCGGCCAGTCTGCCATCGTCCATCCATCCCTTTTTGGAGGTTTTCTGGGATGCTTCTTTTCACATACTGAAAGAATGCTACATCGACACCCAGCATCAGATCAACTCTAATGGCATAATGGCTGAACTTGGCAATGGTCGAATCCCAACCCGGATAGTCCATCAATCGCTCTTTCCCCCAGTTGAACACTGCCCAAAGTGCTCACAGGAAAGACCGATGCGACCAAGCTCCTTGTTTGGATACCTATATGATGTTGATGGGTGTCACACTGTTGAGCACTTCTCTCTCTATTGTCAGCGTAAGCGTTTCTAATGATCAACATCATGAGGTGGTCAAGGACTGACAGCTTGGTATTATTCTATTTGAGTCAGCTTGCCTTACAAGTTATCATTTCAGCTACTCGACCCACAAAGAACAAAGAAGATTCTATACAAGTTCTCAAGGCCAGAACACCACACTATTCCAAGTTCATACACATTTCTTCATGACTCACCGCTTGGCGCATCACTTCAAGATGAGCCAAATGCTACAACGGTAAGGTGAAATGGGTCTCTCAATGCTCAATAAGTCATATTGATTTTCTGGTTTGTCTCAGGTGATCAGTCTTCAGCATCGTCAATCTATACAATTCAACGTTCATGGGGGATCACACCCCTCCCTTGTTCACTCCCCAGCAGTTGTTCGCTCCTCGCATGTCTGTAGAAGTCTGCAAAGACGGCATGGACATTGATACTTTGATTTTTAACTACACTTCAAGGGGGGAAGTCCTCAAGGTCCCATCCTCCGGACTGGACCGTGTTCGTTACAATGAAGCTAAGAAACAGTGTTCATCCTGGATAGCCGCCGAGGGAACTGCTCACAAAAATCACTCATGCGGTCTGTGTACATGTATCACGTATTCAGAAGCGGAGGACAATCACTCAGGTACAATGACTAATTGCCACATTAAACTGGTTAGCACCAAAGTTGATAGGTTTTTTTTTACATTGTAGTCGTTCGTGCGGTTGTGACAGATGGTTTGACCATTGGCCACTGGAGATGCAGTGCCTCAGCAGCTCAGCTCGAAAAGTTGGCCCAAGAAGCTGGCCACCCAGCACCTGATGGCCCTTGTAGAAGGACATTAGATACCGTTCGGAATCGCTACTGTAGTTTTCACCAGCCTTTTCTTGAAGGTATATGCCAGGCACAGCCCTGCATCCAACCAGCACTTCCAAATAAGAAGACCTGTGGCCTTCAATCTCACCTAGATGCTGCCAAAAAATTTGGCACTCGAGTTAATTCAAACTTCCAACTTCACTCAATATTAAATCGACCAGGCTCAAACCTCAACTTGGATCCAACTGTCCATCTGGAAGACGGGTCAGGGGAAATTGAAGATTTCGATTCGTTGCAGCAAGCGGATGAATCTGATAGGGCTGAGGAAAGCCGAAGATCTGGTGAAGAAGGTGCTTCAAAAAAGCCAACACTGTCAAGAGCGCGAACTCACAATGATCAACTGGCTGTGGCTCCTTGCGGTGTCATACTTGCCCGCCAAACAATGTTCAACTCTGAGTCACCTAGTGCAGTTAAAGTAAATTTGTCTTGCTTTATTTCAACATGGAGGTTCAGGTGCCTGACAAATGCTTTTATGCTCAGCTTTTCCTTCTAGATACATTTCCAACAAGCATGCCCCAAGTCATTTTGTATGACAATGCATGCAAATTACTGGCACATATATACAAGTCAACTGCAGATGAACGTGATCAATTTGCTGAAAGCATAGTGGCTGTTGATGCGTTTCATTTCAAGTCTCACAAAGAGGATGACTGCTTCTGTAGGAAATGGACTGATCCAAATCTGTACCCTCAGTTGAAAAAGGATGGGTCTTGGATATTCAACTCCTCAGCAGCCGAGATTGCAAACATATGGTATGGAGGTTTTGCCTCAATATGTCGCAATATGACTGCAGTTCAGTTTAATTTTTTCCTTGATGAGATGGTCCGGCTTCATAATATTTGGCTATGTGAAAAGTTATCCCAAAGACCCAAGATTGTACATATTGGTACTGTGACTTTTTGATGGAGACAATGTTGTAGGTGCTCAAGACCAATTCCAGTCATCACACATGTGCTAGTTTATTCTTTCAAAAGTCAAAATGATATCTGTATTTCATATTATCTTTTAAATGGCAGGAATTCTTTTTCTCTGAGGTATAACAAGTGAAAGAGTGGAAGTCTAGCAAGGGCAGTTGGCATGAAGTGCTTGGGAGAAAGGAAAGGTACAAATTTCAGCATTGTAAGGCTGAATTGGTTTTACACCACCAGGGGGATTTGAACATGCAACCTCTTGGGTGCTACATATAATTCCCAAATGGTGTAGGCATTCCAAATTATGCTTGAAGACCTTACTAAGGTTGGTGGGGAGTATCCCATCTTTCTTGGTTTTTAAGCCTTTCATCCCCATTATTTAAGTGTAATGTTTCACTTCATATCACATATAGCCAAGGCTTTTTGCTAATCACACAAACCGCTTTGGTTATGTGAGGGCTTGGTCTCATTTTAATGCCTATAAACCGGTGTAAGTTGAGGAGCTGATGATCGCAAAACACTTTGCTCATCTGACCCAGGCATTGTTATCTGCAAGTACAAGATCTGAGTTAGGTTGGCAGAAAGTCGATAGCTGATGGTAGTAGGTTTGAACAAAGGTGTTTCATCTTATCTTTTGAATGGAAGCGATTATTTTTCTCCAAGCTAAAACGAGTGAAAGGACAAAAGAGAGGAAGATCAGAAGAGGAAAAGATCAAAAGAGCGATAGATTGAAAGAGCAAGATATTGATAAAGGGTTAGAATTCATAGGGAAATATCTTCTCCAAGCAAAAACAAGTGAAAAGATGAAAGAGGGGAAGATCAAAAGAGTGATAGATTGACAGATAAAGAGATCAAGAAAGCCACATATCAAAAGAATGAGAGATTTTAAGAGCTTAGTTGCCCACAATCTCAACATCAGAGTCCGTGTGATCTACCTTATGTTTTTTTGGTTTCTCTACTTCTTCCCCCTGACCTTCTCTTTTTCGCTTTGCTTGATTTTTGGCTTTCCCACCAGCATTTCTTGTGTCCAGCCACTCTGTGAAATACATCTGCCGAGCTTCAATCAGGGTAAGTGATGGGTTATCTTGAAGATGAAGCTCCAACTTGTCCTTCCCCACCAGTTTGATCCATTTTCTGACTCGATAAACAGTAGTATGCCCGTAAGCATACATCTCACCAAAGATCTCATACCATGGATCCCAAGGGTTCCCTTTGCTTTGGGAGGATGCATGCCATCTCAAAGTTTGGCGTAGCAGAACCCTTGAATCGGGCCACTTACTGTTGCTCTACATAAGTCAAAAGCAACACAATAAGTGAACAATCTGCCCAAGCGGTTGGACTTAAAGAACACACCTTAAGCTGGAGATCGGGTGCACTGTTTGCTTGCGATGATGAGCCAAGGCATGTGATGTCGGAGTTGATTGAGTAGAGTTTTGAAGGAGAAGGTAACAGAGAGCTTTGGGGGCTTTCAGGGTTGTCGTGATAGGTATTTGTCTCGGTCAACCAAGGCTTTTGGAGATTAGTGAGCTGCTGGAAATCAACGCGTCCTGATGACCTCATTTCTGAGGTTTTGATGGGTGTGCTTGGTTGGCTTGCCAGAATGCAGCGAGCTGGGGTTGTTAACGGCTCGTAAGGTCCTTCAGTAGCCATCTTGAGGATTGCATCTTGAAGACCTGTGCAATGATGGTCTTCCACATGTTCAAGTCTGACCAAGAGCTTTCGAGGTCTGAGAGGATAAGTTGAAGTACATGTAGGTGCCAGGGAGATCTATGAATATGGAAAACAAGAATTAGTGCAATGAAGGTCAGAGGCATCACCCAAATCTATGTAAGTACCCATCGGAATTGCTCCATGTTCCACACTTGGATCTCAGATTCCCAGTGATCTGTGTGACTGGATGCTTTCCGACATCGATCGAGTACTATCTGGCTCTCCTGCAGGCAGAAAAGAGGCCAATGTGGAGCTTCTGCATTGATCATTGTGCTAGAGCCGGGCTATGTGTGAGCCAGTCCAACCATCAATAAAACCATCAGAAAACCAGTTGCAAGATCAATCAAAAACCTTGGTCCACAGCTTGATCCAAATGGTGTGGAGTGCCATTCTCTTTGCAGACTCCCGACTCTTGGCTAAGAGCTCGACTGCTTGAAGATTTTGATGGTATTCAAACAGCTGTGATGGTGTTAGTGTCGCAGTAACTGTCCGATTTGCTTGAGCGGACTGGATCTGCTTGTGAGAACTGGAATTTGATGCAGTTGGTTGTGGAAATTGTAGCTCCATGGAAGGCCCTCGAATCGAACCACTAGGTTGGGGAGATGGGCCAACGCTTCTGATTGGCGGGCTTGTCACAGAGGAATTCCCCAAAGAATAAGGTGTATAAAGGTGCGCTTTGAAGTTACATGTCAAATGGTGCACTCGTTGGCCCATTTGACAGCACTACAAGGGTTGAAGGGTTAATTGGGATGCATGGGAAATGGCTGCTATGCAAAAACACTTACCAAAAGACACAACTTGTGACTACATTTCATGTTTGACTTGATGGAAGAATGATGAGTGGCCCCGGTTTTCCCTAGATAACCTGGGCACAAGCGGCCTGTGGATTTAGCCTTCATGTGATCAGGTGCTTCATTACTTATGTTAAGCAGCCCAGAGAGACTTCCTGGAGCTGAGGATGGATGAGCTCCTGCATTGACGGCTCGGATATTGTTGATCAAATGTTCCAAATTGAGAGTTCTAATATAACCCTTTCCATTCCTGTGGTGAGAGTCGGGCTCGTGACACTAGAGGTGATCATGAAGCTAGTCAGAAAACAAAGGGACACAAATCAACCAGAGTATTTCAACATACCTGCCAGTTGATGTTTGCCGGGTTTGGAAAGCGAGGGGGATGGTATCGCAGTTGACTCGTGGAGTTGATTGGGCATTCTGGGCAGGTCAGTCCAGTGAGATGTCCAACAATTGGAGGGGGAAGGGGATGGATGCGTAGACAGTGTCTATCGGTGATGTAAGTTTTTGCAGGAGCGGAGATGTTAATCTGTCCAGACATCATCTTTGAAGACTGGAAGAAGGATTCCCTGTCAAAAAAAAGCAGCACAACAATTTGTAAGGGTTGCCATTTCGTGAATTGATTTTTTTTGCTTGATGATACATGCAAGACCATTCCCTTTTTGGATTGTGCGGTGGGAAAGACCTTTCTGCTTTTGGATCTTGAAACACATGGCTCAAATACAGTGAGAAAATCATTGAGAAAATACAGCACTGTATTTTCCGCGGTTTCCGCGGATTCCGCACTTTCCACCTAGCCTCGGGGAAGCTCCGATGCTCTCGAGCCCTTCTTTCCCCCAAACTCTGATTCCCCATCCTCATTACCACTTACCAGCAATAACCACCTCCAACAACCAGTTTTCACCTGTTTTTGGCCCAGTTCTTGCTGTTTCTGTCTTGGATATCACCAACTCAACCATCAAATGTTCCCCAGCACTCTTCCAACACCTGTTACCCAGTTTTCTGAGCGCTCCCAGACCAGTTTTCACCCACCTGAAGTCCCCTTGGCTTGGAAATAGTACTAAGTAGGTAATATTTCCTTGATACTTCAGTTGTAGGCATTTTGTCTGGGCATACTCCTTTACACAAAGGACCAGATCATCAGGTACATCAAAAATACCCCTGTTTAACAGGTCCTGATTCATTGGAGGGCACCATTGTTGGGAGGAACGCAGGTGACTGAAACTCAAGGAGATGCCAGAACTCACAATGACGTTGACGAGTGAGAAAGATATTGAATTCAGTGAGGAAACAGGAATTGAAGAGAAACCGGTAAAGACATAGGCCTGATAGACTTAGTATAAGCATACCTATATACAAGCATATGTGACCTACATACGGGTATCTCAACACCCCCCCCTTGCTGAAAACTAAGTCTTACTCTGGTAGAAAGAGAGAGAATAAGCTGAAAAAAAATTGGAAAATGTACTAGATGTAGTAGATCATCCAAAAGGTAGGCATAGAAACTAATTTCTAAGCGTACAAAGAAAAATTAAGGATGACTTCTGTTGAGTTCAGCTACTCATAGATAACATTGATTTCATCTTCATCGTCAAAAGAACCGGAGTCATAACCGCCCAGCTTGACTGTGGTGACAGCACCAGCTTTAGCTTTACCGTGGTTTTTTGTCTTGTTGCAGTCGGAGGAGCGGTGACCGCGTTTTCCGCAGTTTGCACATGCAAATTGCTTGGTGGCCGCAAAGGAGGCTGAGACAAGGTCCAATGCTTTTGTTCCGTTTAGGCTGACCTCGTGGGCTTCCAAAGCTCCAATCACATTGTCGAGGGACATTTTGATAGCGGTATAGACCACAGAATCTCGGACGTTAGACCACAAAGAGTCGAGTCCACCGACTAGTTGGTCAGCAATCTGTCGATCAGTGGGTAATTCCTTGATTGACAAGAGTTCATCGGCGGTGTGGTAGTCAAAAATGTGAAAATTCAAAGTTTTTTCCTTTCTTTTTCTTATATATATTTTCTTCATAATTATCACCCAATCACTCTCAGAATTCACACCAGATGGCTCAAGAACTGGACTCTACGGATAAATCCACCCTTGGTCACCATGGAGGCGTCACTGGAACTCACCTGGATCAACTCTTAACCAACAATGGACTACATATCACAAGGATTTCACCCACCATTACATGTCAACAAATCCAATTACAACCCTCAAGCTACACAGACACCCTCAGTACAGTACACACTCATTTACATATACACTCATTTACATACATCTACACTCTTTACATTTCACTTCTACATATTACATCATACCTGCAGCCTAAATTAGTGTATTTTCCTTGCATGACAGCTGCAGCTTACACCACCACACTCACTGGTAAACACATCAGAACCTGACCAATCAGAATCACTCATTCAGCTGTTTGGATCACCACTTCAACTCTTGTACATGTCTGACCAATCACATTCACTCATTCAAAAGTTTGTATGTAGCTAAAAATACCTCATGTAATAGCCCAGACCAGCCAAAATCACTCATTACTGGCTGCCCTCGAGCTAAATTCCCTCACTGTTGTATATATAAGGAGGCTCTCCTCCCAGTTGTTTAATCCTCAGTCAAGTAACACTCAAGCAATATTTGACCACCCTTACACAAAACACTTTAAGCGCCAACCAAACCAAATCAACAACTCTTCATCACACAAACTCATTCCTGAACTTTACCCTATCACTTGATTAAAACTTGCCAAGCTGAGCTTGGTGGGTCTTGTTATCTGATAGTATAGAAGGGCAGAGCTTACACTCCATCATCCCCTTCTCCATTCAGCAAAAAGGGTCTTACAACCACTTTTTGAGTCTTACAAGGGAGTCCCCAACGTGATAGGATAAACTTGTGTGATCTACATTAAGTAATCGAATTTCAACATATAACGAGAAGGAATCGCCGAAGGATCACGAACTTTAGCGGGAACCGGATCAAAATTATCAACCATATTTGCGACACTCAACGGCATATTCAGTTATTCTGTTGACCGACTAGTCAGCTTCATAAACACAATTTAACGAGACAACTACTAACCCTCCAAAAAAGAAAGTTGCGCTAGCGGACCTGAAAAGGGTATCTCGAAGGAAGCAGCCAGTTATAAAACCAGAAGAAGGCATTAGAGACCAAAGAATCTGGATAGCTAGGATCCTGTTAGAAGAGAACCCCGGAACTATTCGAAGGAAGCAGCTGTCTATAAAACCTCAAGAAGGGCATTGAGACCCGAAGAATTTGGATAGACAGATCCTGTTAGAAGAAGAAATTCCCAGTACTGTTAAGTTATATTTTTTTTATATATATAAACCCATAAGACCTGCCCTGGTAAAGAGACCAGAGACCATAGTATTATTTGTTTCTTTTTCAGAGCAAAAGTTAGTTAGTTATCCGAGAATTATTATAGCAAGTCAAACTAGAAAAATCATCACAATCAACATGGATCTACTGTTTGGTGTATCAGATATGGAAGAATTATTTGCTCCACGAACCAATTATAGGAAACGGCCTTTTACGCCAACTTCAAATTTAAACCGGAATACAGAAACTACGATGTCCTCATCAACACTATCACCACCTTGGATGAAGAACGAGAAGCAGGGAAATATGACTATACCAGTGCCACCTATATTCAGAACTGGAATCTTTAAGACCCTAGATATGGACGAACCAATTCATCAACAAGAAACAATTAGTCAACACCCAAAACAACAACCACCAACATATCAACACCCAATTAACCAAAACAAACCAGTTTTCATTGAGCAACCTGGACTTTTCTACAATGGACACCACTTCATGCAATTCTTGAGGCAATATGAGATGACGGCAGATTCAATAAATGCATCCAAATACAATCAAGCCCTACAGATTGGAAGATTTATGAAAACTGAAGAACTCAAATATCAAATTGAGTTGATGGACGGTTATGAAGAATGCGACTGGGATACTCTGCGGGCCTCAATGATTGAATCATGGGGTTATGAATATACAATTCTATATACAACAACCGACCTAGTCAACCTGTCCAAAGAATTTTCTAGAGATAACAAAACAGTCAGCTACAAAGAATTCCAGACGTACCTTCAAAAATTCTCCGAGATCCTTGATTTCCTCCTCATCCAGCGACAATTGAGAAGGAGACAGGATGCCGGAGTTCTTTTCATCAGTGCCTTTCCTCAAGAACTTCAGAGAAATATCAAACGACATTTAAATCACAACGGTCAACTTCCACAAGCACCCGACGGATCCAGGTTACCCCCTCTTTGGGAACACCTTACGGAGGCGGCTGGGGTGGAGATCAAATTGAAAGAATTAGCCAAGGAACTTGAGTCACTCAAACAACAACTTCAAGAGTCACAATCACCTGTCATATGCAACACTCCACATTCTTTGTCCCAATTGGAGCCAGAAACGGATTATACGGAACTAGCGACGGATTATACGGATTATACGGAACTAGAGACGGATTATACGGAACTAGAAACGGATTATACGGATTATACGGAACTAGAGACGGATTATACGGAACTAGCAACGGATTATACTGATTATACGGAATTAGAGACGGATTATACAGAACTGGTGATGGACTTTACCCTACCTTCAAAACTCATTACAGAAACAGAGAGGGAAGAATCAGTTGCACCTATCAACCTACTGGATCTGGGAGAATGGAAAGCGGAATCAATAAACGTAATGAATACACCAATGGAACTTGTGCATACAGTAATTGAAATCCCAGAAATACCTCTAGACAAATTGGATACCAAGGACAGTGCGGATCAATCTAAACAACTGGAAAAATTATTGGATCAGTCCCCGCAGTCCAATAATAATCCTTTACAGATTCAAAAATTACTACTTACAGACACCTCTAAAAAATCCCACAAATTCCCTACAATCCCCAGTAAAATTTGGAGTCACAATATCTACAAATATTTGGAAATTGAGCTCTTCAACAAGCAACTATTTAAGCCTCACTTGTACCTATTTGGACGTTTCCGGATCAATAAACACACTTCTCAACCCCTGGATTTCAAGAATACCCAAATTGAAGAAACAAAACACACAATTAGTAGACTTCATGCCCCATTAGCTACTGAAAATTTTAAACCAACAGACTTGACTATTTCCAGCCAACCAGTTGTGCCATTGTTTTCAACCACACAAATTCCTGAAGAAGTCTTTTTCATTCCAACACCACTGGATCCGCCAGATATTACGACAACGTTGATTAATCCACATAATGAAGCAAACTGGAAGACTAGAAAATTATCAGAATTATCAATCAACAATCTTGCTCCAACTGAATTACCAAGGGAATTATTCCTTCTATTTTACTTAATCCAGAAGCTCCTTCCTCAGTTACCCTTATCAATTCCACCAGATCCTCTTCAAATGAATTCAACAAACATCAAGCTTCCAAGGCTACTGGTTGGAGTTGGTTAAAATTCAAATAAATTCATTTTCAAAAGTTTCTGTCAAGTTTAAGAGGAATATATCAGCCTTCAAGAATACAACATCAGAATATTATTTTAAGTTGGGGGAGGAACTCACACTCTTTTATCAGTCATCTCTCTTAACCTTCCTCCTTTCCCTTCAAATTCCACAACCTTATATTTATTTAACCTTTCAATCCTATTAAAAGTTGGCCTCCTCCTGAGTATGAGACTAAACTGTTCAAATCACAACAAACAAAGTAAAATCTAATTAGTTTGAATTTCTTTGGACATCAGACAGATTAATTCTTTTCAAGTTGGGGGAGGACTCACATTCTTTTATACCTCAGGCTTTTACCACTCAGCCTCCCCTCACTACCCTTTCCTTATTTCTTTATTCTAAATTCTCACCCAAGACACTCCTTTTAATCACCACACTACCTTAAACTTTATTTACACACCACTTTTTGGCCCATCTCAATTCATAAATCTCTTGATTTCCTCACACCTTCAAAACCTACACACTCTTACCATAGCATCTTCCCTTACTCTTGGATTTCTCTGGGCCTTTCTCACCTTCCTCAAATTACTCACTCAACTTTCTGGAGTCACTCAGTCAAAAGGTTGAGGACAACCTGCAGAGTTGGGGGAGGGGGGTGCTTCATTTCTATTGTTCACTATTGAAAATTTTCAGTTTTTTTTTTTTTTTCACATCTAAAAGTGCTAGACTACTGAACTAGCCTCTTCAAAGACAGCAGGAAACACTCACCAGACACCTCAGTCAACTTTTGCTTTTCATTTGAACAATCCAAAATTGATGCTTGCTGGAGGTTCCCAATCGATCAAACGTTGAAGAGGACAACAATGGATGTCGCAATTCCATTTCGATAAGCCTGGACCCCACTTAGAGACATCTTGAGAAATGCTCAGAAATGAGACGGACTTACGATTCGATGACGACCCTGTTGTTGAAATGGCACCGGCTGCAATTTCATTTCTGATGGATCTCTTATCTAGAGTTGCTTGAATACCTGCGACAACGACAAAAACTACAGATAAGTAGAAAGACAATTACAGACGGTCTCAGACACCTAAATACTGGATCGATGAGAAAGCCAATGTCGAATCGGAGATGTACAGTGTACAGCAACAGCCGAGGATTGAAGGAAGTGAATACTCACCTGACTCTTGAAGGGACCTGTGCGACGCACTGCACCCTGGCGTGGAGTTCAACGGACATGCGGCGCTGTTTGTTCTGGATAGGAATCACACAGAAATTAGATTGACCCAGCGCATAAGAAAGCGGTGTGGAACTGCTGAACAACCAGAACAGAGCTTTAAAGGGGAATAGCAAACTACACTACTAGTATTGTAAGTTAAGCTATGAGTGCTGATGAGGCTGCCCTCTGAGACTAATGCTGAGGAGAGAGGGTTACACTAAGAAAATAAAGAAGAGGTGTGGCTAATTTCTATCTATTTCTTAGACTGCTATAACTGATGAGATTGTTCCTTATCAACCTACAGGGGAAGAAGTGAGACTATGAGGGTGGTAAATAAAGCAGAGCTCTGAGGACACTGAGTGTAAAGGTATTTCTGGGGCAAGCACCTAAACAGGGCAAGGTCACTAAATTGAGTTCTGAAAGTAAAATAGATTTTATCTGAGGGGCACAATAATATCTGTAGGGGAGAAATTGCATAAGGGGTGTACAAAAAATGATAAGAAGACTGTATATATACTTCAAGGTACAAATGAGCACAGGTTACAGTCAGTCTGGCTATGGGAGCAAAATGTACAAATGTAGAACAAGAGATGTGAAAAGTAAACAATCAAAAGGGAGGATGAGTAAGGAAAACAATCCCAAAAGATAAGACTGTGAAAGAGTGTACTATTGTTATCCTGAAGGCATATGAGAAAGCATAGTTGTAAGGAGTGTGTCTGAGAAAATATATGTAGTATGTAATGTGAAAAAGAAGTACTTGTAAAGGAGTGTGGCTGATGTAATGTGAAGAGATATATGTAAAAAGATAGCACTTGAGAAAAATATGATGTATGTGATAAACTGTAAATATGTACTGTATGTAGTTAATGTGTAATGTAAATGTAAAGAATAATATCTGTAAAGCTAAAACTGCAATTAACTAATGAACCAGTAAGAAATGAGATATGACTTGAGTGAGTGACTATAGGTAAAAAGGGGTGTAGAATCTGATTCTGTAGTAATATTATAACAATTCCCAGTGAATGTACAGTAAAATAATAGATGCTATGGAAAGGTATGGGTTACCACAGCGGAGGGTGATGAGAAAGTTTGGAAGAATCATGACCGGCCGCGAGACCCATCTTTTATAAACACTACAGTAGACATCAACCGAGGAGAAAAAGAAACCGAAGCTCACCTGAACCTCGCAAACGACCTTGTAACACGCTAGCCCCGGTCGAGGGCCGATCTTGGCCGATCACTTCACTCGATGCAAGGGGACGGTTAATTGAATTTCTATGTATCGGTTTCTATTCAGAAGGCAAAGACAATCAGCAAGTTTGGAAGAATCAGGAACGCCCGCGAGGGCTTTCTTATATACTCTGGGAATTACACAGCAAAAAGACGAGGGGGGAAAGAAGAAAAGGAGGCTCACCTGACCCTCGAAAGCGACTTTGCGACGCGCTGACTCCGCCGTGGTCCCGTCCTAACCAATCATCTTGCTCAATTCGGCGGACGGAAGAAAAACAAAGTGATCCGACGAGTCCTGACCAATAGAAAGGCAGGACTCAGCATTAATGGAACTTTTGAGAAGAATAGAAGTCACTTACCTGTTGCCGACGCATCGAAAATCCGATCGAAGACGCCAGAAGAAGTCCGAGTCGGTCGAGGATGTCGGCCGTATTGTTTGGAATTGAAATTGGCTGGCTGATGCTTGTAGTCAGTCAACTCGGACCGGAACGGCACACGGAACGAGGCACCAGCGGCTCATTGCTCTCTGCTGCGCCCGCAGCTTTCGCTCAACCTCGCGCGACCTCCGAAGGAAAGTCGACCCCCGAACGGTCAGAAAACCCCTTGGGCCCCTCCCAAGGGGCTTTCCAGCTAAACCCAGCAGGCCACAGCCACTCTACGTCAACAGAGCGGCCACCCAGACGTCTAGTGCTGCGCAGCTGCACACAGCGCGCAGCAAAATCAAATTTGTATGTAGAAAAAAATAAATAAATAAATAAATAAATAAAATAAGATGAAAAATAAAATAAAATGCCCCTCCACCTCTGCACTTTGGGCAGAAGGGGGGTACACAGGGAACCTGAGGCTAACATTTACAGGTAAAACCCTGTCAAATAAACTGTGAAAATTAAGTTTAAGTTTGAAAATCACAAAAATGGCCACCCCAGCTTGGCTTCACTGCAAAGTTGGGGGAGGCTATCACACTCTTTTTTCAACCACACTCATTTTTTCCCCATCTTTTTTCCTCCAAATACCCACTAACCTTCTCAATTCATTTAATGTTTAAAAATTAACTCTTTCTACATTTTGTTCCCATTTTTTCCTGGTAAATTGTCTGGGGACAGACAATAAGTTGGGGGAGGCTGTGGTAGTCAAAAATGTGAAAATTCAAAGTTTTTTCCTTTCTTTTTCTTATATATATTTTCTTCATAATTATCACCCAATCACTCTCAGAATTCACACCAGATGGCTCAAGAACTGGACTCTACGGATAAATCCACCCTTGGTCACCATGGAGGCGTCACTGGAACTCACCTGGATCAACTCTTAACCAACAATGGACTACATATCACAAGGATTTCACCCACCATTACATGTCAACAAATCCAATTACAACCCTCAAGCTACACAGACACCCTCAGTACAGTACACACTCATTTACATATACACTCATTTACATACATCTACACTCTTTACATTTCACTTCTACATATTACATCATACCTGCAGCCTAAATTAGTGTATTTTCCTTGCATGACAGCTGCAGCTTACACCACCACACTCACTGGTAAACACATCAGAACCTGACCAATCAGAATCACTCATTCAGCTGTTTGGATCACCACTTCAACTCTTGTACATGTCTGACCAATCACATTCACTCATTCAAAAGTTTGTATGTAGCTAAAAATACCTCATGTAATAGCCCAGACCAGCCAAAATCACTCATTACTGGCTGCCCTCGAGCTAAATTCCCTCACTGTTGTATATATAAGGAGGCTCTCCTCCCAGTTGTTTAATCCTCAGTCAAGTAACACTCAAGCAATATTTGACCACCCTTACACAAAACACTTTAAGCGCCA